GCAAGAAGCCATGGTATAACCTTTGGTAAAAAAAATTAATAATAGGAGAGAAAGGGAGCTGCGCTGCCGAATAAAGAAAGAGGCTGGAGTTAATTTCCATGTTTGTTAGGTACTTTGCTCTAGTTTTGCTTCTTTCTTTCTTTCTTTTTTCTTTTTTTCGCTCTCCTTTGTTTGTTGTGTGACAGTTTATTACCCGTAACTGATCTGACGATGTTTCTTTTATTCATGTATGGCAAAAATTTATTAGATATGGGATATACATATACTTCTCTTTCATTACCTACATGCATGTAATACAGCTGATAGCAAATGTTACCAATTGGTTCCTCAGTAGGCGTTTTACATTTCATGATTCCACAATCTACTAGGCCTTCCATAGATGTAAAGATTTTGCACGTACGATTTCTCTGTTCATGTCTCGAACCAAATTATGCATCATCAGCTTGTTTTTTTTATCACCAACAGTTAAAAGGCTCCATTGAAGGAGGATACTCATTCCTATTACTGAAGAAATGCCACAACCGTCTAATATATGCATGACGTAGTTCTTGTTCATTCCAATGAAGAAACATTTGTGTAATTACCCATTATTGTTGTTAAGGTTCCCGCCAGCCAAATTTGCAGTTTCAGACAACGCAGATCTCCACCTCTGTATCTTATCTTTATCTTCAGGGAAGTTCGCTTCATGTCTTTGAAATGCTTCTGCAAAACTACCAGTTTGTTTCCTGACATGTGTAGGATCAACATCATAGAAAATTGGCAAAACCGTTTGCCCAAGTCTTCTTCTTCTACACTCCATGATCTTCTCCAGCTCCTCAAGACACCATGGGGAATCCGCATACCTGTTTGAGAAGATGATGACAGAGATCCTAGACTTTTCGATTGCTTGCTTTAGTTCTTCTGATATATTTTCGCCTCTTGGTAGTTCTTTCTCATCAATATAGGCGTTGACCCTGTTGTCTATTAATGTACAATAGAGGTGGTCCGTGAAGTTCTTGGGTGTGTCTTCACCTCTAAAGCTCAAGAACACGTCGTATTTCCAATGTTTTGAGGAATTGGATGGCGAGGATGAAGAGGAGGCTTCGAGCGCTGTACTGGCGGCATCCATGAATTTTCTTGACAGAGGTTGTGTTTTGCACAGATGATATGGGAAATGATCAAGTTAAGTCAACGCCTAGTTTCAATGACAGTTTAACTTATTTCTGCTTTGGTGTTACCAAACCAGAGGCAGAAGCAAATGATATGTCTCTCCCCCCGGCGATCAGCTGTCCATTTCCTCCCTCTTTCGTTCTCCTTTATTCTTATCAATTGGGGAATTAAGTTTGGTCTGAAGGATCAAGCAGAGAGGCCGGGTCGTTTTCCCTATTCATAAGAGAGGCTGGGTGGTGGCAAGGATCAAGCAGGTTTATTCTTAACTTTCTTTTGAATCTGTTGTATTTTTTTCTCCTTTAGTTCGTTAGCTTATGTCGATTTCCTTTTCTCAAAGGCCATCATCGTATTTCGTTTTGGGGTTGAACTACAGATCTAGTCCTTTAACCTTTGGGCAATCGGATCTGCGAGTGACTATAGAGGCGTTGGTTGTCTTTGTTTTTGTTTTTTGTTTTTTGTTTTTTGTCTTTTTGCTAGGAATTCTTTTTTGGGAGTTTCACTAAAACACCCAAAATGAGGGTTGAAATTATAAAAAAACCCAAGCACTATTTAAACATATAAACACACCCAAAACCCATCATTACACACACTCAAAACTCATTTATAAACACACCCAAAAAGTTGACTTTGGGGTTGATTTTGGGTGTGTTTATATGTTTAAATAGTGCTTGGGTTTTTTTATAAATACATGTCTAGAATTGGGTTTATTTATAAATTTGTATTCTTTTTTTTCCTCTCATCTTGCCAGATAGAGATGATTCATTTTCTTGATTTATGAATAAAATTTCTTTCTTTCTCAACAAACAAAAAACTTGGGCCCCCCACGGTTACATGTTAATATAAACTAGCCCTAGGCCACATGCACACATGTGCCAATTGATTTTATTTTTTATTTTTTATTTTTTATTTAGAATTAAGAAAAGATAATATGGGTGGGTAGTTATGTTCCATAAAAGTATGACCTATTATATGATTTTGTTTTAAATTTTAATTATTTTTAATATAAAAAATGTGAATTTACCATATTATCCTCATTTAATTAATAATTTTAATTATTAATGTTTAAAATACCCAATGACATTTTTTGGTATTTTGAATTATTTGCTTTATAAATTAACCAAGGACATGTTTCGCTATATATATAAAGCAAAAAACAGAGAATGGTGAAACATTCAAAATACTAGAAAATGCCATTGGTTAATTCAAACATTAAGAAATTAAATTAGGATAATATGATAAATTCATATTTTTTTCATATTAAAAAAATTAAAAATAAAAACAAAATCAGATAATAGATCCTACTTTTATGGAACATAACTACCCATGTTATCTTTTCTTAATTCTAAAAATAATATTAAAAAATAGAACCAATTGGCACATGTGCCAAGGGGCTAGTATATATACTAAACGACAATCCACACAATTCATTAATTTAAGATTTTGTTATAATGGTTGAAGTGAGGGGGTTTGCTGATTAATTTTAGCCTTCATTTTATGTACTAACAAATTGACAACGGGTGATGCCATCTTTTACTTGATGTCGTTATGCTTGTTTTTTCAACTGCGACATTTATATGGTATATATGATTTGCTAAATGGATTCTTTCAAGTCAACTGGTTTTCATTTTGGCTAATGACAAAAGCAGCTCACCTGTTTGGCAAATGACAAGAGGAGCACATCAGATGATGACCACCCCCGGCCCCGTATATGATTCATACCAACCAACCATACAGGAGGATTTGCTCTCTGAGGGATGGCTCTGGCATTTTGCGTACGTTCACTTAACCAACAGAATTACCCCTTCATGACCATTTTTGTTTTTTTCAAGTTCTCGATGTACATTTTCCATGATCCTTGCCTTCATGGTCTTCATAGGCAAGCCATTTTCAGATAACCACAATTCTACCTCAAGACCTTTCATTTTCGTCTTCCGTCTAAGCTTTTCTGATGTCGTGGTTGACAACTGCATGTATGTCTAATCCACACAATAAGTTTCTTAAGCGCAGTGTAATGATGGAAATGCCCCTCTTTTAAATGTTGTTTTTAGTTTAGTTTTCTCTTCAGCACAGTGAATTGCTGAAAATGCCCTCCGCTTAACCTTTTCCGATCTTCCCTTTTTGCCCCTTCTCCTTTTAGTAAAATACATAAATGTAAAAATTAAAAAGAGAGAGAGAAGAATAGATGGAGACAACGGAAAGAGGAAGAAGAAGGAAAAAGAAAAAGAAAAGTAGAGAGAGACAGGCGGCCCAACAAAAAGGCAAAGGTTTTTTTATTTTATTTTTAAACTTCCTATAAATTATATATTACTTATGTATGTTTTAATTAATATTTTTTTAAAACTTCCTATAAATTATATATTACTTCTTAATGTTTTAATTAATATAGAGAGAGAGTTTATGTCTCATGTAATTAAATGTATCACAAAACATTCTTGAGGTTCACACACTTATCACAAATGGTCTCTGTGAAATTTTTTAATTTAAAATTCATAAAATTTTGGTTTTCTTTTAAAAATTATTTAAAAATATATATCTGTTTCATCATCTAATTAGTAATTAATTAACATAAAAAATTCTCTCTCTCTCTCTCTCTCTCTCTCTCTCTCTCTCTCTCTCTCTCTCTCTCTCGTACCTGGTCGGAACCTCATTGTATATTGTTGGCACGTCCTGGGTATAAAATTTATTAGATGTGGGATGTACATATACTTCTCTTTCATTTCCTACATGCATGTAATACAATTGATCGCAAATGTTACCAATTGGTTCCTCAGTAGGTGTTTTACATTTTATGATTCCACAATCTACTAGGCCTTCCATGGATGTAAAGATTTTGCACGTACGATTTCTCTGTCCATATCTTGAACCAAACCATGCATCATCAGCTTGTTTTTTATCACCAACAGTTAAAAGGCTCATTCCTATTACTGGAGAAAAGCCACAACCGTCCAATAAATGCATGACATAGTTCTTGTTCATTCCAATGAAGAAACAAGATATATCAAGCAATGTATCTCTCAGGCAATCATCAGCTAGCTGAACATACCTTATTTTAAGCTTTACGTGAGTTTCCCAAGGAGAAAGTGTTTTCAATTTATCCAATGCAATTCCATTCGCTTGTGTTTTTTGTGCATAGAGAAGAAATCAATGAGATTGCCAATTCCCTGCCAATTATGAAAATAAATCAATGAGATTGCACTACAGCCGTTGGATATATAGTCACGTTTGCAGTTTAATTGAAAAAATTAAAAAGCAATTCCAATCAAGCAGTTGGATAGCTTACACGTGGCAGCAGCTTGCCTTCAATAGTGGCTATCAGCTGGGGTCCATCTCGGGCTTCATTTTCACGTTGGCTGCTCGCTCAGCATCGGATAGTCGGCTCCACCATTTTGAGTGCGACTGGAATCTCAGGCTATATTCCGCTTTATCTTGGGCTTGGGGGAAATTTTGGCCTGGCCGGTAAACAATCTGCGCTAGAACTCAATTTTTGGCTTTGGCCTTCTCCAGTTGGAGATGGCATAAGGTGTCGTCATGCTGATGAGAGAAAAACCCATGCGGCGGGATAGGTGGCAAACTGGCTGGGGCAGGAGACAATAAGCCTGGAAAGTGACGCATTTCATCAATTTGCAGGGATCCTCCTCCTCCTTCTCCTCTTCCTAGATCTTCAAGATTATTACAAATATTTCCCATGAAGTCTTCGTCATGAGAAGAAATGGTGGGCATCAAAGGCTTCTTGTGATCTGAAGTGGAAGAAGAATTAAGGCTTGTTTTGTTGATGGAGGCGAGTCTTGCGGCTGGTGAGAGGCCGCCATCACCGGAGGACGGCAAAGAGGAAGTGCTGGTAAAGCATTGGACTAAGGACCTGAACTCACTAGGATTGGCTTGGTACAGAAGTCTGAACGAAGCACACTGTACTTCCAGCCAAAAAAACCTCTAGGCGGCTGGACTTCCCCGTCATTCATCAGCTTATCTAGCACCACATTCACATCAACTGCTTGGCCATTGTCCATCAGCTTCCGAATTGTCGCCCAGGCCCTAACATGGTCTCTTGGAAAACCCATAGTTGTCACATGATCAATCACTTCATCAATGGGAACCTTGTTTCCAGTCCCAGCTGAACCTGAAGAACCACCCACCCTAGAAGAGGTAGGCGATGCATGAGGCAATACTCGAGCAACTGGGAGCTGTGGGTAACCAATTCCTCCACTGTGAGCTGTGGCAGAAGAAGGGATTCGTGGTTCATTGAGAAACCACCATCTTGAGGTGATCCACCATAATGATATGTCTCACCTAGCACAGATGGAGGACCATACCCAGAAGAAAATCCAGTACTGGATTTGCTAGATGGTGGTTCATAGGCGCGGGAACGTGGACCATAATACTGTTGGGAGGGAGGGAGCCCACTGGGTGTCTGATAAGGTGGCTGGGGAAGATTGGGTGGCTAGCGTAGGGAAGGAGCATAAGGTGTCCCTTCTGCATGGTGGCCTAATGTAGGCCGGAGTTGAGAGGGATTAACAGGTGCAAGTGAAGGGTGCTGTTGAGGCAGCTGAGGTGGTGGCTGAGAACGCTGTGGTTGAGTGGTAGTTTGAAATTGTTAATGTGGTGCTGCTGTAGGAGGGGGGAGTGACTGCTGACTTGGAGGTAACTGGTATTGCTGATTTGGGGCTTCTTGAGTTTGATCAGGTGCTGGAAAATAAGGGTCTCGCTGAGGGACAGGAGGCATCTGGTTCTGAGAAAACTGATTTGGAGGTGGAACTGAAGGTAGTACACTTTGGAACATAGGTTGGGGAGGAGCATTGGAGAGACAGCAGGAAGTGAAGATGGAAGATTCACAGGGTGAGGAGGCTGTTGGTGAGCTTGCATAGATTCAGAAGCTACTGTCTGCCCAGAAACTTGCGATTGAGTGTCTACCTTGGAATTTGATACCCGCGTCTTCCCAAGCTGGAGCTGGGCCTCTACTATTGCTTGTTTATCCTTCAATACCTGAATACCTGTTTGCACCTGTGTGTGATATTGACAATAACCAAATGAACCAGAGAAAAGGAATAACCGCATTAGCAGAATAAAGAAAAGAGTAGCATAAACACATACGTTAGTATGCTAATAAACAAATGTCAGTTTTTCATGCTTAATAAACTTAGTGCTTTTTTGCACCTTCACAAACAGGCAAGCGACCTTATTGACAACACCTTGCTCTAAGACATTCATTATTGGAGTCATCTTTTAGGGGTAAAATTCTACCCCACCCAACACAATTTAAATGTCTAGAAGATTGAAGATTTTAAGCTTTTCAGATTTGGTGAAAGCATGTGCAATGCGTAACCCTGCTTCACACTCTACATAGTTCTGGAATCACAAGGAGAGATATCGTAACAAATAGAGAAAAGAAAATAACTAATAGTGTTCCTGCATCTATCACTCATGCTGCCAATGGTATTTATAAGATTCCAGTTGAACAGAAGTCATCTGATTGCTAAAATACCAAATGCAAGGCAAGATGTCAAGCTCACACCAAAAAGAAGGGCAAAGAGGCAACATACATCTCTAAGAACATTCTCCAACTGTCTCATCTTTCCATCAGTGTTCCCATGATTGTTTCCCACGGATATCTTCAAATCATCTACAGAATTTTCAAGGTGGCAGGTTCTGCTCTCTAGTTGTGTTAGTTTCTCACTAACACCTTCCAACACATGGAGTAAACTATCGACATGCTTCTTCATGGTGCGGTCAATCTCTGACACAATTGTAGCATCAGGAACATTTCGGTCCTTCTCTAAAATAAGTTCTGACAGTTTAATGGAATCCAGAGAACCATAATTCTGTATACAAAATGGAAAGAGTAGCACTATATCAGTGTAAATAAAGTAAATGCCAAGCTCACATTCAATTATGAATCAGCAATAACTACCTAAAGTCTACTACACAGCAGAAAGGTTTATTTAGAAAACCAAGGGAAGGCTACTATACTGGAAAAAGGGGAGCAATGTAAAGAGAGCAAAACTATTCCGATAAGCCCCCAAGTTTTTATTTGATTTGTACCCATTTCTAACAGTAAAAGACTTAGATAAAAGCCCATTATGATAGGCATCAACACTTTTGAAAGCTATCTTCAAATAATCTACTCTCTAATAAATGGCAACAAAATCATTCAAAACTCTATCGCCTAGTTCATGCACTGCCCTCAGGAAATTTGAGTACAGTAACTTACAAAACATTTAACTCCAGCTGAAGCCTGAAACATATCATGCAAATTTACAATATGCTAATAAAAAACATTATCAGACAATCTCACTACCATAGTAATAAACACAATTATTAATTTCCTAGAACACTAACCGGTAACTGTATGGACAAAGAAAGATAAAGAGTGAGATTCTGAGGCAGGTTAATTACTCTGATAGGAGACGTAGTGTTGGACATTGACTCGGAGGAGTTCCATGCCCTAGTGGATCCTTCTCCTCCACCTCCAAGATTATGTTTGGCATCAATATTTGGGGACTGGAAAGAAGATCCAATTATGGGACGAATGGACTGGAAATAGTTGGATAAGATATCTTCCTTCTTGGAAAGCCCATTACCGTAGCCCACCTGCTGTTCCACCTCTTGGGGATGGTTCATCAGGCCGATGAAGTCATTCTGCTGCGATGATCCTTGCGAGAGATCCATTATCTGCTTGTCCAAGAACGACGTTGTATTCATCGGTGCTGTAATCAACAGAATGTTTTTTTTCTTGGTCACCACAAGTTCCAAGTCCCAGTTGCAGCAACCAAATCACTTGTTGTCTATGAAAATTTCAGTGAAGGAAACTAGAAAAGAGAAAGAATAATCAAAGTAGTAAATATCAAGGACAGAAAAGAAAAAAAAACAGAGCACAGTCAAATATCTCAAACTAAGTACAAGAATTTCCAGTACACATGAGGTTATTCATTTTCGGTTCATGATTCAGGTAATAAAATTGAGCAGAAGATAATAAGATTCAAACAAGAAAAACATTGAAATCCTTGTACCAAATTCAAGTATGGAATTTGCTTAAATACCGAGCAAAATTAATCAAATTGACCTTATGGAGCTATCTGAAAATTCTGAATTTTCAATAATCCCTAGGAATTGCAATAGCTGAAAACAATTTAGGCTTACAACATCTTTCATAGGCGAGTTAGGGTTTAGGACGTAATATTAAGCATAAAATTCTTACCGTGTTCTTGAAGAATTGAGCAACCATTGCGTTCTAGCTTCATACATAGAGATTAGTTCAGCTTCGCTGCCTTTTGTTGTCTATCCGCAGGGAGCACGGCAGGAAATTTCAGAAAGGAAAAATAGTGCAGCGGGAAGGGGGCAGGATCGTAATAAAGAGGTGATCGAAGGGGTCCATTTGAAAGCTGATGAGAAAGAGAGAGGTCAAGGCAATGTTTGATAGTGTTCATGTAAATAGTGGCAATCTTGTTTTTTTTTGTTATAGGGTAAGGGCAAACACTATTTACTTTATTTTTTTACTTTATTTTTAATATTTAAACCATTAATTTTGATAAGTTTTTCGAATAAAATTTTCGGTTGCCACGTGTCAATATTTATTATAAAATTATCACCTAAAAATTCAGATAACATTTTCAGATAAGATTTTCAAATTAAATTTTCGGATAAGATTTTTGGTTGCCACATGTCCATATTTATTATAAAATTCACATATCACTCATTATACAATTGAAATATCTACTCAATCATTGGCAGAGGCGGTTCCACCGGATCACGACGTGTGAGAGTATTTTCTTTCAGTGACGTAATAGTGCCATTATTTCCAACACGGAACGCACCACTAGAATCGACTGCGGGCATTGTTCACTTAAGGAGTCATCTGTAATGGTTTTCCTCTTTTTTGTTTTCCCTGGAATAATCTATTAAAAAAATGAAATTGGAAATGCAAGAAATATATATATATATATAATGACATTAAATTGAATAAAACGGCAATTTTTTTTTTACCTCGTTGCCAAGATTTTGACCTCTTCAAACGTTTGTCCACGACCCTCCGACTTTAATGAAAGAGGCCATTTGTATTTTTGATACAAATGGAAAGTAGTAGAAAAATATGAGCAAAGAGTAAAAAATATTAGAAGGAGAATAGTTGTATGAATATTTGGTGTGGAAAGTTAATAAAATTGTTTTGTATTTACAGGGAAAAAATTTATAATTTTTAGGTATTTTTTTTAAAATTTTTTTAATTTTTTTAGCCAAAAATATCAAGTCCGTCGGATTTCTGGACAAAAATCGATTGGAGCGTCCTGGAAGCGCCGAGTGGGATCTTCTCTTTGGGAGTTGTCAACGCTGACGTCGGTGCGGTGAAATCAAATATTTTTTGGTGCGTGAAATTCACGCGCCAATGGTAAAAAAAATTTGAATTCACCTTGCTGACGTCAACGACTTTGGGTTAGAGCCCAATCAAGAATTGCCCTTGGGCTTGCCCAAGCTAGTGGGCCCCAGGGCTTGCCCGGGCTTGAGGCTGCCCGTTGGAGGCTGGAACCTGGGCTTGGGGGGCCTATTGCCAAGGTTTGGATTTAGCGGTGGAGTTGCTCTAAGAGCACTTGCCATGCCAAAGGACAAAGACAAGTAAGGGCAGACATTATTCATATGATTGCCCTACCTTTTTTCATTTTGTTTTTTCACTCATTGCCATGGTAACCCAAGGACAATTACTATTCATATGTGGTTAATTTTATTTATATGTATGAGATTAATAATATAAAAAATTGCTATGTATGTATAAACAAAATATTTATGAATTTTTCAGAATATTTTTTATTTTTAAATTTATGTTGATGACGTCATGCTAATGTCATCGCACTCATGCAATAGATGGGGATGTTCTTGCCTTCGGGCCTGCCCAGGCTTGGTGGAGCCCACCATCTACTCGGACTGGATTACTGTGCTCGAAATGGTTTTTGAGGCCTAGGGAGCCTTTTGCCTGGGCTAGGCTGCTAGAGTGGAAATGCTCTAAGTGTGACTTGTTTGGGGTTTTGGAGGTGGGCCTATGAGGAGCAAACCGAATTTCTAAGAGAGACAACGGAGACTAAAAGAAATGAAGGAAATCGAAACCAATATAACGGTTTGGTGCGATTCAATTTTGACAAAAATCACGAAGGAAATTGAATTAAATCAAACTAGTTTAAGATGGTTTGGTTCTGTTTGGTTTGACTGGTTTGGGCCTCAGCTCTATTCTCTTTCCTTTTGCATTTTTCAACATTGTTAACCCAATTACAAAAAAAATAATTCACAGCTTGCTATATACCATAATAGGTAAATTACAAGTTATATTGCATAATAGGAAATTATTACGTAAATTATATCCAAAATAAATTTATAAAAATTGGGTATATTATTTGAATAATAAGTAAATCCATATTAGGTCAATTATTTTTTGTAAAAGAAGTAATAGGAACGTTATTTTTTCAACATAAATTGTATAATATATAATTAATTTTGTATTCTTCATAAATAAATAAATAAAACATTTTTATTAAATAAACCCATTAGGTATGCTGAATATGAATTTATTGTTAAATTTTTAAAAGTTTCCAAATTAATTCCTACATTCATTTGGAGGTTTTTCCAAATTCAATTCGTGTCATTAGTTACAATGCAATTAAAAATTGTTTTTATATTGGTTCCTACATTAATATACAAAATGCAATAATGGTTTAGTTAGGGATATTTTAGGAATCAAAAAAGTACAATAAATTCGATTTTGCGCTTGATTAGGTAACTTACCGAGTTGGATCCTAGTCATTAGGTTTTAGTTAGAAAAAACAGGATTTAATCAAACAAAAATAAAGAGATGGATTGTAGAGGAAAAATGACTTTGAAGAGGATAAGCTAAATTTAATACATATATTTTTTTTTAATGACGAGTAATATACCAAACACATCATTTGAGTCCCTGTTCTGCAAATTAGATCTATGATGTAGTCCTTGTTCACTTGTTCGACATATGACAGTCTTAACTCTCAACGTCAATTTTTGATTAAAATCAAAGGTAATATCGTCCAATCATTCCATTAAAAAAATACCAAAAAGAATTTGTCTTTCGAATAAAATCGATTCGTGTCTATTTTCAATGCATGGATGATAAATTCCATGCACTCGTTACAACTTACATTTTAAAACAAAAATGCAAAGATAATAACCAGATTTGAAGTCATCTCAAGAATAAATAACGCAAACAGTCAATACTACTTTTAAATCACAACACAAACTTTGGGAATGGGAGACAAGAAGTTATTTCAACCTTAGGGTTGACACGCCTAAACAATGGAGGAGAATCATTTCCAGGAAGAAAAGGGCCACCATTTCCATTTGCACTCCATCCCTATACCATGTGGAGCAAGGTCTGTACAAATAATTAATACACATGCATGGATATATTTTGTAAAGATGTGTGTGTGTGTGTGTGTGAGAGAGAGAGAGAGAGAGAGAGAGAACCTGTATGATTGCTTCCTTAAAAGCAGTAGTGAGATTGGTGCACCCTTCCATATGAATTCTTGTCATGGAGTATAATGACTTCTCCAAGCCAATAATCTCAGTAAGCTTGGGGGAGTGATTAAGATGCAATTCTCTCATGCACAACATTTGTGAAAAATTTGGCATTTTTTCCAATGCAATGCACTCATCTGCTTGCAGGATTTCCAAATTAGTTGGTAAATCTGGGATTGCCAGAAGCTTTGAGCAATTAGACAATTGTAAAGTTTGAAGCTTGGAAAGGTAGCTGAGGGTTGGCAGCCCCTTAAAAGCATTTCATCTTAAATCTAAAACTCTCAAAGAAGATAGACCCCCAATATCTTCAGGAATTGCTCTATCAGCTAATTTGCAGTCCGCAAGGTATAAGTATTCAAGGTTTTTCAGTTGTACTATGGAATGGAGAATCTTGGACAAAGTCTTACAGTCTTCGAGTATCAGTTTCTCGAGATTTGGGACTTTTAAAAAGTCCGGAAATCTTTTCAGGCGATTGCAACCACCAAGATTAAGAAACTTCAACTTCTCAAGTGTCTGCGGGACAAAAGGGAAAACAAACATAAAAAACCAATGCGATGAGAGAAAGCAGGTCGTTGATATTTAATTGAAATAGAAAACACTTAATGATTTTGTTGAGATTATATTGCACCACGTCCGAATCCTTCCGAACTTCTATGCAGCTACGACTCAGGTCGATATCAACCATGTTTGATTGATTGAAATCTTGTGGAATGGATTTTAGAGGACACTCAGGCCAACACAACAAGCTGAACTTTTTGGAAAGAAGTTTGCAGTGTCCTTTGAACTTTACACCTTTGAGTTTGAGCAATCACAGTCCCTGCATCCTTTCTAATGCTTTTGCACTGAAGCTATCCTGCTGATCTTGCAAATCTAAAGTAAGCCCTTCAATCTCCTCTGATCCCTGTTAGACAAAAGAAGGAAATAAGTAAGAAAATGCTTGAGTTCAAATGAAAAGGGATTTATATACACATGAGCAACGCCATGAATTGCAGGTATGAAAGAGAGGTATTATCATCTACTATAAGCTGTTGCGGTACTTCTGGATCAAAGACATACTGTGCTTACACTTCAGTTGTGTTTTCCAACTATCTACTTTAGTTGGGTGTTATTCAGCTTACGTTACAGGTGTTATATTTTCCCTATGTAAGATAGTTAATAAATCAGTTTCTCTCTAGCTCAATTGGTTAAGAGTCTTTACCTCTGCATCCAAGGTGCTATGTTCGATTCCCCCGTCCCCCATTATTGTTTGCATAAAATTTATAATTAAAAAAAATCATTTTCTCTCTTACGCTTTCCTTTTCTGCTTTATTGTTAACACATTTCGGGCTTACAATTTCTTAGATGTACGGGATACTGAAATACTTGTCTTTTGTTACCTACATGCATTTAATCCAATATAAATTGCGAAAGTACTTACAGATTTGCTCCTCAATACGTCTTTTACATCTTCAGGTTCCCACAATCTACTACGTTTTCTGGTGATGTTAGGGGATTTTTCACGTACGATTTCTCTGCCCATATCTCGAAGCAAATCATGCATTATCAGGTTGTTTCCTTCATCAACACTTACGAGGCATTGATCATGGAGTTCTCCAATTCCTATTTCTGTATCGAAGTCGCAGCCATCCAATATTGTCACGGCATAGTTCTTGTTCTTTCCAATAAAAAAACAAGATATATCAAGAAGATAGCCTGCACTTCATTATCAATTAGCCCCTCATAGCTTATTTTAAGCATTTCATTAATTTTCCCGTGAGGCTTTCTTTTCAATTTTTTCAACGCACTTATCCATTCATTTTTGGTTCTTTTACATAGATAAGAACCTAAAACCTCAAGTGCCCACGGCAAACCTTTACAGTATTTAACAACTTTTCTTAAGAGTTTAAGATAAACCTCATCATTAGGAGACGCTCAGTAAAGGCACGACAACAAAGGAGCTGAAATGCTTCTTCTTCACTCATTGGTGGTACCAAATATGTCTCATCCACTTCAAGCATCTTTAGAACATGTTCGTTTCTTGTTGTTATAATCAAGGTCTTAAATATCGATAGTTTTGGAAATATCGGTGGTTCAAAAACACGGAAATATCGATGGAAATATCGGGAAAATATCGATATCGATAAAAATGGGATAAAAACCACGGAAATTGTGATAAATACGTGGAAATTTTTAATGAAACTTTAGAAGAAGTTTATTTAGTCAATCATCTATTATTTTGACACAAAAAATTGGAAGGAAATGCATTGCATAGTGGGTTTGAGTTATTCAAGTTGATTATATTGCGAGCTGACAAACTCTGTGACTTAGAAAATATGGAGTAATTAATGAAGAGAATTAAACACCCCATAATAATTTATTCATCATTTTTTAGTACAATATTTTACACTTTATAAATTGCATGGTAAGATATATGTGTAACCTTATTTCACATTATTTATTGGACATGGTTCACGTTCTTATATTTATTATTTATCAAAAATTGAAAAATAATTAAACCAACTTGACTTTTCATGAAAATTAGGCACTTTACCATACTTAAAAAATAGTAGTGAAGATTGAAAATTAACTAAGAACATAAATAAATTTATCAAAGGAAGAATTAAGTAGTAAACAAAGAAAATAATAATAGAGATTTAAGTAATTAAGCAACAATTTGAAGGGGAATTTAGTAATGTAAGTACTTATAATGAATAATAACATAATCAATAACATTAAATGGATTAAATAGAAAAATAAATAAATTATATTAAGTAATTAAGTAACTGATCAACAATATAAAACAATAAATAATTATGTTAATTTCTATTTTGAAAAACAGCTCGCATGTATTATAAATACATATTCCATAGCTTATTATCGCAAAGAAGTAAGTTTATTATTTTTCTTTGCCAATGACAGTTTAACTTATTTCTGCTTTGGTGTTATCAAACCAGAGGCAGAAGCACATGATATGTTTCTCCCCCCGGCGATCAGCTGTCCATTTCCTCCCTCTTTCGTTCTCCTTTATTCTTATCAATTGGGGAATTAAGTTTGGTCTGAAGGATCAAGCAGAGAGGCCGGGTCGTTTTCCCTTTTCATATGGGTGGTGGCAAAGAAATGTATAAAGCTTATGTTACAAGGGTATACCGTATATAGTACGTCATTACCTCTCAGAGTGACGAGGCACACAAACGACCCCTTCCAAGTCCATTACGACAATTTCAATTCAAATACCATCCCACCACGAAACCGGCCTTTGTATCCCTCCCGTCCTACTAAAATATCACTTCCACAAGCTAACCTCAGAGCTAGTAGCCAATTTTTACTAATTTCATTATTGTTGGATTATTTTATTTAATACAAATTTATAAATAAACCCAATCCTAGACATGTATTTATAAAAAAACCCAAGCACTATTTAAACATAGAAACACACCCAAAATCAACAATTGTATATTTTTTGGGTGTGTTTATAAATGGGTTTTGAGTGTGTGTAATGATGGGTTTTGGGTGTGTTTATAAAGTGTTTTGGGTGTTGGATTTTTTTATAATTTCAGCCCCAATTTTGGGTGTTTTAGTGAAACTCCCTTATTTAATTCATCCCCCTTCATTTCATTGACTTGCCCTCCCTCTCTCTCTTCTTCTCTCTCTCTCTCTCTCTCTCTCTCTCTCTCTCTCTCTCTCTCTCTCTCTCTCTCTCTCTCTCTCTCTCTCTCTCTCTCTCTCTCTCTCTCTCTCTCTCTCTCCTTTAAATATTTCATGTCACCACATCTAGCTCTTATGTCCTCCTGCCCTATGAGTTTCCAATATTAATATAGAGAGCTGATTTTCTCACTCCTCTTTTATCCACTTACACCCTTTGTTAGAAATTGTATGTTCCCACTCCTCTTTTGTCTACTTACACTCTCTTTTTTGTTATAGTAAAAACTATTAAAAAACAAAAGGGAGTGTAAGTAGACAAAAGAGGAGTGGGAAAATCACCACTCTTAATATAACATGATACATAAATTAATCTCCCCACAACTTCATCACCAAAACCCCAAAACAGATCAACCCTTGTTCTTCTTTTTCGATCCGTCTTCGTCTTCGCCTTCGTCTTCACCGGCATGGATTATTCGGCAGGCAAGTCTCCGAGAAGAGAGCTTCAGCTTCAAGGCCCACGTCCTACACCTCTCAGGGTTCATAAAGACTCTCACAAGATCAAGAAGCCTCCAATTGTGCCCCAACCCTCCTCACAACCACCCTCCCAGCAGCCTCATCTCTACCAGCAGCCACGTCAGCCGGTCATAATCTCCACCGTGTCCCCGAAGGTCATCCACACAAACCCTAGTGACTTCATGGACCTTGTCCAACGCCTCACGGGCTTAAACTCTTCTTCATCTTCTTCCCCACCTACTCAAAATAATCCTAATAATCCTCCCAATTATGACAATAACAATAACAATAATTCTCGTGATGATCAAGTGATGAAGACAAGTTCTGCTCAAGATGTTGCGCAAGGGATGGAGATGGACGGTGATGATGGTGGTGTGAGGCAGAAGGGTTTGTTTCCGGGGATCTTGTCACCAGGGCCCGCTTCGCTCAAACCGATTCCTTCGAACTTCTTCTCTCCACCGTCGGATAGCTTCTTCCATGATTTGAGCCCGGTGCTCCATGGAAACAGGAACTTCATAGAAGGTAGCTTCATGCCTAGTCCTTCAAACTTCTTTTCCCCTAGCACTCCATCCATAAACTTATTCAATAATTTCCCCGATTTATAGTTTTTCTTTCCTTCTTTAGTTTTTCTATTTTCAAATTCTTTTCCTTCATAGAAAGAATGGGAATTTCAGGGGAATTACTTAGAGATGTAGAGTGCTTTTGGGTTTTTTTTTTTTTTTTTTTTTTTTTTTTTCTTTTTCTTCAGAGAAAGAGAGTCATTGGTGAAGAAGATAATACAAAAGGGACTAAAGTGGAATTTTGAATTTGTTTTGGTGGGGAGGCAGGTGGGAAAGTTCTTAGATTAATTGTTAGTTTAATATTTTGGGCCGTAGGATGGAGAGTGGCTGGCTCTCAAATATCATATATATGATACCCATGCTTTTGTTTTTTGTCTTTTTGCTAGTAATTCTTTTTTGGGCTTGTCCAATATAGATCCCTACATTTTCTATTTCCTATATATATAACCAGTAGGATATAAGAGGTTGTAGTATTTCTATGTTTTTACATCGTTGCCACTAAACTTCATATTTTATTTATAATTTATTTCAAGTATTTCATTAACTGCCATAATTGTAATTAATATACTCCCTATTAATAGCATATCAATCACCCCATTTCTTTTAGTTGTCATTCCCTTTCACATCTCGCCCCCTAAAATTGCAAACAAACAAAAAATCTGTAAATTACATATCCAATAATGTACCTATGAAAAATATAATATAAATATATACATATAAAATATAGGTATATTATTTACCAAAAAAAAACAAAAACAAAGTCAGTAACTTTGTAATTGCGTATATTTTTCATAATTAAAAATAGGTACACAATAATTTATATAAAATATAGGTACATTATTTACCCACAGGTAAATTATTATTTGGAGAGGAAAAATAGGTACATTATTAGAGGAAAAAAATAGGTAAGTTATTTGGAGAGAGAAAATAGGTTCATTTAAAAAAATTACTTTTAATAAAACAAATAATAGGTACTTTATTCAGAGAAAAAAGGCTATATTATTTATAGAAAAAAATAGGTACATTATTTAGATAAATAATAGGTACTTTATTCGTAGTATGTATATTATTCAAATGGTAGGTACATTGGATGACATATAATACCTAAATCCTAATTGTAAGTACATTAAAATTAATGTAGGTATATTGGATGTCGTATAATGTAGGTATATTGGAATAGATAATTATGTACACTTTTCATACTAGGTAAATTATATTTTTCATAAAACAAACAAGTAATAGGTACATTATTTTTTCAACATAATTAGTATGTACAGTTTTATTCATAAACAATTATAAAGTGGATTATTAGTCATGTATAATTCATAAAAAGAAAATGACATAAACATTTTATTAAACAAACTGATTACCCAAATTTGAATTTATTGTTAAATTTTTTTTTAAAATGTTTCAAAATTAATTCCTACATCCATTACAACCATTTGAAGATCTTTCCAAATTCAACATCTGTCATTATATACAATCCAATTAGAAACTGTTTTCATATTGATTCCTACATATATACAAAATGCAATAATGGCTTAGTTGGGGGTATTTTTGGAATCTAAAAAGTACAATAAATCAGATTTTATGCTTAATTAGGTAACTTGCAGAGTTGGATCCTAGTCATGGGTTTTTATTTATACAAATTGGGTATTATTTATAGGAACAAAAAGTGAAGGGTTTTAGGTATGGCAAATTGAATTTGAAGGGTGTAAGCCAAATTTACTATTCTTTTTAGGCTTAATTATGTACATGCCCCCTGTGCTTTCCAACTTATCTCAGATTACCACATGTGGTGGAAAACGTCTCAAAGTACCCCCCAACGTGCAAAAAACTGTCTCACGTTACCCTTTCCGTCAGTTTTTTTGAAGTTTCGTTACGAACGTTACTGTTCATCTCCCCCAAAATTCCAGAACAGCAGCTCCTCCCATTTGTTACTGTTCATCGCACCAGTTTTTGGGCTGCCATCGCCTCCTCCGGCCACCCCAAGCGACGAAATGGATATCAAAAGAACCAGCACGTTGTCCTCTACCACCCTCACATCTCAGCCGCTGCCAACCGTCGTCTGGATCACCGAAAAAAGCAAGAAATTGGCTGATTTTTACCCAAAATCTCCATTGCTCGTTCGGGCGATTCCGAGCACCATTTTCTTCGATCCAGGTATGATTTTTCAACCTCTCGAGTTGTTCTTGCTGCTAGTTGTGTTGGTTAGGAGAAATTTCTGAGTTTTGGAGGGTAAATAAGCTATGAACAGTAACAAAAGGGAAGGGCTACTGTTCTGGAATTTTGGGGGAGATGAACAGTAACATTCGTAACGGAACTTCAAAAAAAACTGACGGAAAGGGTAACGTGAGACAGTTTTTTGCACGTTGGGGGGGTACTTTGAGACGTTTTCCACCACAGGTGGTAATCTGAGATAAGTTGGAAAGCACAGGGGGCATGTACATAATTATTCCTCTCATCTTACCAGAGAGAGATGATTCATGTTCAGCATACAAGTCTGCACTGCAGGAACAATTAATGGATACCGGTACAGCCGTAGAAGCCTCCCCTCCAACCTTTTCATCCTCTTCATCCTCTTCATCCTGCTCCTTAGACGATGAGACGTACGATGTGTTCTTGAGCTTTAGAGGTGAAGACACACGCAAGACCTTCACGGACCACCTCTACTGGAGGTTAAAATATGCCAGAGTTGACGTCTTTATTGATGAGAACGAACTAAGAGGGGGAGAAATTATACCAGACGAACTCAATCAAATAATCCAGCGATCCAGGATCTCTGTCATCATCTTCTCAAGGAGGTATGCGGATTCCATATGGTGTCTTGAGGAGCTGGAGAAGATCATGGAGTGTAGAAGAACACTGGGGCAAATCGTTTTGCCCATTTTCTACGATGTTGATCCTAGTGATGTCAGGGAACAAACTGGTAGTTTTGCAGAAGCATTTCAGACACATGAAGTGCGCTCCCATGGAGTTAAAGATAAGGAAGAAAAGATACAGTCGTGGAGAAAGTCTCTAACTGAAGCTGCAGATCTGGACGGCCTGGTTTTTAGCAAGATTGATGGGTAATTACTTATTTCCATTTCTTTGTTTTTTTCTTCATTTTGTTAATGTTATTCCCGATCCATCTTTGGTTTTTCAGAGTAATGCAGAGTTTAGAAACTCTGATCGATTCAGGATCAACATAGTGCACCACAATTAAATATATATTTTTGTAATGTTTTCAGAAGTTTACAAAATTTTAGTAGGATTTTAAAAGTTCGGTTCATCAATTTCTGAATAAATGTTGAACTATATATTCAATGTTGTCCAATATAGGTCCCTACAATTTCTATTTCCTAGACATATACCCATCATTCTATAAATCTATGTGTAAAACCAAATTTCAAACTTAAATGACAAGTATGATATAAGAGGCCGTAGTATTCCTATATTTTTACATCCTTGCCATCAGATTTCATATTTTATTTATAATTTATTCCATGCATTTCATTAACTGCTATAATTGTAATTAAAACTCCCTATTAATAGCATATCAATCACCCCATTTCTTTTGGTTTCCATTCCCTCTAACATATGGCCCCTTAAAATTGTAAAAATAAAAAAAAAATATGTAAATTACATATCCAATAATGTACATATGAAAAATATAAACATAAATATATACGTATAAAAATATAGGTATATTATTTACCAAAAAAATTAACAAAAATAGGTAAGTTACTTTGTAATTGAAATCTTCGTACATTTTTCATAAATTAAAAATAGGTACACAATAATTTATAAAAAATAGGTTGTATAATTGAAATTTATGCACATTTTTTATAAATTAAAAATAGGCACATTATTTAGAAGAAAAAAATAAGTTCATTATACTAGGTAAATTGTTTTTATAGGTATACATTATTAGAGAAAAAAAATAGGTACATTATTTAGAGAAAAAAATAGATACAAAATTTAGCGGAAAAATTAGGTTCATTATACTAGGTAAATTATTTTACTAGGTACATTATTAGAGGGAAAAAAAAATAGGTACATTATGTTGAGAGAAAAAATAGGCTCATTTTTTTTAAAAAAATTGTTTTCAATAAAAAGATGATCAAATTATTTTTCATAAAACAAGTAATAAAGAAAAAAAAAGGTACAATATTTGGAGCAAAACTAGGTACATTATTAGAGGAAAAAAAGAGGTACATTATTTTGAGAGAAAAAATAGGCTCATTTAAAATAAAAATTGTTTTCATAAAACAAACAATAAAAAGATTATCAAATTATTTTTCATAAAACAAGTAATTAAGAAAAAAAAAAGTAGGTACAATATTTGGAGAAAAAAATAGGTTCATTAAAAAAAAAGTTTAGAAAACAAAACAAAAAATAGATTATCAAATTATTTTTCAACATAATTAGAATGTACACTATTATTCATAAAACTATAATAAAAAAGAATACTGGTTGTATAATTCATAAAAAGAAAACAGCATTAATTCCTAAATTTAATATTGAATTTATATTACTAATACTTTAAATAGATTACTAGTCGTAATTCATAGAAGGAAAACACCATTAATTCAAAAATGGATTACTAGTTGTAAAATAGATTACTAATACTTTAATGTGGAATTTAATATTTAATTTCAAATAAGTTTCTAAATTAGTTCCTACATCTATTACAACTATTTGGAGATCTTTCCAAATTCAACGGGTGTCATTAGTTACACCCCCCATAACATATTAACTTATAAATAGGGGTAGTTTTGGAATCCGAAAAATACTATAAATTAGATTTTAAGTTATATTAGGTAACTTACTTAGTTGGATCCTAGTCATCGGGTATTATTTGAAAAAATTGGGTATTTTAAATAGAAAACTAAAAGAAAGGGTTGTAGGTGATTTAAAATGAATTTTATGGGTCTAACCTCAATTTACTATAATAAGTAAGATATTAGTTCAATTTAATTTAAATCTTACTTTTGCTCAATTTTGAGTTTATCTACCAGGTATGAAGGAGTGTTTATCAGGAAAATTATTGACGAGATCAACAGAAAATTGAAGAACACATGCTTAGGCATAGAGGCCACCAAACAAGTTGGAATAGAATCTAGAGCAAGCAAGAAATCAGTAACTATGTACAAGTTCAAGTTGGAATAGATTCTCATCGCTTGCAAGATATTAGTACTCATTTAGATGTTGGAGGATCAAATGATGTTCGCACAATTGGAATTTGGGGTATGGGCGGAATGGGTAAAACAATGGTTGCAGAAGCAATTTTCAACAAGTATCATCCCAATTTTGATGCTAAAAGTTTCATTCAAAACATGAGGGAAAGGAAACTGGTTGATCTTCAAGAACAACTTCTCTTTGATATCTTCAAACCGACCAAGGTAGAAGGGAAGTAGTATGGATGACAGGATGTACGAGATAAAGAAAAGACTTCGAGGAAGAAAGGTACTTGTTATATTTGATGATATCTGCATGTAGACCAACTAAAGGCATTAGCTATTGAACGTGACTCGTTTGGTCCAGGAAGTAGAATTGTCATAACAACAAGAAATAAACATTTGCTAGAGATAATTGAAGTGGATATAAGATATGTTGCCTTAAAGCAATGAATGAAGTAGAAGCTCTTGAGCTACTTAGTTGGCATGCTTTTAAAAGTCATTGTCCTGACGAAGGATATCTTGAACTCTCAAGAGAAGTTGTGGTTACTGTGGTGGTTTGCCACTAGCACTGAAAGTTTTAGGCTCTTCTCTATACAAAAGAAGCACAATAGAATGGAGAAATGCATTGGATAAATGGAAAACACTTCCTCCTAAGGAAATTCACGAAAAGCTTAAATTAAGCTATGATGGGCTACCTGATAATTACATGAGGGACGCATTCCTTGATATATCATGTTTCTTCATTGGAATGGACATGAACTATGTCATGCAAATATTGGACCGTCGTTGCTTTTCTCCGGTAATAGGACTGCGTGTCCTCCTTGAAGAGAGCCTCTTAACTGTTGGTGAAGATAACAAGTTGATGATGCATGATTTGGTTCGAGACATGGGCAGAGAAATTGTACGTGCACAATCCTCTAACATCACTGGAGAACGTAGTAGATTGTGGCATCATGAAGATGTAAAAGACGTATTGAGGAACAAATCTGTAAGTACATTCGCAATCCGATTGTTTAAATGCATGTAGTTAGAGAAGTATATGCATATCCTACATATCTAATAAATATAATGCCTTGGACGTGCCAACAATATACAATACAATGTCGTGTATACATATTAGATTACGGGGTTAATATCTTTTTTTATCACTGGGTAGTCAAATTGGTCAATAACAGTTAAAGATCATTTTGGTCACTGGGTTTAACACATAATTTCAATTTGGTCACTAAGAGAAAATAATATAGTCAAACTGATTACTGGTATAACCCAACGTTACAATAGCACATGAGCTACTTAACTAAAAATAACGGCTTGTCTATAAATTGTAAACTTTGGGTATATAGAGTGACAAAGTTGGCAAAATTCTTTTTATGAGTGACTAAATTGATAGCAAGAGATTTGTAGCTTAAGTGGTTAGGAGTGTTGAAGAATACATGAGTCCCACATTGAAACTTAACAAAATAGAAAGTATAATATAATAAATGGAAAAACCCCACAGGTGGTTAAGTTGGGGACAATATCGATATTGTTAGTGGTGGGCCAAGGGTCCATCCCTCTGAAATCTTAACATGGTATCAAAGCGGGTCGGTTGACTAGGCCCGATTAAACTCAAATCAAACAAAAACCCCAAATTGAATCAATATCAAACAAACCCTAAATTTAAAAAAAATTAGAAAAAAAAAAAAGGAAAAAAAAAGTGACTGATGTAGAATTGGTTGCACATGCGGCCCACTAAAAAGTGATCCCGCATGAGGAGGAGTGTTGAAGAATACACATTTTCTACATCGGAAACTAGAATTCGAACCCAAAACCTTATTTGGGGGAGCAATTACTCCAAACAACTACACTAGTGGTCATTTACAACGAAAAAAGTAAAGTTAAAAGAGAAGAGAGAGGAATTGGTTTTTTTGAATTATCTCAAAATCGTTTTATTGAATTATTTGGCTTTCCAGAGGTACCCTTTTTTTTTTTTTGCCAACAGAGGTGCCTTTTTCTTCTTTCATCTTTTTTTTGTTTTTTTGTTTTGCTTCTAACAGGGAACAGAGGCAATTGAAGGACTCACTTTAGATTTGCAAGAATCTGACGAGCCTAGCTTCAGTACAGAAGCATTTAGAAGGATGCGGAGACTGAGATTGCTCAAACTCAATTACGCACAGCTGACTGGAAGTTACGAGCATCTCTCGAAAGAGTTACGATGGTTGTGTTGGCATGGATTTCCTCTCGAGGTCATACCAGAAGATTTTGATCAAGAAAACCTAGTTGCTATTGACTTGAGCTATAGCAAGTTCATTCGAGTTTGGGAGGATTCCCACGTGGTACAGTATAATCATAACCTCAACCAATTTATTAATCCGTTCCTCCAGGTTTTGTACATACCAACATCATGCTTTCTCTCTTCTATTTGAATTTTGATTTTTGTTTTCCGTTTTTTCCTACAGTTTCTTTGGGAGTTAAAGTCTCTTGATCTCGGCCATTCCGTTTGCCTGAAAAAATTACCCGACTTTTCAAGACTCCCAAATCTCGAGGAATTGATACTCAGAGGCTGTAAGAGTTTGTTATGGGATCACCTTTCCATGATGAGACGGTTGGACGAGCTTGAACTTAAATTGTTAGATCTTGGGTACTGCAACTTAACTGAAGATAACGTTGTTAGAGAGCTTTGTTTTCTACGTTCTTTAAAAATTTTACGTCTGGATGGAAATGGTTTCAATAGTCTACCTTTACTCGAGGATAGTTCCGAACTTGAAGAGTTAACTTTAAATGATTGCAAAAATCTTCGACGAATCAGCGATTTACCAATGACTTTGAAATTCCTGAATGCGAATTACTGCACTGCACTGCACTAGAAAGCATTGAATTTTCTGGAGACATTCCGAATATGAGAGAATTGGATCTGAAGGACTGCCGGAAACTCAAGTATATTTCAAACGTGGATGGCTCGTTACACTCCACGGAAACGATTCATATGGCAATCTCAGTGCTCGGTTTAAGAAGTACATGCTAAAGGTAATCTCTCTATCTTTCTCCGACTCACATGCATACATTCACGCACATTCAAGATTTGTATTGCTTATGCAAAACTTGCTCCACATGGTATAGGGATGGGCCGCGAGCGGAGGGGGTGGCCTTTTCTTCTCTGGAAATGATATTCCTCCGTGGTTCACAGCTGTGGTCAAGGAGGATGAAATTGTCTATATCGATGTGCCGTATTATGGCGTAGACGCCTTGACTCTGTGTGTCATTTATTCCTCAGACGACTCGCAGTCTAGTGGGAGACTTTCTTTGACTGTTGTGAATCGTACCCAGCGCACTGCATTTTCCATATTTCCAATGACCGTCTTTGGAGTGACTCCCCATGAAGATTATCTCTGGCTTGGACGCATACCAAACAATGTTCTCAATCTGAAAGGCGGGGACAACGTTCTTGCTCGCGCAGAATTCTTAAGAGAAGAGGGCAAGAAGCATTTAAAGTTGAAGAAAACAGGACTCCGTCTAGAAGGGAGAGTTTTTATGCGTAAAGGTCAGGAATATGAGATGGAGTGGGAGTCTAAACCATATACTGATGATGACGCGTGGCCAAGCAAACACTCGCATAACCTCATAAACGGATTTAACCCCTGGTATTGGTAGATTTCTCGCAAGACCCCTCTTTGACAATTTCTCCCAAGGAAAAAAGAGAGGGAAGGAGTGGAGACGCATCGGGGAAGAGGTGGTTCGGTAAATAATTCTGTTCTCTCTTTTCTACAAATATGTCTGTTTCATCATCTAATTGGTAATTAACATAAAAAAAATTCTTAATTTTCTCCCTCTTGTTCTGGTAAAACCCTGTCCATCATCTTGTACCTGTGCTCGCTTTGACTCAAAGATGTGAACTCTGTGTGGCTATGCACATTATTTTGGTATTTTATTTGATTGAGTCTTGGATTTTTTGTCTGATGTTAATTAATAGAATGATTATATTGGGCACCCATAATGAAGTTGTTAATTCACCCTCCATTTAAATAGCAACTAGGTTTTCTTGATTAAAATCTTCAGGTATGAGCTCCAGAAGAAATCCATACCAACACAGTAATTAACTACCAGTCAGCTTTATGTAATTGAGTTTGACCAATCTCGTCTCCGCATCCTTCTAAATGCTTCTGTACTGAAGCTACGCTCGTCAGATTCTTGCAAATCTAAAGTGAGTCCTTCAATTTCCTCCGTTCCCCGTTAGAAGAAAATAAAATGAAAGGGGCAAAGTAAGAAGGGGGTTATTTGCATGTAAAAAGAAGTCATATATACACATGAAGAAAAGCCATGAATTGGATGTATGAACTACAAGAGAGGCATATAATTTATTAGATGTGGGATATACGTACACTTCTCTTTCATTACCTAAATGCATGTAATACAACTGATAGCAAATGTTACCAATTGGTTCCACAGTAGGCGTTTTACATTTCATGATTCCACAATCTACTAGGCCTTCCATAGATGTAAAGATTTTGCTTTGGGCCCTCCTACTTTGGCCCTCATGGTTTTGTTTTTGGGAGCTCACGACCAACTTCCCAGTGGGTCATTCATCCTGGGATTGCTCTGGCCCCCAACTCGCTTAACTTTGGAGTTTCTACGACTCCGAAGCCAGTGAGCTCCCAAAAGGCCTCGTGCTAGATGGAGGCGGGTGTGCACATATAAGGCACATCACCCCCTCTCCATTGGTCGATGTGGGATCTTACAATCCACCCCCCTTAAGGGCCCGACGTCCTCGTCGGCACACTCGCACCACACAGCAGAGTGGCTCTAATACCAAATTGTCACATCCCGGGATCGGCTCCGCCATAGCACGATGTTGTCCGCTTTGGGCCCCCCTACTCTGGCCCTCACGGTTTTGTTTCTGGGAGCTCACGACCAACTTCCCAGTGGGTCACCCATCCTGGAGGCGGGTGTGTACATATAAGGTACATCACCTCCTTTCCGTTGGTCGATGTGGGATCTTATATAAAAGGCTCCATTGAAGGAGGATACTCATTCCTATTACTGAAGAAATGCCACAACCGTCTAATATATGCATGACTTAGTTCTTGTTCATTCCAATGAAGAAACAAGATATATCAAGCAATGTATCTCTCAGGCAATCATTAGCTAGCTGAACATAGCTTATTTTAAGCTTCACGTGAGTTTCCCAAGGAGAAAGTGTTTTCAATTTATCCAATGCAATTCCATTCTCTTGTGCTTTTTGTAAATAAAAAAGAAATCAATGAGATTGCCAATTCCCTGCCAATTATGAAAATAAATCAATGAGATTGCACTACAGCCGTTGGATATATAGTCACGTTTGCAGTTTAATTGAAAAACTAAAAAGCCATTCCAATCTGGCCGTTGGATAGCTTACACGTGGCAGTAGCTGCCTTCAATAGTGGCTATCGACTGGGGTCCATCTCGGGCTTCATTTTCACGTTAGCTGCTCGCTCAGCATCCGATCGTCGGCTCCACCATTTTGAGTGCGACTGGAATCTCGGGCTATATTCCACTTTATCTCGGACTCGGGGGAAAATTTGGCCTGGCCGGTAAACGATCTGGGCTAGAACTCAATTTTTGGCTTTGGCCTGCCCCAGTTGGAGATGGCATAAGGGCGTCGTCATGCTAATGAGAGAAAAACCCACGTGGGATAGGCGGCAAACTGGCTGGGGCAGGAGACAATAAGCCTGGAAAGTGACGCATTTCATCAATTTGCAGGGATCCTCCTCCTCCTTCTCCTCTTCCTAGATCTTCAAGATTATTACAAATACTTCCCATGAAGTCTTCGTCATGAGAAGAAATGGTGGGCATCAAAGGCTTCTTGTGATCTGAAGTGGAAGAAGAATTAAGGCTTGTTTTGTTGATGGAGGCGAGTCTTGCGGCTGGTGAGAGGCCGCCATCACCGGAAGACGGCGAAGAGGAAGTGCTGGCAAAAGCGTTGGACTAAGGAGCTGAACTCACTAGGATTGGCTCGTGTAAGGCCACTTGCTTCCAGCACTCATGAAAAGATTCTTGAGGCTTTTGTTCGAAGACAACGCCTACTTTGAATCAGATTCTTGAAAGAAAGTGAGAGGGAGAGAAGAATAAGAAGGAAAAATATGAGAAAGAGAGAGAGAGAGAGAGGAGACAACGCCTACTTTGAATCAGATTCTTGAAAGAAAGTGAGAGGGAGAGAAGAATAAGAAGGAAAAATATGAGAGAGAGAGAGAGAGAGAGAGAGAGAGAGAGAGAGAAGACAATGCCTACTTTGAATCGGATTCTTGAAAGAAAGTGAGAGGGAGAGAAGAATAAGAAAAAATGCGTGTGTGAGAGAGAGAGAGAGAGGAAGTAGACGGAAAAGGTAAAAGAACAAAGAAAAAGAGAGAATAAATCATGATTTTACATTTTCTTTATTATTTTTTGGTATTGTCCTTGTAAAATGACAAACTTACCCTTATAATTAACAAAAAAAATGGATGAAAGTCTAAAAACTTGACGACAGGTGCTAAAAATTGATCATTTAAAAAAACATGAGGGCAAAATTGACTTAAAAAATAATTCAGAGTAGAGATTTCGACAAGCATAATAATTTAGGGGTATTTGGCAGTTTACCCTTATGATAAATAATCTGAGGCCGCATCAGCTGTGGGGGCTACATCATGAATGAACACTCAGATCTAGCCCTCTACGCAAAACCTTTTTCTAGAAAACTAATCAGAAGAAAAACTTGCTCAGCAGACGAGTCTTGCAGGAACAAGTAATGGATACCAGTACAGCCGTTGAAGCCTCCTCTCCAACCTTTTCATCCTCTTCATCCTGCTCCTTAGACGATGAGATGTACGACGTATTCTTGAGCTTTAGAGGTGAAGACACACGCAAGACCTTCACGGATCACCTCTACTGGAGGTTAAAACATGCCAGAGTCGACGTGTTTACTGACGAGAATGAAATAAGAAGAGGAGAAATTATACCAGACGAACTCAAGCAAATAATCGAGCGGTCCAGGATCTCTGTCATCATCTTCTCAAGGAGGTATGCGGATTCCATATGGTGTCTTGAGGAGCTGGAGAAGATCATGGAGTGTAGAAGAACACTGGGGCAAATGGTTTTGCCAATTTTTTACGATGTTGATGCTGAAGATGTCAGGAAACAAACTGGTAGTTTTGCAGAAGCATTTCAGACACATGAAGTGCGCTTCCATGGAGTTAAAGATAAAGAAGAAAAGATACGGTCGTGGAGAAAGTCTCTAACTGAAGCTGCAGGTTTGGACGGGGGCCTGGTTTTTAGCAAGATTGATGGGTAATTACTTATTTCCATTTCTTTGTTTTTTTTCTTCATTTTGTTAATGTTATTCCCGACCCATCTTTGGTTTTTCAGTGTAATGCAGAGCTTAGAAACTCTGATCGATTCACATGGATCAGGATCAACATAGTACACCCCAATTAAATATATTTCTAGTAATGTTTTCAGAAGTTTACAAAATTTTAGTAGGATTTTAAAAGTTTGGTTCATCAATTTCTGAATAAATGTTCAACTATATATTCAATATTCCCAAGCTCCGTAGTCATAGTAAGTAAGATATTAGTTCAATTTAATTTAAATCTTACTTCTGCTCAATTTTGAGTTTATCTACCAGGTATGAAGGAGTGTTTATCAGGAAAATTATTGACGATATCAATAGAAAATTGAAGAGCACATGCTTAGGCATAGCCACCGAACAAGTTGGAATAGAATCTAGCAAGCAAGAAATCAGTAACTATGTACAAGTTCAAGTTGGAATAGACTCTCACTTGCAAGATATTAGTACTCATTTAGATGTTGGAGGATCAAATGATGTTCGCATAATTGGAATTTGGGGTATGGGAGGAATGAGTTTATACATAAAGGCCATAAGATAGAGCGGGAGTCTAAACCATATACATATCCTGCTACTGATGATGACGCGTGGCCAAGCAAACACTCGCATATGCTCGTACGGGAAACGAGACGGCTGCACCCCCCAGGATTCGTAGATTTCTCACAAGACCCATCGGGGAAGAGGTGGTTCGGTAAATAATTCTGTTTTCCTCTCTTTTCTACAAATATGTCTGTTTCATCATCTAATTTGTAATTAACATAAAAAATTCATATTTTTCTCCCTCTTGTTCTGGTAAAACCCCGTCCATCATCTTGTACCTGTGCTCGCTTTGACTCAAAGATGTGAACTCTGTGTGGCTATGCCATTATTTTGGTTTTTTATTTGATTGAGTCTTGGTTTTTTCGTCTGATGTTAATTAATAGAATGATTATATTGGGCACCCATAATGAAGTTGTTAATTCACCCTCCATTTAAATAGCAACTAGGTTTTCTTGATTAAAATCTTCGGGTATGACCTCCAGAAGAAATCCATACCAACACAATTATCGTAACTCTTTTGAAAGATGCCATTAACTACCAGTCAGGTTTATGTAATTGAGTTTGACCAATCTCGTCTCCGCGTCCTTCTAAATGCTTCTGTACTGAAGCTACGCTCGTCAGATTCTTGCACATCTAAAGTGAGTCCTTAAATTTCCTCCGTTCCCCGTTAGAAGAAAATAAAATGAAAGGGGCAAAGTAGGAAGGGGGTTATTTGCATGTAAAAAGATGTCATATACACACTGAAGAAAAGCCATGAATTGGATGTATGAACTCCAAGAGAGGCATAAAATTTATTAGATGTGGGATATACGTATACTTCTCTTTCATTATTACCTACATGCATGTAATACAAGTGATAGCAAATGTTACCAATTGATTCCTCAGCAGGCGTTTTACATTTCATGATTCCACAATCTACTAGGCCTTCCATAGACGTAAAGATTTTGCACGTACGATTTCTCTGTCCATGTCTCGAACCAAATCATGCATCATCAGCTTGTTTTTATTTATCACCAACAGTTAAAAGGCTCCATTGAAGGAGGATACTCATTCCTATTACTGAAGAAATGCCACAACCGTCTAAAATATGCATGACATAGTTCTTGTTTTCATTCCAATGAAGAAACAAGATATATCAAGCAATGTATCTCTCAGGCAATCATCAGCTAGCTGAACATAGCTTATTTTAACAAGATATATTCAAGGGCTTGTACTGGCGGCATCCATGGATTGTTCTTGATAGACGTTTGTGTTTTACACAGATGATATGAAAATGTGGAAATACCCCTGATATGTTCATAATCTCACATGATTTTATAGAGAAATTATAGAATGATACGGTAGTACCACGTCAGCGTATAGTACTCCCATTCAAATATGGCCATGTGTCCATTTTATAAAAGAAATTAATTATTGTTTCACAGCTGGACTTTTTACTTTATTAATTCTTTAGTTTTGAAATAAAATTAGAAAAAAGAAAACTTAAACAAAGAAAAACCATGGCAGCCACCCTTCTCTCTTCCTCTTCCTCCCCTCTCTCTTTCTATTCACCACTACCATCGCCGCTCCTCATGAAAACCATCAACATCCAAACCCAATAATATCATCATCTCTTCCTTAATTCCCCTATATTATTATTTTTCTGAATTCGCTCATGACACTCTACACAATGTTAATTCCACCACCAGCTTCAACCCACTGCCACCTTGGAATGTTTTCAGACCCGGATCTAGATCCTCAACAACGAACCAATTTTTAATTATCAAGACTACTCCATTTCATCATCATCAATACCAATTTAATCCTCCCTTCCTCTAAAACCCCGTCTACAATTAGTATGAGGGGTGAAGATAGTGGAAGGAGAGGGGTGGCCGTCATAGCAGGTAGTTGGGATTAGGGTTGTTGGGTTAGGAGATAGTTGGCTGTTAGGAAATTCTTTTTTTTATTTTTTATTTTCTAATTTTATTTCAAAAGTTAAGAATAAACTAAAAAGTCTAGCTGTGAAATGATAATTAATTTCTTTTATAAAATGGACACATGGCCATATTTGAGTGGGAGTACTATACGCTGACGTGGTAGTACCGTATCATTCTAAACCCTATATCCTTTTTACTTAGTTTTGTGAATTAATTTGGACTAAAGATGCTGATTTTAGTTATTTTCTGGTTTTTCAGCTTATAAGTCATGAAATGTATAAATTCGCCAAACATTCCTCATAATAGAGTTTGACATGATTCCAATTAGAGATGGAAGATAGCATCTTTAAATTTGTCCATTAATATTTTCATAATTTTTGAAGACTGCTAAGGTGCCCATTTTTAATTAGACAAATCAGCCAAAACTAATTCCCGAAGAATACTGAGTCAGCATGGGTATTCTGGTCAGAACTCACTCATACGACATCGGATTGAGACACACAACATATGGCTGAAAAGAAGACATCCATAGCTTTCCAAAGAGTGGTCGTACACAATTTTCGAAGGTCAAGAAGGTGTTCAAATCTCATTCGCAAAGAGAATCACGTGCTGTTTCCTGGAAGTTTTAGGAAACTTAGTTTTAGTTATCTTTTCTAGTTAGGAACTGACTTGGAAATCAAGTCCTCATGTAAGGCCACTTGCTTCCAGCACTCATGAAAAGATACTTGAGGCTTTTGTTCGAAGACAACGCCTACTTTGAATCAGATTCTTGAAAGAAAGTGAGAGGGAGAGAAGAATAAGAAGGAAAAATATGAGAGAGAGAGAGAGAGAGAGAGAGAGAAGACAACACCTACTTTGAATCGGATTAAAGAAATTGAGAGGGAGAGAAGAATAAGAAGGAAAAATATGAGAGAGAGAGAGAGAAGACAACACCTACTTTGAATCGGATTCTTGAAAGAAATTGAGAGGGAGAGAAGAATAAGAAGGAAAAATGTGTGTGTGAGAGAGAGAGGAATCAAATTCTTGAAAGAAAGTGAGAGGGAGAGAAGAATAAGAAGGAAAAATATGAGAGAGAGAGAGAGAGAGAGAGAGAGAGAGAGAGAGAGAGAGAGGAAAAGGAAAAAGAATAAAGAAAGATAGAGAGAAGATTTCATGATTTTACATTTTCTTTATTATTTTTTGGTATTGTCTTTGTACGGAAGCTGCAAAGTTGGCTGGCCTGAATCTTAGAAACACTGACGGGTAATACACAAATATTTGCTTAAGGCAACCAAAAAAAAAACATAATTATTTCCTTGGACAATGATCTACTTTGTTATTTTATTTTTATTTTCTGAAAACATATCTAAATTTTTACTTACCCTTTCCATTCTTTGTCTATTTTTTAGCAGCCCTTTCCTTTTCTTTTCCTTTTTTGTTTCTAACTCCGTTTGACATGAGTCATCATGTATTGGAGGAAGGGTTAGCCATTTTCTTTTCTTTTGTTGCAGCCTTTTGTTTATCTCGCCTTCTCAGGCCTTGGACTAGGCATGGTGATTTCGTCTGCATCGTTATCCAAATTCACCATACTTTCACTAGCTCCATAAGAACGTTGTGTGGGAGGCTCATTTATATCGTTCCACTTTGGGCAATCTTTTAAGATTTCCCAAGCATGGTACAACTTGAAAGGCCTATTTGGAGGCTTATTATCATTAATAAATATTGTTTTCGCATACACGTCCTACACATGAAAAAATAAATTTAAGTTTGGAGTTGAATAAAATTACAAATATAAATTTAAAGCTTTAATAAGAATGGTTACTTACCACATCATGTAATTTGAGCCACTTCGTGGGTTCATATATTGGCCTTAGTCAAGCATGCCTTCCAAAGAGAACCCTATTGGTTGATAGTCTTGAACCGAGAAGCAATGACTTGATATGTTCATCGCTCGGATTCACTAATGCTCGGATCATTTTCTAGAAACTTTTGATATACACGCTTCCAAAATGTGTCGCTTGCTTGATTGGTGCCAATAGCCCCCATCTTCACTGACAGAAACCCACCCTTTGCACAATGCCTCATCTTCTTCAGGCCTCCAATTCACACTTCTTTGAGATTTTGTGGACATCTTCAACAAGAATGAAAGGAGATTGATGAGATTAACAAAGGAAAAATAAATTGAGAAATAGATAATAAAAAATTTGGTAGATTATTTGAGAAATGGATAGGTATTTATAGAGTTTGGAGTGAGTTTTGGGGTTGGATCTGATATAGATTAATTTAAAATATTATTTTGACCGTTGGATTTAAATTTCAACCGTTGGATCTGTTTTTTTTTTTACCTTTAAAATAGCTTAGATTTAATCTTCATCGTTGATTTAAGTTATATGTATATAAAATAAAATAAAACAAACAAACAAATAGCAAATAATTTCAAATGTTGCCGTTGGATTCCAACGGCAACTCAATGGGGCTTTGACAAGTGACGCTTGTGGAAGACAAGATGGCAGCAGCAAAAAAGAAAGTGGGGCTCACGGAGGAATCTTTGCACATAGGGGCTATTAGATATGAAAGTGGGCCCCACGAAAAAATTTGGGGCTGGGCAATAAATGGTCTGGTATTTGGATCCAAATTTGGGTTTTCCCAAATTTTGGCCTATTCATTTTCATGAGTTGGGAGATGTTTGGGACTATATTTTGGGTTTAGGTCCTTGGGTTAGAGATGGTCTTAGGTTGGGGATGGTCTTATAGTTTCAATTAAGAGCAATAAGGACACATTTTAATTTCTATCAAATTCTTCTAAATTTTGTTAAGTTTTGACCATGTGTGTACCTTGGATAATGGGTATTTCAATATGCTCGTGGCTATCTAATGGTAAAATACAAACTAGAGCTCTTCTCATTCACTTTAGGCATTATTTTGAAAATCATGCAATAAAAAAAAATTTGCATCTTTAAAAGTTAAAATTTGAGCGAATTTGGAGGAATTTGGCTTGAATGAACCTAAATACCCCTGTACGTACGAGCAAGTGGTCCAAACTTAATGAAATTCGGAGAAATTTAACAGAAATTTGAAATTCATCCTTAGAATTACTCCAAAATTGAAAACTACGATTATAAAATTAAAAATATAAGGACCAAAATGATAAAAAAATCGACAAACTACATAAACCAAGTGTGACTTTTTACGTTCATTAAAAAAAATGACTTTTTACTATTTTTTTATTTATTGTTAAAAGTAGACTTTATGCTGTAGGCTAAGCTTGGTGTGGTGCGCCTTCCCCTTTGTGGACTGAAAAGAGGAGTTGACTTGACTTCTAGTATTTCCATTTCCATTTCCATTTCATCTGTGTAAAACACAAACCTCTATCAAGAACAATCCATGGATGCCCCAAGTACAGTCCTTGAAGCCTCCTCTTCATCCTCACCCTCCATCCCCTCTACAGGACATCGGGAATACGGCGTGTTCTTGAGCTTTAGAGGTGAAGACACACGCCACACCTTCACAGACCACCTCTACTGCACATTAGTTGACTACGGGGTCAAAGTCTATATGGACAATAACGACATAAGAAGAGGGGAAAACATCGCAGACGAACTAAAGCAAGCAATCGAACGGTCTAGGATCTGTGTTATCGTCTTCTCAAATGGGCTATGCATATTCCAAATGGTGTCTTGATGAGCTGGAGAAGATCATGGAGTCTAAAAGAACGAGACAGGGGCCAATGGTTTTGCCAATTTTCTACGATGTTGATCCTGAAGATGTCAAGAAACAAACTGGTAGTTTTGAAAAAGCATTTCAGAAACATGAACTCTGCTGCAATGGAGATGAAGATAAGGTACAGAGGTGGAGATCTGCGTGTACAGAAGCTGCAAAGTTGGCTGGCCTGAATCTTAGAAACACTGACGGGTAATACACAAATATTTGCTTAAGGCAACCAAAAAAAAAACATAATTATTTCCTTGGACAATGATCTACTTTGTTATTTTATTTTTATTTTCTGAAAACAGATCTAAATTTTTACTTACCCTTTCCATTCTTCGTCTATTTTTTAGCAGCCCTTTCCTTTTCTTTTTCCTTTTTCGTTTCTAACTCCGTTTGACATGAGTCATCATGTATTGGAGGAATTGGAAAAATAAAACTCCAACCTGGCTTGCGCAAAGGCTAGGAAACGTATTTGCTTCCTATCCACCTCCTTCTAGGAGCTCTTGAATTTGAGGAGAAAAAAAAGACTCCTCGTGGCTCCATATAATTTAATGCTTTTTTTATTTTATGAGTACTTTAAACCTTTAATTAATGCTAACTATTTTTTTTATAGAGATGAACCAATTAAAAAAGAACTATAGCATTTATGACTTCATAAACTCGAGAGTATGATTAGAGTTAAAAATTTATAAAGAGCTCATAAGATAGCTTTTATATGTTTTTAGCTAAATTTTAACTAAATTTTAACTAAAAAAATAGAGAGCATGATGATAGATGCTCTTAATCCCTCTATTTCCCAATGAAGCTTTTCACGTCATGATAATTGAATTTTATTAATATAGAGAAATATGCACTGCGGTGGTGCTTTCATCTATAGAATGATCCATGTGTTCTTTTTTCTCGTAGGTCAATTTAGTCCACATGTTATTAATTTGGCCAATTTGATAAATCGTGAAGTCATTTTATTATTGAATTCAAATTTTTGTAATCAATTACTGTTTTTTAATTTTTTTTAAACTTAATTTAGATAGAAAGAACCACATTTACTAACTGATACAAACACATAAACTAAGTTGGCCAAATTGATAATACAATGACTAAACTATTTAACAACATAGTTTGGAAGTAGTGCTCAAGCTTGACAACGTAACTTGTATTATACATGCATCTCCAACTAAACTTTCTATAGTTTTTTAATTTGAACTGCTTGTAACAGAAAACTTTCAACTGCAGGCGTGAAGGACAGTTTATAAGGAAAATTCTCGGCGAAATCACTAGAACACTGAAGAACACAAGCTTACATGTAGCCACCAACCCAATTGGAATAGATTCCCGTGTGAAAGAAGTCAGTAATTATTTGCGTGTTGGAGGATCAGATCATGATGTTCGCATTATTGGCATTTTGGGTATGGGTGGAACGGGTAAGACAACAATTGCAAAAGCCATTTTCAACGAATTTTCTCAAAGTTTTCAAGGTTACAGTTTTCTTTCAGAAGTGAGGAAAGGGGATATGGTTGAATTGCAAAATCAACTTATTTGTGATATCTTGAAACCGGCCAAGATAGAGGTAAGAAGTGTCGATGAAGGAACTAGGAAGATAAAAGACGAACTTGGCAACAGAAAGGTACTCGTCATATTTGATGATATTGATTGCGAAGAATTAAATAAGTTTAGCTATAAAACACGAATCCTTTGGTCTAGGGAGTAGAATTATTGTAACAACAAGAAACGAACGTGTTCTAAAGATGCTTGAAGCGGATGAGACATATTTGGTACCACCAATGAGTGAAGAAGAAGCTTTTCAGCTCCTTCGTTGTCGTGCCTTTACTGAGCATCATCCTAGTGATGAGGTTTATCTTAAACTCTTAAGCAAGTTGTTAAATACTGTAATGGTTTGCCATTGGCACTTGAGGTTTTAGGTTCTTATCTATGTACAAGAACCAAAAATGAATGGATAAGTGCGTTGAAAAAATTGAAAAGAAAGCCTCACGGGAAAATTCATGAAATTCTCAAAATAAGCTATGAGGGGCTAATTGATAATGAAGTGAAGGCTATCTTCCTTGATATATCTTGCTTTTTCATTGGAATGAACAAGGACTATGTCAAGACAATATTGGATGGCTGTGACTTCGATACAGAAATAGGAATTGGAGAACTCCATGATCAATGCCTTGTAAGTGTTGATGAAAAGAACAACCTGGAAATGCATAATTTGCTTCGAGATATGGGCAGAGAAATCGTACGTGAAGAATCCCCTAGCATCATAGGAAAACGTAGCAGATTGTGGAATCCTGAAGATGTAACAGACGTATTGAGGAATGAATCTGTAAGTACATTCAGAATCAAATTGGATTAAATTCATGTATTTAATAAAAGAGACGTATATCAAGTCTAAGCACAATTATATGTCTTTGATCCAGAGGTACTGCTGCAGCTGATCCTCATAGTAGATAAACAAATGCTGCCTATAGCTCTCTTTTAGTTCAAACATCCAATATATGGCTTTGCTTCATGTGTATAAATAATCTTTTCACTTGCAACTTAGCATCTTCTTACTTATTTCCATGTTTTTTTTTCTTACAGGGAACAGCGGAAATTGAAGGGGTCACATTAGATTTGCAAGGATCTCACGAGCCTAGCTTCAGTGCAGAAGCATTGAAAAATATGCAGGGACTCAGATTGCTCAAACTCAAAGGTGCAAAGTTCACGGGAGACTGCAAAGGTCTTTCCAAAAAGTTAAGATTGTTGTGTTGGCCAGAGTTTCCTCTAGAAGCCATACCAGAAGATTTCAATCCTCCAAACATAGTTGATATTGACCTAAGTCGCGGCCACATACAAGTTTGGAAGGATTCTGACATGGTACGGTATAATCTCAACCAAATCATTAATTCTTTCCTTCAAGTTGTTTAAATACCAACGTTATGCCTCTGTCATCTAGTCCCTTTTTTTCATGGTTGTTTTTCATTTTGTCTCATAGCCACTTGAGAAGTTGAAGTTTCTTAATCTTGGTTATTGCGATCGCCTGAAACAATCACCAGACTTTTCAAAACTCCCAAATCTCGAGAAATTGATACTCCAAAGCTGCAAGAGTTTGTCTGAGATTCACCATTCTATACTACAACTGAAAGCCCTTAAAGATTTGTGCCTTGCGTACTGCAACTTAACTGATGAAGCAATTCCTGAAGATCTTGGGGATCTATCTTCTTTAGAAGTTTTAGATCTAAGAGGCAATGATTTTAATAAGCTACCAACCCTCAGTGGCCTTTCCGAGCTTCAAACTTTACAATTGGATTATTGCTCAAACCTTACGGCGATCCCTGATTTACCAACTAAATTGGAAATCCTGCAAGCGGATGAGTGCATTGCATTGGAAGAAATGCCAAATTTTTCAGAAATGTTGTGCATGATAGAGCTGCATCTGAATCACTCCCCAAAACTTACTGACATTCCAGGCTTGGATAAATCGATGGTCTCCATGACAAAAATTGATATGGAAGGGTGCACCAATCTCACTGTTGCTTTTAAGGAAGTCCTACAGGTACTCTCTCTCTCTCTCTCTCTCTCTCTCTCTCTCTCTCTCTCTCTCTCATGTTTACATAATAAAACCATGCATGTCTATTAATTGCTTGTACAAATCTTTATGCACATTGTGTAGGAATGGAGAGCAAGCCGAAATGGTTACCTTTCGCTTCCTACAGAAGATTTTCCTTTATTGGTAAGGCGTGTCGACCCTGAGGGTGAAATACTTCGTAGTTCCCTTCGGGCTTGATTCAGAAGCCTTGACTATTTGCATCTGTTATTCTTCAAATTACTTCAAACATTCTTATTATCTTCGCATTTGTGCGATCAAATTGTACCCATTGCATGGAACTTATTATCCTTGTAGTGAAAATAAGCATGGGTGGGGATCGGTTCAACTCGGACACAAATTTATTTAATGGACTGACTGAACGATATTGCCTTTGATTTTAATCAAAATCAGACGTCGAAACTGACATATGCTGGGTAAGAGGACAAGAATGACATAGATCTAATTTGAAGAATATGGACTAAAATGATGTGTTTGGTGCACCCGTAGGACTTCCTTAAAAGCAGTTAATGTCATCTGATAGCTTTTGTGGCTAGTTATTGTCTCCTGCACATGCAGGCAAGCTCCACTGTGAGACTTCCGATAACAGCTGACACAGCCAAGCACTTGTCGGCAATTTTTTTCTTTGGTTTTTAAATAGTCATGGATAGTATGTTATACTATTGAAACGAGTACACAATTCTGCACTTACACCATTGTCACAAAAGTAAGGGTTTCTGTCTACAACTTTTACAAACTACCTCTTGATATTGTAGTGCGTGTCTTGCCAATATTGGAAGAGGTGCCAAGTCTGAATCCCCTTCCCATTGATATACCAAAACCGCAAGAATATTTACATTTTTTCTTGACATTAATGAGTTCTACTTTACACACCAAGAACTACTACTTAAGGCTCTGAAAATAACATTTACCAAAAAAGAAATCAGAGCGCTACTTGCAGAACACAGGTAATAGACAAATCTGGAGAGTTATTTAAGCCAGTTGACGCCTAAAAATCAGCACCATCCTCAACATCATCAGTTTTAATGGATCCACTTTATGCCATAAGTATTCTGTACACTCTCTTGGAACAAACCTCCCCTACTCTTCTGTCATCACGAAGTAAACCTTCAGTTATCAAGTCCTTCAGCAGAAATTCCTTTTGATGAACCTGTCATTTCAATATAGAGCAACCAAGAAAAGAGAGAAAAAAACACAAAGTAAATAGAATCTACAAAAAAGTGTTGAATTCTGCCTTGATATAGCAATGTACATGCTGCTGGATGCAAGTATGCCTTGTGAAAAATGGTGTATATATATACACACATATATATGTAATCAAATATCAATCTTATATCAATGCATATTGCAAAAGCATGGAGGGGACATATTCAACTAAATATACATTGCAAGTTAACCCTCCAAATCAGTGTACTTTTACGGGCGTCAATTAACTCGATCAAAGAAAAAAAATTATAGATACAATCAAAGCAACTTTGTTTACAGTGACATAGAACGGGCATACCATAATCCTAATTAACATATAGCGGAATTTCATGGTTATACTGCATAAAAGGTGAGTAGTCTTCAGACATATTTCTCAGTAGCAGTCATCTGCACTGCCCAAACCATAAATGGCTATTCAGGAAGCAGAACTAGCTGAACCTAGAGTTGGCCAAAATCCCTTCAAATTTTTTTTTTTTTTTTTTTTTTTTTTTTTTTTTTTTTTTTTTTTTTTTTTTTTTTTTTTTTTTTTTTTTTTTTTTTTTTTTTTTTTTTTTTTTTTTTTTTTTTTTTTTTTTTTTTTTTTTTTTTTTTTTTTTTTTTTTTTTTTTTTTTTTTTTTTTTTTTTTTTTTTTTTTTTTTTTTTTTTTTTTTTTTTTTTTTTTTTTTTTTTTTTTTTTTTTTTTTTTTTTTTTTTTTTTTTTTTTTTTTTTTTTTTTTTTTTTTTTTTTTTTTTTTTTTTTTTTTTTTTTTTTTTTTTTTTTTTTTTTTTTTTTTTTTTTTTTTTTTTTTTTTTTTTTTTTTTTTTTTTTTTTTTTTTTTTTTTTTTTTTTTTTTTTTTTTTTTTTTTTTTTTTCCCCAAAAAGCAAACATTAAAGGTTCTTGTCCTCTAGTATGAGTTGAAATTAAAATCCCACAAATACACATTTAAAAGTGTGCATTAAAACTATGTTAAAGGTTGGAGAAAGAGAATCAAATCCACTTCTACATTCAATTTTTAATTTTTCAATCTATACTCCATACACACAGAACTTAATAATTAGAAATTAGAGTACAGAATCAGAAGTTGGTGCTGCCCATGGGTCCAGCTGTACTCTTTTGGGTTAGAGAGAGAGAAAAGACTGTAAATAAGTCTTTTACAGAGAGAGAGGAGAGAGAGAGAGAGAGAGAGATGTACCCTTAGGTTTTGTTTATCAACCTCATGTATTAAAAATCAATTCCTTGCTTGGAGAACAAAAGTTTTAAATTTAAAATAAAATATGACAAAAAGACTCCAAACAATCCAAATCTAGAGTAAAATCATCAACCAGTTCAATCAAAGGCAACAATCAAAGGCTGAGATAGCTAGAATACCTCAGTTGCAATGAATCAAAACGAAAAACATAGAAAATAAACTCTGCAAGCAACAAAATCCCAGAGTGCCCTTTTGAATTTGGATTTCTGGACAGAGAGAGAGAGAGAGAGAGAGAGAGAGAGTGGGAAAACAGCAAGATAAAACAAACCATACACTTTTCCTCTTCTCTCCTTTTAAGACTCAAATTGAACTGTGTTGCTTTATCTGTTTTTGCTGCATCAGAGATTCTCTCCACCTCTTTCAAGTCAAAGTGAGAGAATAAATTATTATTATTATTATTATTATTATTTTTAAAGCTGGTATGAAATGAGAGATGGAAGGAAAGGAGGAACTACAGCTCATGGCATATATTCCGCCAACATAACCCCACTTATGTTTCCAGATATGGAGTGAGAACACAGGACAGGCCAACTACTCCAAACGCCACAAATTGGATCAAAGCTTTTAAGGCTCCTAACCAACATTTATGTTACCTTCTTTTCTCTCTCATCCACAATACAAAAATGGGTCTGCTGCAGAATATGCAAAATCAGAATATGAATTTGGTTTTGTCCACTGATGCAAAGCCCGGGCTAAAATGGACTGCAGAACTTCATCAAAGATTTGTTGAAGCAGTCAATCAGCTTGGTGGGGCAGACAGTTGAGTATATAAGCTTGATTGATATTCTTCTTCAAATCCCTTTTTAGTTTCTTTCTATTTCTATACAAAGTTCTAATGTCTTTGTTTCACATATGGGCAGAGGTCACACTAAAGAGTTTGATGAGGGTGACGGGAATTCATGTACTCACTCTGTACCACCTAAAGAGCCACTCACAGGCATTTTTCTCCCTTTTCTTGGTTAATCACATCCAGTCTTTTTTCAGACTATTATGGAAAAGCATAACTGTAAAACTGTTTTGTTTTCTTGTGCAGAAATACAGGCTAGGGAAAAGCCACCAGTCAGAAAACTGCACTGACATTAAGAAAGAAGGTGACTCCAATGCTTCATTAGATTATAAAAACTATAAAGGATCATCATCTTTACTCTTTTTTCTTCTTCTTAATCTTCTTGAAATCTTAATATTTGAAATGTTTCTCTGATAATGTCCTACACTAAATGCAGGTCTTAAATTATGTCTTACATGCCGTTCATAGTTATACAGAATATCTTTATCTTGGTTCATCAAATCTATCTCTCCCCCAAATTTGTCTAATTTATCTCTCTACTGGGGGCAATTCTTTTGAGCATAAATCGAACACAACCCAAAACAATTATAAAAAAGAAAAAGAAAAACAATCACTATATCAATCAACAAAAACGATTAAAAAGGAAGATCAAAAGAGAAACCAAATAATAAATATAACCAACAATTGAAATATTCATCAATTTAATCTTATTTTTTTTAAAACAAAACCTGCCTAAGCAATCAAAAGTCACCTTAAACAATCAAAATCACAAAAGAACTATATTTTCGAGGATATGGATCTTACCTGAAATGTTTTGTTGAGGTTGCAAAATCACCTTTTTCCTCATACTCAAACCCTTCAACAACCAAAAAACAATGAAAGGAAATTTTCATTGTAAACATAAGCACATGTATGAAAGAACAAAGGTACCAAATTTTCAATCCAAACATAATATAGAACAAAGACACAAACTTTTTCCTTTATGTCCTTGAGTTTCCACAGAAACCCAAGTGATTTCAATAAAAAGTACCTCCACCAACTGAGCCGCGCCATGGGGATGTCTTTGGGACCCCAAACGACGCCGTCGCAGATGGGTTCTTCACGGCCACACCCATAGCCACCAATTGAGGCCCCAACACAGCTGAAACTGACATCTTCGGTTCTCACAGTGAGAAAAAGACGATGGAATTGGGTTTTCTGAGCGAACGAAACGTTCGCAGCTGATGAGAGAAAGGAAGAGAGAAGAGACAGAGAGAGAGAGAGGGCTGCGATGAAGGGAAGAGGTTCGAAGAAAAGAGAACAGGGCTGGAGGGCATAACGGCCAATTCACTGTTCAAAAGTCAGCTCAAGGAAGCAGACCATCTCCTAAGTGAGGGCAAAACCGTCACTTCACTATTGCTAAGCTACAGTCTAGGAACAGTGAATTCCTGAACTCAGTTTTAGTATATATATAATTTGGATCTTTTTAAGGTTAGAAAATAGTTTCTTTAAAGAAAAAAAACATAAACACGCTCATTAAAATCGTGTCGTTTTCTTTTACAGAAGTTTCTGGTGTCTCTCTCCCTCTCTCTCTCTCTCTCTCTCTCATCAAACGAATTTGATAGCCTATGCCAAGCCCCTCTGAAATTTCCAACGGGTTGTTGAATAGAAAACTGCTACTGAGTTTGATGTTTGTCAATTTGGTCCCTTTTTTTTTGCCTAGTTCTCTCTCTTCATCTTTCACCCTCTTCTTCTTTTTCCAGATAACTCAAACAAACAAACAAAATTCCAACTTGTAATTTCTTATTAATTAGCATTTTATGATTATTGAATTTAGCAGATATCAGTTTCTTCATCACATTAGGTTTAAAAAGTAAGAAATCTGTAACGTGGCCTTTGCTTATGTTTTTTTATATGAAATAGAGATGTTTAAGGCAGGGAGCACACCGAACCCAGATGAAATAGAGAGGAACAGAGAGGGGCGGAGAGATTTCAGTGGAGGAGGGAAAGGGGCTGGGGCTGGGGCTGGGCTGCGTGGAGAAGAGAGAGAAGCTGGGCTGAGAGATTTCACGGGCTAGAGGAGATAAGGGTTGGCTGTTGTGGCTATGTCCGATAGGAAGGGAGGGGGAGGATCGCGTTCGCCGGACATGGTGATTGGGAGGGGCGTTGGGCGATGGGAAGGGAGATGGAGGATCGAGATGGAGTAATTAGAAAATCACTGATGTAGTCACGTGTGAAAAAGCAAACCCACAACTACCGGTTTCCCAGTTTTTTAGGTGCTTTTATTGGTTTTTTTTTCAATTTATTCTGGACCATCGGATCAAATAATTCAAATCTAACCGTCCAACAAGTTGATGTACCGATACTTTGATGTATATTAGAATTTTCATCAAATTTCGTTTGAGGGCCCGTTTGATAGCTATTTCATTTTTCATTTTTAGTTTTTAGAATATAGAGGAAAATTAGAATGAAAATAGGAGTGAAGTTGAGATTGAGAAGATGATGAGAACGAGAAGTAAGAAAAAGCGAAAACAAAAACTTGAAAGTGAAAATATTTTCAAATAGATTAAATTTTTAGTTTTTGTTTTCACTTTTGTTACTTTTCCCTCACATCTTCCCCTCTCATCTTTCCTCTTATTTTCAAAGGATTTTGGGTCAAGTTTGTCCTGTTTGCCTTGGGCTTTATTGTGAAGGCACCTTCTATAGTGCACCAGGTGCACCCTCCAATTACTTTCCTCAAAGTTGGCTGCGCTTTCCAGCGCACCAGCACTACTTCATTGTCTTTAGCAGATTCTGCCATTAGATTATCTCTCATTGTGATTCTGACTTCCATTATCTCATTCTATTTTTAAGTTGTTTTCACAAATCTAGTTACCGAAAACAAAATTTAGACATCAACCCCAACAATCCTCCCCCATCCCCCACCAGAGCCCCCACACCATTGGAATTAAGCCTTTAAGATAAATGCCACTTGAAATTTGTTATTCATTATCTATATCTATACATATAACTGCCACTTGGGTCAAGTTTGTCCTGTTTGCCTTTGGCTTTATTGTGAAGGCACCTTCTATAGTGCACCAGGTGCACCCATGCACCATTTGTCCTTTATGATGCTCTTAGATTTTTTTAAAAATTGGTTACCAGTTATACAAATGATCAAGTTTCCTCTTTTTGAAAATGCAATTGCATAAGGGTCATGAAATTATGCCCTTCCTGTTTGGCAATTGGCATATGATTGGACATGTTATTTTTCAATTGAGTTTATTCTTTTTGACTCACGATGACATACTTATGAATTTTGCAATTGTATTTGTTTGCTTTTACAAATCTAAAGTTACCGTTTTAGACTCTTTTTTTTATGAAATGTTTGACTTTTTTTTTCTTCTTCTGATTTTGATATGTCACCTCATTGTAAATTAAAGTATCACAGTGTTGGACCTTAGGATAACCGTCCAATTGTGAGCGATCCGAACGTCCCTTTCGGATCACACCTGCAAGATGTAATTCCTAGACCCGTAATGGACCTTAGGATATCTCGTTCTACATATACGCACTGGGAACTTGGGGATTTAAGTATTTAATTTGTGATTTCCGTTTTGAAGTGATGCTATATTAATTAAGGGTCGTATCTCGAAATAAGTGCTCTGATCGATAGTACACAGCAGGCAGGACCCTCTCAGGGTCAGGCAGCTTGGGACTATTTGTCAGTGGACTTTGTTTTCAACATATGCATGGTTTTATTGATGAAAGATTTATGCATAATGTTTTAAATGGTATATTGGATATATTAATATTAAAATGTTGAATTTGATGTTCGTATAGTGCTTTGGCAATATATTGTGGGTTTGACATATTTGAGTATCGAGAGTATGTTTGTATGGATTTTGGGGAAATTCTATATATATTGTTTATATGTGGGGTACTTGGGTTGTTGAGGTGAGATTGTGGAAGGATTTGAGTATGAGGGATTGTTGAGAGAAGATATATGATTACACTATGTAAGTACCATCCCCAGTTACTAGGCTTCCCACACGTGGCGTTGGAATTTTCGGCGTGTAAAACACTTCCCATACGTAGCGTTGGAATTTCCAGCATATGGGAAGATTATGTATATTGCTTGGGATCATCACACATGGCGTTGAAATTTCGGTGTGTGATGATGTAGTCTGCGCACGTAGGACTTAGTATTGGAGCTACACATGGCGTTGGATGTTCCGGTGTGTGAGCTATGGAGTTTCGTCTCCCGGTTGGACCGCTCATCCCTAGACGTAGGATAGCACCTGGAAATCCTGCGGGCTAGCCAAACAATCCCCCGGTTGGATTGTTTCCCTAGTACCTAGGTAGTGTGAGAAGTATATGACATATCTATAATTATATATTTATATATATATATATAGGTGTGAGTGTAAAGCAAGTAGAGTACATGTAGTGGGTTGGTAAGAACAGTATAATTTTGGGGAATGAAGTTTGTGGTTCGAGTGATTTTTGGGTTTAATGGGTTTTCGAGAAAATGTTTTTGAGCTTTTGATTATGAATTGTGAATCTGCATGCTTTGGGCATTATTTTTACACGGTGGGGTTATTATGTTGTTTTAAATGCAACCTTGTTTTTGTCCACTAACATGTTTTCTGTTTTGCGCCCCCCATATAGTAGTTGCTCCAGGAAGGTGGCAAGCTGTGTTCGAGGCCAAACCGTTTACATCCGTAGATTAGGATTCGAGTAATTTCTTTTACTCAACTGGTTGTTGTCGTAATCCAAATCTATAGATGCTCTATTATTGCCCATGTTAGATTTTTACTTGAGGCCGGAGGCCATTTACTGTGTACTGTTGAATGTTGAAAGCATGCTGCTGGTTGGGATTATATTATGTATATTATGCAAGTTGAATTTTGTTGGGTTTGCGCATTTTACAGGGGAGATTCTGCCAAAATTTTGGTAGAATGTCTCGGTTTTTTAGTAAGTGGGCCCGGCATCGGGGTGATGTCAGTAACAAGATGGGATCTGTCCCCGTTTCTGAGGAATTTCGGGGTGGGTCCTGTCAGAAATACTTTCTGCTATGATGTGAACAATCTAAATCGCACAATTAGAAAGAGAGGGAGAAAACTAGAGTTCTTACCTGCCATAGAGAGGTTGAGAGAAAGCCAGCCACAGAGATCCAGATGAGAGTGAGAGAGAAATCATAACTGTGAAAACCTAAATATAAAAAAAACAAAGAACCCAGCGATGAAGCAGCAGCAACAAGGAAGATACCCAGACCAAAAGCCCTAGAAAGGAGAACGAAATGAAGAAGGAGAAGAAGGAGCATGACCTACTTGAGAGGAGAGGAGATGTGGTCGCCGGCATCGTCTCGTCATCACAAAAGGAGGAGAGGAGCTGCTGTGGAAGGAATCGAACTCGAAGATAAAGAAATGAGAAACCCAACCCTAAAAGTCGACTTGAAATGTCTCTCTAACTGAGAGAGCAAGTATTTTTGTCTTTTTTTTTAATTATTTTACCTAGAGCAACCAATTTAACCAGTAACTAACAATCAACGCTTTGGATTACCCACATACCCCAACTACACATCCAATGGTCTATAATAAGTGGCGCATCAGTGCGCCTTGTGCACTGTAGGAATCCATCCTAAGATTAAGTTGGGTTGTATAATCTCAATTATTGGTTCGACCAAAAAAAAAAATCTAAATTATTGATGTAAGAAATTTGATGATTATTACTTTTTGGACAGTTAGATACATCAACTTGTTGGACCATTGGAAAAGTGCAAGTGTCACTGATGCCCATCTTTCGGTCTGTGTGGTGTATTTTGCTTACAAAAGTGGAAAATTAGTCAAAGATAATGGCTCTTGAAATCATGAAAGGCAGAACCTGCCCCTCCACTACAGATAAGCCTCCTTTAAGCAGCCTCTGTGGTTCTAGCTTCTTCAAAGTTGTTCAACTCCAATTACTTTCCTCAAAGTTGGCTGCGCTTTCCAGCGCACCAGCACTACTTCATTGTCTTTTTCAGATTCTGCCATTACGATTATCTCTCATTGTGATTCTGACTTCCATTATCTCATTCTAACTCTTTTTTATAAACACCTTGGAGGTTTTTTAACAAAAGAAAACAAAATTTAGACATCAACCCCAACAATCCTCCTCCATCCCCCACCAGAGCCCCCACACCATTGGAATTAAGCCTTTAAGATAAATGCCACTTGAAATTGTTATTCATTATCTATATCTATACATATAACTGCCACTTGGAATATTGAGCCTTTCAATTAGTTTTATCCCCATTATTGTTTGTATAAAAATAAAAAATAAAAAAAAATTAGTTCCATTCAGTTTCAATATTATTGAAGAAAGTCTTGGGTTCAAATTTAATAAGGTCAAGAATGACAGGCTGGCACAGTAGTGGAACACCCACGAGCCTCATTATTACATATCTTATCATATAATTGACTTGGACTTTGCCTTGAAGACTTACTGCAATCATCCTGCAATCAGTTCTTGTTCCTAAACACTGCTCTCAACCAATTTCTAAAGCTAAAAACAATGGCTGATGCTCTCATTTCCGTGCTGCTAGAACGGTTGGTCTCGATAACCTATGAATACGTGGAAGGAGAGTTGAAACATGTTTTGAACGTTAAGGAAGATGTTGAGAAATTCACTCGGACTCTCCGAGTAATTCGAGCTGTGCTTGAGGATGCAGAGCAACGCCAAGTGACGGATCAAGCTGTCAAAATCTGGTTGGATGAGCTCAAAGATATATCCTACCAGATGGTGGATGTGCTGGATGAGTGGAACACAGACATTCTCAAACAACAAGTTGAGAAGCAAGAAAGCGAAGGTGATCCAAATGCTTTTGTTACAAAGAAGAAGGTACGTTTCTCCCGTGCTTTTGTTTGGCAAAGTCAGTCGGGTGATTCTTCGCCGTGACATTGCTCTGAAAATAAAATATCTGAATGATAAGTTAACTGAGGTTTATGAGGAAAGAAAAAAGTACCAGTTTCAAAGCAAAGAATTAGGCATTCAACAACCTCAACAACCACAACGACCTCAAACTGCATCTTTTGTCGATATATCTGAGATATTTGGTCGAGAAAATGAAAAAAAGGATTTGATAACAAACTTGTTGAGTGATAGTAGTGCGGAAGGGAAGGGGCTCCTTATCATCCCTATTGTAGGGATGGGAGGCATGGGAAAGACAACTCTGACCCAACTAGCCTATAATGACGACCGAGTAAAATCTCATTTTGAGATCAGAAAATGGGTTTGTGTTTCAGACCCTTTTGATGAGATTAAGATTGCCAAAGCCATTAGTGGTGATTACGCCCCAAGTTCAAATGAATTGGATGAGGTCTTGCAATGTATGTCTAGATCCATCCAGGGCAAAAGGTTTCTCCTTGTCTTGGATGATGTATGGACCGATGATCCCAAAAAGTGGAAACAATTAAAGGTACCATTATTCCAAAGTGGTGCTGAAGGCAGCAGAATATTGGTGACCACAAGAAAACTAGAGGTTGCTAATATGATGAGAGCAACAAGAAACATGATCAATCTGGGAGGGTTTGAGTGATGAATATTGTCTGTCAATCTTCAATCACATGGCCTTTTCGGATAGGGATGGACACGAGTCTAAGGTGTTTGGAGATATTAGTAAGGAAATTGTAAAGAAGTGTAAAGGTTTGCCTCTTGCTGCAAAGACTTTAGGTAGTCTCATGCAGAATAAGACAAAAATGGGAGAATGGAAAGAAGTTTTGAATAGTAAGATATGGGATCTAGAGAAGGTCGAGCAAGAAGTTTTTCAACCCTTATTCCTAAGTTATTATGATTTGTCCCCAACAATTAAATGTTGCCTTTTATATTGTGCAATTTTTCCTAAAGATTACGAGATTGAACGAGATGATTTGATTAATCTTTGGATGGCACAAGACTATGTTATTTCAAAAAGAGTGAAGAAAAGGGAACAACAGGTGATGCAGTTTTTGACAACTTAGTGGCCCGATCATTTTTCCAAGATTTTGAGAAAAATCGGAACACTGGTACAATTACAAGTTGCAAAATGCATGATATTGTGCACGACTTTGTGCAATTTCTCACCAAGAATGAGTGTTTGATTATGGATCACACAGAGTGTACTACTAGCGAATCAAAGTTATTGGGTGATAAGGTTCGTCATTTGACCTTGAGATATTTTCTTGATGGTCCACTTGCTATCTCATCCAACAATTGCCAAAAGCTTCGCACGCTTGCAACTTTTGATTCAAGAATTACTACAATAGACTCAAATTTAATTTTACAATTGAAATGTCTTAGGACATTAAATTTGAGTGGTAATTCCATCAAAGAACTCCCAGAGGAGATTGGTGAATTGAAACATTTGAGGCATATTGATTTGTCTTTCAATTGTATACTGGAGAAATTACCAGACACTATTTGTGGTTTGTACAATTTGTCAACCTTGCGCCTTGTGTGGTGCTCTGAACTTAAAAAACTGCCTGAAAACATGGGAAACTTGATTAACTTAAAGCATCTTTATGTTTTGTTGTGTGGAGTCTGGCGTCGTTGCCCAAAGGGATAGGGAGATTAACAAGTTTACAAACACTAGATGTGTGTCCTGTGATGGCAACAACGATGAAGCATTCCAAATTGGGGATCTGAGAAAGTTGAACCTTGAGGGAAGTCTGGAAATACAACTTGTGGGGGATGCGACAGATAAGAGCGAGGTTGAGAAAGCACAATTGTGGGACAAAAAGCTATTTCATCTCACCGTTTGATTTTGAAAGGCAGACGAACAGTAGTAGTAGTGTAGAAATACTGAATGCCTTGCGACCGCATCCAGATTTGGAATCTTTAAAGATTTTGTATCATAATGGCACCACGTGGCCCAATTGGATTCAGTCTTTAAAAAATTTGAGATTCCTTACTCTTGGTGGGGGGACACAGTGTGAACTTTGGCCTCTTGGGAAATTGGAGTACCTTGAAACACTGACGCTATGGAGTATGGATGGAGTGAGAAAGGTCGGTGTTGAATTTTTGGGATTAGAAGATCAAACCTCATTCAGAATCAGATCACCACCCCTGATATTATTCCCAAAATTGAAACGACTCTGCTTTGACATCATGCTGAATTGGGAAGAGTGGGAAGGCGTGGAAGAGTGGACGAAAGAGGATTCTGAAATTACAATCATGCCATGCCTTTCTGAGTTAACAATTGAATTGTGCACATCGCTAAAAGCACTGCCAGACTTCCTCTTCAAAACACCACTGCAGACTCTTCGCATCGGTGGATCTGAGAGACTTTTAGAGCGTTACCAAGAAGGCAATGGAGAGTGGGCCAAGATTATTGTTACGAACCCAAACATCCGCATTATCAGGTAATTGAGCTCTAGCAATCTCTTAATTATTTACATACTTATGTATGAATTCCAACTATCATCATAAATTTTGTGAACACCTTATTTTTAAGGTATATATAACTAATCTACTGTTGTATTGATGATTTGCAAAACTTTCTTTGTGTCATTAATTCGTAAAATATACTCTGAGGAACTACCTACTTTAGTAGGTCTAGATTGATTAATTTCTGTTGAATTCCTTTCGTTACTGGGCTTGGGCCCCCATTTATCCCCGAAAAAAAGGTGCTTTGATGTTTGTTTTGTTAAATCTCTGGAGTTAATTTTCAATTAGCTAGTATTAATAAATTCATTTACTTATTATGCCACACGAGGTTTCTTGTTTTGTTTAATCTGCATGCTTTAGTTGTTCCTCAAAAATTTAATTCCCGAATTGAAAAATGTCTAGGAGAAATGATTGCAAGAAGCAAATTAATTGATCAACTATGTATGTGTCATCATTTCAGAGACTTCTGAAGCAAACAGTCAGCCTACGGAAGTTCCAATAACTGAAATTTTGATTATTTTCACCACTCGCTAGGTATTTTTCTTCCTGCTAAATTGTTCGCATATATCATCATTTTTCTATAAAGAGGATTTTTCAAATGAGTATGAAAGGTAGTTTCCTTTTATGTTTTGTACAAAAGTAAAACTTATTGTTCGCATTCCTCTTGGCCAGCTGCAGTGCTTTGACGTTTGTTTTGTTAAATCTCTGGATTTTAGAGCATCAAGGGAACTTGTCCTGCTTTGTTTGACTGATTTCGATGAAGCTTTTACCTAACATGAGTAAGTTTTTTCATCAGTATGTGAAGTAATCCTATGTAATTTAAATACATGCTTGTATTTGTGATTGCTAGTTGTCAATTTCTAATGTCACTAGGTCTCCTATCAAATTTCATGGCACAGGATTTTCTTTTCGTAGTTACTGGAGCTCTTTTCGTCGCATGGGAGGGAGGGAAGAGTGAATATGACCCCAAGTTTCATTTAATTCACCTTCAAGTGTCATCAAGTTGCTCAAAGGCTATATGAGTTTGTTGTTTTGTTTAATCTGCATGCTTTTGTTGTTTCTACTCTTTCCTAAAGTGCGAGGCTCTCTCTGTAACTGGACAAGCAGTTTCTACTCTTTCCTTCATTATAATACCGTTCATCATTTCAGGGACTCTATGGAAGCGAACGGAGTGGTGTAAAGCATCAAAGTCAGTCTACGGAAGTTCCAATAACTGAAATTTTGATAATTTTCATCAAAAGTCAGCCTTGAGAACTTGACAGAGACATGATGAATTTCGAAGGTCTACTGAGCTTTTGATTTACAAACATTGATGAGTACCCTTATTTTTTGTTTTGTAAGCAGAAACTTCGTGAACACCTTACTTTTAAGGTACAGCAACATCGACTGTATATATAACTAATCTACTGGTGTATTGATCATTTGCAAAACTTCCTTTGTGTCATTAATTCGTAAAATGCACTCTGAGGACTGGTGAATTTACTTTGGCTCTCTTATTTTATTGTGTATCAGTTCCCAGTTTTTGCTGTTCCTCTAGAAGGTGTGTTTTGTTTGCCTTGGGTAACTTTGATTTGGTGTGTCGTTAATATCGTTAACCTTGCCTTAAACAAGCAATTCATAAAAGAAGAGGTAACTTGTTTTCAACGTGAAGAAAGAAGTTGAACAATAAGTTGGCAATCTCAAAGCTATTCAAGCTGCGCGCGCTTAAGGATGCAGAGCAAATTGTATACAACTTATTGCAACTTGTAACACTATACTTGAAATTGAGTTAAGTTTGATTTCGAAATATACTTCACCAGGCCCATTAGTCTCTTGGATATGGAACTTAGTGCAACAAGCCTTTGGTCCAATATCATTTTTTTATTTCCTGCAGCATTGGCCTCATTTTTTGTGCTTTTGCCCAATGAATTATTGGCTTCTTTGAGTTCCTAATGATTCAGGATTTCCATCTCCTCATCCTCTAGCGTGAGTGAAGGGGCTATAGTATAATAGTAATATTAGTAAGCTAGTATTAATTTTTTATGTATTTGTTCATGTCTCTCGTATTTGGGTTTTGAATAGTATTGACTATTTTCAGTGCTATATTTTGTAAACTCTTATGGTGCTTATTATTTTGAGATATTTAGTGATATACCCATTCTTAGCACTAATATTATAAATAAACCCTACAAACCCAAAAAAATGGCAGCTGGGCTTATTGAATTTAAAATTAATTATTAAATTACTTTTATGCCTATTGAGTGTTTTAGGTATTTTTATGAGATTTTAGGGTTTGGCTTATTTTAAGAAATTGATGGCAGTTTAGTAATTTATAAGAAATTAATAGCCTCTTTGTTATGTTGTAAATGGATTTTGGGTGTTTATAAAGTCCATTTCATATGAGCATTTTTATAATTTGAGTCTCTATATTGAGTATAATAGTGAATCTCCCAAAAAACAATGTCACTCATCTTAATTTTATACTCAATTTTCTTCTTTTGCAGCCTGTCGAGATTAAAATTATTCAAAGTAAATTAAATTAGCATCATGGGTCGTATGAGGAAATATGCCTATCCACGCTCAGAACTTTAATTACAATGAAGGATGCTAATACGCATATGTTTCTGCTACATATGCACTATGCAGTACCAACACCAGCTCAAGAGTAAAAATGAAATGAAAATCAATCAAATTAGACGACAGCGCTATTCATGCTTTCATATATGGTATGGAAGAGTTTAATTGCCAGAATGAATATTAAACTGGCAAAATCCACATGGACAAATAAAAACTGCACACACACACACACACAAATATATATATATATATGACGTAAACATCAAACAAGCATAACTTTTTCACCTGCCCCTGAATGCCACCTGCAGTTTGAACAGCAGCTCCTTCAAATCAAGCTATTTCGAGATCTGACTTAAACGTATCTTTTACAAGTGCATTGTTCTTGAAGATCTTGCAGGGGTGACCAACTAAGTTTGAGGTTTCTTCACTATTCGTGATGCGTGGTTGAACTCAAGCACAACTGCAGTTGCTGTGATCCTAAACTGCGCCTGCTTGACCAAAGAAAGTAGCTTAGGAATGAAGAAAAAGGTATAAACATAAAATTCAAAAAAGTTAAATGAAAAGAGAGAAATAAATAACGCACACATGGGAACGAGAGAGGTGGCACTGAAAAGTAGACTATTTGACCACAAGGAACAAATTGGCCAAATTGAAAACAAGGTGACTAAATTGGCCAAATGGGCAAAACACATGGACAATTTTAACATTTAAGCCTTCTTAAAAATTAACAATTTTGAAAGTAAGAGGTAAATTTTGGCTATTTTTGAAAAAAAAAAATCAAACTCAATGTGTTTATTCTCTTAACCGGCTGAACCCAAATCTTCCTCTTTTGTTTAAAACCACTTTTCATCTTGATATTTAAATTTGGAATCCGAGTAGTTAGTTTTGACTTGGAGACAGATATTCAAAAGGGTCCCAATGGCTTGACCTTGATTTGTTCAAGCCACCTATTGAAGCTAGCCTTGTGACTTTGGGTCTGCATCAAACTTTGTCCAAGCAGCCACCGCTCCAAGTAAAAGAATGATGCGTCTTTTCAATTGCAACACAATTCATTCGAGAAGACATAAGGGAATTCAAGCATCAGAATCATCACAAGTCACTACATACGTAGCCCCACAATGAGCTGTTTGATGACGTTCGTATGTACATGGGTGCTGATTTATTTGTACTTCTAACAACTATTAGTAATGTAATTTCAATAACAACCCGGACCTAAAGAGCTTGAAAAGTGTGATTCAGATGTAAGTTCAATAACAAGCACGTAATTGCAAACATCATCAAACGTCTCAATGTCTTGTCTTTGGGTTCCTACTAAATGTATAAAACCCCAATTGGGGTCTTCCATTCATTTCCAGAGCAAAAAAGTAAAAAACCAAAACCCTTACAGAGCAAAGGCCAAGTGCAAGATAACATGCCTGCTCAACCTCTCACAATTCCTCTCCATACTCCTTACAAAATGGGAAAGTTCAACCTTTCTCATAGGTACTTAAATCTCTTGTACATTGCATTATTGATTAGATATTGCTGCAAGCTGGCGATCTGTTTTTCTAAATCTGTATCTTGGGTCATTTTGTTGTCGCACAAATCAGCCATGGCATGACCTTGTTCTGCTTAAAATGGGGTTGTCGGTACCACCATGCCCATTAGGAGTCCACTACTTGTCCAAACCATGTATTGTCCCGACCTTAACCACGTAGGTACAATTAGGAGAGTATTCTCCAATGTGGGACATACACATCATGACTTGTATTTAGCCACCTACACCAACGATCTCCATCTTAGCGAGATCTAAGTCAAGGTAACCCACCCATTACAACACTCTCACTTTTCAAAGATGGCATGATCCCGCAACTCCACCTCTTCCGACAAGGATTTCTTGAGCATCACTAGGAGCTTTTGCCCCACATGCACAAACAGTTTAGTCCACTTAGAAGTTAGAGGCAGGCGTTTGTGGAAAATCCGAGTTGGCTAACAAGAAAAAGAATTTTACTTCTTGTGTTTTGCCGAATGAAGTTGTTTACCTATATCAGCAGTTTCTTTCACCATGCATTTTATTGTCCTTTCTGCCTTGATCATTTCATAATGGTTTATCTCGTGCTTATTTTTCTTAAATATTTAGGATAATTATTTGCCGGGGCTAGTTATGTTGTTCTCTTTTAAAGCTATCACAGGTGATGTAGTTATATAGTTGTGATAGTTTACTACCAGGAAAGATTGATGCTTATATTTGTAATTTGTTTCTCATCCACATTTCATCTTCTTTTACTCTATTGTATCTCTAATTTATTTTCTCTGCCTTTTCCAGAATTGTTTTACCACCACTGGCTAGAATGAGATCATACAATAATATTCCACAGCCACATGCCATCTTATACTACTCTCAGAGAACATCTCAAGGGGGTCTTCTCATAGCTGAAGCCACTTTTGTTTCTGAAACAGATCAAGGGTAATTTTAAGAAGAGTAGCTTTCCATTTTATTTTACGTTTGGTTTTTTCAATGAAATTAATTACATAAATTTAATATCTCAAGGTGGGTGAATAATCCTGGTTTATGGACAACGGAGCAAGTTGAAGCTTGGAAACCGATTGTTGATGCTGTTCATGCTAAAGGCGGTGTCTTCTTCTGTCAGATTATGCATCCAGGGAGGGTTTCAAATAGCGGTGCATTTCGTCTTTCACCTTTATGACTTCACTTCTATAATAGGAAGACTTATGAGCAATTAGACCATTGAAGCATCAGCAAGCTGATTTTTCATGACCATAATGTATTGAGCTCAGATTGTGATTCTGTTTCTGTCTCTGTCTCTCTCTCTTTGCTTGCAGGTTTCCAGCCAAGGGGACAAACTCCAATCTCTTCTACTGACAAGCCACTAACCTCACAAATACTAACTAATGGCTTTGCTGTTGCTGTTGCTGTTGCTGAATACACACCTCCAAGACGATTAAGGACAGATGAGATTACACAAATTGTCAATGATTTTAGACTTGCTGCAAGGAATGCTATCGAAGCTGGTAAATATAAATGGAACATAATTCATAAGCCAAATGTAGCTATTAACGAAAAACACGCCAGATTGATTCTTGAATTGAATTGTGTTGGTTTAGAGTCTCATATTGTTTAATGTTTTAACTTTGTAATCATATGATTCAGTTTTGTCTAATTGTAACTTTGTAACATCTTCGCTGAATGGAAAATGCTTGGCTGATATATAGGCTTTGATGGGGTTGAAATTCATGGGGCACATGGCTACCTGATTGATCAGTTTATGAAAGACCAAGTGAACGATCGAACAGATGAATATGGTGGATCGCTGGAGAATCGTTGCCGGTTCCCCCTGGAAATCGTTGAAGCTGTTGCTAATGAGATAGGAGCAGATAAAGTTGGAATTAGATTATCTCCATTTGCCGACTATATGGAATCAGGGGATTCGAATCCGAAAGCATTAGGCCTTTATATGGCCAAATCCTTGAACAAATACGGGATCCTGTACTGCCATGTGGTTGAGCCAAGAATGAAGACAGTTGGAGACAAAAGTGAAACCCCTTACAGTCTTCTGCCCATGAGAGAAGCTTTCAAAGGCACCTTCATTGCTGCTGGTGGTTTTGACAGGGAAGATGGGAACAATGCTGTGGCAAAGGGCCATGCAGATCTTATTGCTTATGGACGTTGGTTCTTGGCTAATCCAGATTTGCCCAGGAGATTTGAGCTTAATGCTCCTCTAAATAAGTACAACCGAGAGACATTCTATACATCTGATCCGGTTATTGGTTACACTGATTATCCATTTCTTAAAACTACTGCTTAAGTTTCCTGCAGCCCAAGGAAGCTTGAACATCCTTGGATCTTAATCTGCTTATTCGTATTGTTACCATTCTTCCACTATATGTATAAGTAGATAGAAAATAAAAGGTGAAAAAAAGTTGTCATTTTTTTTTGGTGGAATGAAGCTTGTCATTTGGTTTGGTATATTATGTCTGTGTTGGCTAATATTTGTATCGAGTGTTTCTGTGCGCGGCAGCCTCACCCAAAATTGTTCTCCTGTCAGTAAATGCCACTAGACCAGCTGATGAGAATAAAAGTAGATGAGGTCTAACATGTATTGTATTTAATTGCATCAAAGCTTTCTATAAATGTAGCTATTTGAACCCTACGATATAAAATGACATTTTAATTTCATGGTCTCATCCAATCCAATGTACCTAAAAAACCCGTACTCGGATGCCAAAGAATGAACATATGATGCACGTTGAACGTTATGAATACAAATTGCATATTGACAATTCCCACAAGTCGTTTTGATCTCAGCAATCCCTGAGGTCATGTTTCTGTGAGAGTATCAAATCCTAGAGTATCTACCGCGTTTTCTTTTCCGGCAGCACACTGACCTAGTTAACTCAAGACACAGAAACAGTTGGCAAAAGTTTGTGCATCCATCAGTCCTCTGCATTTCTCCTGATTTTTTTCTTCAGTTTGTCTTGCTCCCGATATCTCTCTCGTCGTTCTTCTCTCTGGCGCTTTTTCGACAATTGCTCTTCTTTGGCTTTCTGCACTTCAATTTCTTTCCTTTTTTTATCATCCTTTAGCTTGCGCTTCTTTATCTGCAAGAGCCAAAGTGAAGTTAAAATACTTTAAAAAATAATAGGGTGATGATAAGGGACACTGTGGCATAATATTGTCACACCATAAAATACCAGCTGTGTATGCGCTCTGGTGTAAGGGCAACATAACAAAAAAGACAAATAAGGTCCTCATAGCATAATTGCACTCTAGACTAGCCCTACAACTTTTCTCCAGAATAAATATAAATTAAAATTGGTGTCACTCTCCAGAAAGTCTGAGGTTTGCCTCAAAGGTGTTTATGCAAGTTCCATGCGTCAAAACTCAAAAGCAATCCTCCCCCAATTTAAATTTACTGCGGCTATTCAAACAAACATTTCAACCAGCAACCGATTGCCAAACAAAGTTAATTTGTAACCACAGAAAAAGTCCTCCATCAAGATCTTGGAAGGTAAATTAATCTTTTTGGAGTGCCTCTACCAGTGTGGGGTCTCTCTAAGTGTGGCTGTGCATTAGTGTTACTTACCCAAATTGGCTCTCCAACAAATTTAACCATCAATTATGCACTTAGCACGATGGTTCAAACACAATAATTGTCTTAAGGTGCATACCTTCTCATTTCTAATTAATCGAAGATGTTGAACAAGAGCATGAACTTTCCGTTCATGAGGTTCCATGACAACAGCTCTTCTATTTTCAAGAAGTGGCCTTCCTCTACTGGGTATATCCTTAGGCTTTGAAGCAAATGGTAAAGCAGCCTGCAATGACTTAGGAATCACCAATGGGTTGAACTTCTTCAGCTTCCTTTCAATGGGCTGTTGACACAAGAACATGAAATTAAGTACCGTTGGATAACACACAAAAACTGAAGAAAGAAAACAAGCAGTACTGCCGCGGCAGAATTGAGAGAAACCATGTACCACTGCAATAAGCAGCCTCACTGTGAGTCCCTCATATCATAGATTACCTTGTACAGTGAATCTTTGTTAACAGGAATAGGAATATTATGTTCTCTCCTCAATTCAGCAGTAGTTTTCATCCCTTGCCAGGTCTTATCACGAGGTTGCAGTGATGTCGTCAATGGGTTGTAAAACTGAGGAACTTCAACTTGGGTCCAAGCACGCAAAAAAACAATGTCACTCATCTTAATTTTATCCTCAAAGGTGCACCTAGCTATCCCTTCTTTTGGTTGTCCACCCATCTTTTTCGGTTGGTTACCAATTTCTTCTTTTGCAGCCTGTCGAGATTAAAGTTATTCAAAGTTAATTAAAATAGCATCATGGATCATATGAGGAAATATGCCTATCCACGCTCAGAACTATAATTACAATGAAGGTTGCTAATACGCATATGTTTCTGTTACCTATATATATGCACTATGCAGTAACAACACCAGCTCAAGAGTAAAGATGAAATGAAAATCATTCCAATTAGACGATGGGTCTATTCATGCTTTCATATATGGTATGGAAGAGTTTAATTGCCAGAATGAATATTAAACTGGCAAAATCCACATGGACAAATAAAAACTGCACACAAACAATATATGACATAAACATCAAACAAGCATACCTTTTTCACCTGCCCCCGAATGCCACTGACAGTTCGAACAGCAGCTCCTTCAAATCGAGCTATTTCAAGATCTGACGTAAACATATCTTTTACAAGTGCAGTGTTCTTGAAGATCTTGCAGGGGTGACCAACTAGTTTGAGTTTCTTCACTATTCGTGATGCGTGGTTGAACTCAAGCACAACAGCAGTTGCTGTGATCCTAAACTGCACCTGCCAGACCAACGAATGTAGCTTAGGAATGAAGAAAAAGGTATAAACATAAAATTCAAAAAAGTTAAACGAAAAGACATAAATAAATAACACATGCACGGGAACGACAGAGGTGGCACTGAAAGTAGACTCTTTGACCAAAAGGCGCAGTACACACCCTAAGAAAAATATTTATTAAAAAAACACTTAATATAGAATTTAAGAAATAAAAGGAAACACAATTATTGATTTACAAAGTGGTCTGCAGATCAGATTGGAACACCATTTAGTAATTCCATGGTTTAAACCATTCCCTTTCGATCTCATTGAAAAGTGGGCCTCACATGTGACCCTCAACTTAGTCCTCATTAGATAAATCTCATATGGAAAATATTCAAAGCTTTCCCTATGCCAATCCTAAAAATTTCGAAGGGATTTTAAGAAACATAAAAAATAAAAATAAAAAGAAGGAAGAAAAAAGAAGAAGAAACGAAAGAAACATGTCAAACCTGATTGTTTGATAAATTCTGGAAAGCAACCACACCAGTATTAGGAGGGGCAAGAGGGCCCCAAAACATTGCAAGGCAATGCATGTGTTCAGGAGTGTACTTAAGCATGCGATGCCTTCCATTACGATCTTCAATAGCATAAACAGGTATTGTTTGGTACCGCCTCCACCCGATAGAAACAATAATAGGATCGCTAGTCTTAAGTACTTTCTTGTGCCACCTATGCCGCTTTAACCTGGCCTGGGATAAAGGGAACAAGACATCTGATGAGATAAAAATTCTTCAAATATCCAAGAACATTGAGCCCATAGGGGATCATGTGCAATGAAAGAGTAAGAGCATCCACAATGGGAGGGTGTATAAGGGGGTGTATGTTAAATATACCTCCCTTGTCACCAGAATCATCTCCAATGGGGAGATGTAAAGGGTTGTAAACATACATCAGCACCATGGAGATGTAAAATAAAATGCACATTTGCATATATTTTTACATCTTTTGCAGGCGGGACCCACCCAAGAAAAGAGAGGAAAAATGAAGAAAAGGGGATGTAAAAGTGGCTTTACACCCCCCCACTGTGCATGCTCTAAGTAAGCTATCACCAAGAGCGACTGCCAATTATGACCTTAACATGTTTTAACATCTAGCTCCTACATGTCATGTTAAAGTAAATGAGGCAAAAAATTCTAATCTGGCTCTTTCTATGTGCAGAAATCATTAGGAATCCATTAGTTTGATCTGTACATTGGTTTGCATTTATCAGAGAAGCAGCCTTCACTCACTTCAAGCTTTATCATATTTTAAATATAATTGGGACCCGTAGAGTAAATGACAAGTCATTTTCTTTGAAAGTGAAAATTAATGTAACAAGTTAATAAGAGCAGTAAGTGCTATTTTTTAGTAAATTTCAAAAGGCAAAGAAGTCTATTAAACAATAATGCAATTTCAAATTCACAAAAGAACTGGTAGCAACACCAGCGGTTAATAATATAATAGCCTATCATTGCTATCCATCTATCTATAATATAAAGTGAGCTCCTGTTAGGGTGTCACTGTATTTCACCCAATGTTTTAAAACGCGAAGGCGTAAAGCAATGCATTTTACCGAAAGCTTTGCGAGGCGCCTCGCAGTGTTGAGGCATAAGCATTTTGGGTTTTTTTTTTCAAAATTATTAAATGATAAATATATAAACATATATTAAATGTAAAATTATAAAAATAGTATAGCATCCTTGGGCATTCTTTTCTGGTTCTTTATATTTTTCTAGGCCCTGTATAGCTTGTTTCAGTTATTGGGCTTAGGCCTCACATGCTAGTTTAAAAGAAATGCCCCTTTTTTCCCAAAAGCCCATTTTAATACTATTTGCTTAAGACCCAAAACCCATTTTAATACCATGCTTAAGCCTCATTTACAAAACCTGTTTTATGCCAACGACATCGTTAGTTATATAAAAAAAAATTAAGCCAGATCATCATCTTCTTTGCGGTTGCACAGCACTGAGTTATCTTCTCCTTCCTCTCTCCCTCCTCACAAGCATCGCCACACGCCTCACATACGCTCCAGTGCGCCTCAACAGCGCCTCAACTGTAAATCGTGCCACCAGAGGCGCCTCGACGCGAAATCGTGGACGCCTGCACCTTTTAAATCATTGATTTCACCCAATACTTTTTTTGTGTCTAAGTTGTCTAATTGTCTAAAAAGGCCTTATGAATAATATAATAGTTTGATTAAAATACGACCACCCATTGACTATTCAGTATCATAAAATAGGGGAGCTATCTTACACATGCAGCAGGGAGGACTAGTATAAAACAAAACAAACAAACAAACAAACAGTAAAATGTGAATATTTCTAATGTACACTAACCTGCATGTGTCCGACATTTTCTTCACCAAGACCAATTCCTCCAACCAAAATAGGATGGCAGGGGTCAAAATATTCAACCATCTCATAAGGGACATCATGAACCTCCAACCTTAGGTAAGTCCCTGTCCGGAAACCCTCTATCTCTAATCGGGTGGCCTCATCCAGGTCATTGAGTTCAGCTATATTCATTTGCTTCCGAAGTTCAATCTCATCCTTCAGCTGGAAGAACCAGGCATGAGATCCCACTACCTTGGACTGCACAAAACAATCTTAAATATGCGAGAAAGTTTACCTTATCAAAATAGCCACTTTCTTTGGATTGATCTCTACCAAATTTGCCTTCGTGTTTATTCTCAAGCTCCTCTTCAGATGACTCAGCTCCATCAAACGTATATCAAATTAAGGGCACAAAAGTAATTTCAGAATTTATCTACCAATGCAACACAGTACATACGACCAAACCGAAAATAAAAATGCTCACATACACACAGAATTACTATTAGAGCATCATATATGGACAAATGCAATATATAACCAAGAAACTATCCCAGCTTAATCCAATTCCAAACTCAGAGGAAAAAACAATCAACAAAATTCTTCCTTGGTTTTTATGGTGGAAAAGCAATATGTAATTCTTTGAAAAGTACATAAAGAAAATATTTTTAGTGAAAAGGATATTGAGCATCAAACTTTGCACGAAGAGCAAGCTTTTTCAGCCTCCTCTCCTCTTTGGCCAAATCATCTTCCTTGTGGTTTGCATCATTGCTTGCATCATCGGAATGATTCCCATCATGCTTCTCCCCAGTTTCTAAATCTTCAAAGTCACCATACACAGCATCATCATCTTCAACTTTAGCCTCAGCAGCTTGATTTCTTTGAGAAGCTTTCGACCAATCACCAGTAACAAAACGATCACGAATACCCTCCCTAAGCTTTTCCTCTTTCCAGTCTTTGAGATTCGAATAATTTGTGAATTTGGAACAGTCCTCAACATTCCAATTTCTGCCTTCTATTCCTCCATGTTTCTGGAATAAACGAACAAAAATGATAATATGACAGCGCTCACTTCAGTTATGGAGGTTATCCCAATAATTTATTTGAGATTGGAAAGATATATAAATCCCTTTGATGTTAAAGCATGCACATCTTACTGTGAGATATAAACAAGCAGTGTCTCAAACAAACCTTGTTTCTTTCTCCTTTTGGCTTAAAAAAGTCATCTCCATCACTTTCATCATCTGCACTACCATCATGTTCTTCATTGATAGAAGTTGCTTGTGTCGATGTAGATTTCCCATATACAAGTTGCATAAGGTTAATAATTTGTCTTGAGGAAGTCCTTTCTACCAAAGATTCTTTCCACTTTGCAATGTTTCCCATCTCATCTAAGAATTGAGACATTAAAATATGTAAGCAATTGATGGATGACATTTTCAGTTATATACCATTTTCTTATAAATCTTAGTTTTTATCAACATACATAATATAGGACCGTTCACCCAAAAACGTTGTATCTAATACAAAAGATAAGCATAGTTCTTCTTGCTCAGAACATAAGAATATTACAACATAACAAAAACTGGAAATTTAAATTTACCATCTGTTTCATGAATATCTTCATCTTCCTCTGAAGACTCTGAACCAGAAGATGCATGAATATCATCCTCATTGTTGTCATTGCCGTCATCTTCAGCCTCTAAATCTGAATCCTATAATCGAAGAATATGCATAGAACATGAGTATTATTAACTAGATCATGAATGCTAAATGTACACACATTTCTGGTTTTCGCTAATTATATTCATATCCATAAGCTGAAAGGTGAAGAAGATATGACAACTAGAGAAGTATTAATAAGTATAACATCTATTATGCATTTATCAAAAGTTCAATTCAGAATGTACATGTTTAGTATCAGAAAATCATGACCAAGTAATCCATGAGGATCAGACATGAAATAAAGTAAAAAATAAGAAATTAAATAGAAGATTAAATTATTAAATTCAATAGTTATTGAAGTTATCTTATAACTCTAATAACCAAAGTGGCGAAAAAATAAGAAATGTTTAATGTGTATAAGCCTCAGCAAGTGAACTTCAATATTTGCCTGTAACGTGAGACAGACAAACACAAACCAAACACAAACAACATATTTTTCTCCAAATGATGGTTCTATTCAACAGAGATGATGAGTTTAGCTTTGTTCACCTCCATATTGTTACGATCAAGGTCATTTCCAAAGATAACTTTTCTCCTTGACCTTCCATCATGAAACTCAACATGTTCCTTCAGGTGATCTTTAAGAGTAGCATCGTGATCCGATGCATCTTTATGAGCTGCTTCATTCTTATCTGAAGATTCTGATTCTGAACCGTCAAAATCCTCCGCATCACCTTCTTCGGCAGAACCTTCACCTTTGGTTGCTTCCCCAGACTGATATTCCTCAAAAGACTCTATTCTACCAATATGTTCTCTAGATTCATCAGTATCTTTTCCATCACTTTGAGCCTTTGACAATAAATTAGGCTTCCGACTAAATAGATTAATGAAGCTCTCCTCTAACTTTTCATCAACTGAATATTTTGTGTTCTGAAGAGATTTTACCAAAGCCACACCCACATCTTGGCACTTGCCTGTTACACAGGAACACGAGTATATAGTGATGAAATTGATGGCAGTTGCAAGAAGAGAAATAGAAAAATGTGTCATTCAAGAAAGAGATTTTTCCGCTTCAAAAAATAAACTAGGGAGAGATTGCAACTGATATACACCATGGAATCAAAATAAATATATGTATCGTTCCAAATGTTACCGACACATACAAATATGCATACAGAAAAAAAAAAAATAACCTTCATTTGTTGCTTCACCCTTTTCATCAATGTTGGAAAACTGGACAAAGTGGTCATTTATGTTTATATAGACAGCATCTTTATCATACAGGAGATCCCCAAGTCCAGACATGGGTGCATAAAACAATTTTTCCTTATCACGCAGTCCCTTCTTTTTGGCAGCTGAGGGTAAGGGACAAGGATCAGCTAAGCCTGTCATACCAGCTAAACTGTAATCCCCAACACCAGCAATATGAATCTGATGCACAATGCAAATCAGACAACAATATATCATTAAAAATTAAACAGCAAGATAATCCATCTATGAATCATATTTTCAGAGTTTGCTGCCTTCCCTACGAGACTGTGACTCCAATTTCTATTCATTCTGAGAAATATAAATATAATGAATGAAAAAAAAAAAAAAAAAAAAAAAGGAAAAAAAAAAAAAAAAAAAAAAAAAATACTCCGGTCTCCGTTAACACTAGTGTGCCCTTCATGCATGGATGGAGCAATCAACCCCTCATTGCACACTCCCTCAACAAAAAGCCCCTTTCCTTTTTCATCCTTCATGGATTGTTCTTTACAGCTTTAAGTTGCTGTACAATTTTATATAATTAACCCGTTTCACATTTTTTATTAAAGCTTGTTTATTCACTCTATTATAATTTAGTTATCTATTCTCCAAAATATATTCAACTGAAAATTTGCTCTGGTAACATGAAAACATTTATATTGAGGACAACTGTATGTGTATTGCATGAAAAGTACTATGAATCAATACCCTTAGTTTTTAATTCTTTTGTCGAATATTTTCCTTCTAGTTTTATTGTTTGGAGTTGCCCCACTGAAAGAAATTTATGGCTTCATCCCTGCATTCGGAATTCATGGAGAGCATTAATGGACCTCTCTTAACATAGACCTGGGTTATCGGCTTTCCTTCCAATTAAACTCGTCTGTTTACATGAATTTCTAAGGGAAATAAGCCAAGAGCTCTATAAGTCAAGCACGTACCTTTGTTCCTTTTTTCATGTTACAGCCCCGCAAATAACCGTACAGTGTGACATTTCTATCGCATTTATTATTCAAACGCACTTTTTCAGGAGGAGTGACATCTTCAAAACGATCTACTAAAACATAAGGATGAGCAGTTCGCCAAGATAAAGGATGGAACTTCATAACAGATATGAAACGTGCCAGATTGTGAATTTCACGTTTGACATACCTGTTCATTAAAGCAGGGGTAAGTTAACTAACAAAAAAAAAATGCAACTCATAATAGTTGTCAACTTTCGCAAGTGACTGGATCATCCAGTACAGAGAGTGACAACTTACTTTCCATGAATGAGACCAGATAAATAAAACAATTTAGCTCCATCATATATTTCAGTCCAGAAACGATGTTTGAGGTGCTGCTTTGTTTTCTTCAATTTCTTTACATCTTTAAACTTGTCAAGGTGAGTAAGAACTCCCATAACCTTTGGGAAGCCATGAACTTGCAATATGTTCAGGAATTCAAATGTCTCCTGTAAAAGGAAATAAAGCCAATACAATATTATAATATTAATGTCTCAGATATCATATTGATGGATAATGTGATCAGTCCGATAAAGGAATTGAAATATGTAACAAATGATGTATCAAAAAACCCAGAACATCCACTGAATAAATATTTACGCAGAGTCATCTCGGGATACATAATAATGACTTCTATGATGCGCGCACACTTGCATGTTTGTTTGATATGTATGACAGGAGTTCAATTCATAAACATTCTAAGACGAATGGGGTACAATTTTTGTTGGCATCAGGATTTCCATTGAAGTTTAAACCATCCAAGTGGAGACAGTAGAAGAAAAGGTAACAAGATTAATCGTCTCAAGTCTCACCATTTCAAAACCATAGCTTCCGTCAATTAGAAGTAGTGCTAAATCAGCAAACTTTGCAGCATCAATCATACCATTGATATCATTTGGGCACTCCACAAACTGCACCCGCCTTTGCTTCCCTAACAGAAGCAATCAATCAAGAATTTAACGAACAGTGCTCAATCTAAGATCAAACTAAACCAAATCATTGCAATGAATGAAGCAAGGCACCTGAAACAATGGTAATTGGGCCTCGAACCTCCGGTAAACTATGCTTGGTATAATGCTTCACAAGAGACTTAATCAACAAAGACTTGCCAACCTAGAAATCAACAATGAGGAATTAAAACAAAAAAATTGGTCTGAACAAATTAACAGCAGTTTAAGTGAGAAGCAGTAAGATATTACCTTGGGAGGTCCATGCACCAGAACAACATATGGAGGTTGTTCGCCATAGGAACGATCAATGGTTGGGACATGAAGCCTGCGCTGCTCTTTCTCGACCGAGCGAGATTGAAGACGCTTGGCTTTCACAGTTGAGCTAAAAGCAAATGCCTTTGGGTTTTGCTTCTTGCCGCTTTGGGAAGAAGCGTCACGCTTCTTCTTGTCGGCCTTGGAACCCGACTGCCTGGACCTATGTTCCTTGTGCGACTGCTCCTTAGTTCCGCTATCTATGGCCATGGATGGTAACCTAATTAAGAAACCCCAGCACCACAGCTTCACCAACACTGCTTGTATGCTTTGAAAACATCAATGAAAGAGTAAAGATTTTTTTTTTTTTTTTTTTTTTTTTTTTTTTTTTTTTGGGTTAGGGTTTTGGTAGGGTTTTGCTGATAGGGTGTGAGAGGAGGGAGGGGACTTACGGGCTGTTGAGTGTTTTTTTTTTTTTCGTTTTGTTTTTTTTTATATTTCTTTTCTTTTGTTTTGGGCTGTGGGGTTTTGGCGGTTTTTTTTCTTTTGTGGCCTCATCGAACGACCTCTCCTTCATTTCTGCTCGGCGCTCACTCTCTCACTCTCAGTATCTGGCAGCATCTCTCTCAAGATTCAGGTAAGCTTCCGCTCTCATCTCTCTCATCTCGTGTTTTAGGTTGGCATCTCAGCCTCTCTAACTCTCTCTCTCATCTCCATCCTCTCAGCCTCTGTGTCACCTTCGATTGAATCTCAAAGCAGCTTGGGTTAATGAACTCTCTCTCAGGTAAACTTTCTCAGATTCTCTCCTTCAATTAGTGTTTTTTTGGTAAAATTGAAATTAAATTAGGCCTTTTGTGTGAAATCAAATTGGACTTCGGTTTAGGGTTTTTGACATTGAAATTGGGGCTTGTGAATTGAAATTCAAACTAGGCATAAACTATATGCATGCTGTTTTTACTAGTGAATTGGTTTCCATCTTCGTAACTGACTGTCTATGATTACTGTTTCATAATTTTATTAGTTTAGAATTACTGAATTACTTAGGGACATATATTTTCTCGGAAATTTCTAATGATTTCACTCTTTGTATTTTAGAGCGTCTGTCTCTATTTGAGTTTTTTGTTGCATGGGACATTTAATTACATTTTCTTGCCGTTGTTGTTTCCTTTTATTGTGTTTGATTCTTTTAGGCTGCAGATGAAATGTAATGCATCATGCATGTTATGTAGTCTATATGCCATGGGTAGAATTTAGGAGATCATGGCTGCTATTCTAGATTCCAGTTGGTAAAACAATTGAGAGTAATGGTTTTTTTGTTTTTTTTTTTTTTTTTTTTTTTTTTTCTAATGTGTTTCCTTGCTGAATTATTTTTCCTTCAATTCTTCCCCCTCCGTTTTCAAACTTTCATCTCAATGAGTTTCTCTTTCCAACACACATAGCATTGCTTAGCTAAAGAGTTGAGAGCCATCTTTCCTGCTAATTGTAAAATAGAGCTTCAATTTCTTCCTTCAGCGCCATTTCAACGAAGATGATGACAATAACAGTGAAGCCCCTCTCATCCCAATCACCATTATTCAAGTACATCTCGCAAAACCCAGTTTTGTTTCTCTCTCGGTTACTCTGCTCTGGAAGCTCAACTAACGATGACATTGAGACTGTTTTTCGTATAGTCAGTTGCCGGAACCATTCTAAAAACTTGAAGCAAGCATTGAAATCAAGTGGAGTTTTCCTCTCAAATGATTGTTTGATAAGGTTCTAAAACGGGTTAGGTTCAGCCATGGAAACCCTTTACAAGCTTTGGAGGTTTTCAATTACACTGGGAACAGAAGAAGGTTTTATCACAGTGCCCTTTCACTAGATACTATGCTTTATATATTAGGAAGAAGTCGAATGTTTGAAAAAACTTGGGAGGTCTTAGTTGACATTAAGTATAAGAATAGAAATTTGATAACCCCACGGACTGTAATGGTTGTTTTAGCTAGGATCGCTAAAGTTTGTTCGGTTAGGCAAACTGTGGAGTCTTTTAGGAAGTTCAAGAAGCTTGTGCCCGAATTCGATACAACTTGTTTCAATTCTCTGTTGAGGACTCTTTGTCAGGAGAAGTGTATAACAGATGCTAGGAATGTGTATCATAGTTTGAAGCATAACTTTAGGCCTAATTTGCAAACTTTCAATATATTTTTATCCAGGTGGAAGTCATCTGAGGAAGCTGAGGGATTCTATACGGAGATGAGGGAGATGGGCGTGGAACCTGATATCGTTTCATACAATTGTTTGGTTGATGTTTATTGTAAGAGAAATAAACAAGGCGTATAAGGTGGTAGAGCAAATGCGTGATGAGAATATATCACCTGCTGTGTTCACCTATACCAGTATCATTGGGGGATTGGGGTTGGTTGGTCAGCCCAATAAAGCCAGAGATGTATTGAAGGAAATGAACGAGTGTGGATGCTACCCAGATGTTGCAGCATACAATGCTGCCATTAGGAATTTTTGCATTGCAAAGAGGCTTGGTTATGCTTATGGGTTGATGGATACAATGATGAGTAAGGGTTTGAGTCTGAATGCAACTACATACAATTTGTTGTTTAGGGTTTTCTTCTAGTCAAAAGACTTGCAAAGCTCATGGAGTGTGTATGGCAGAATGATGCATACAGGGTGCCTTCCAAATACGCAGTCTTGTATGTTCCTGATCAGGTTGTTTAGGAGGCAAGAAAAGGCGGCTATGGCATTACAGCTGTGGAATGATATGGTAGAGAAGGGTTTCGGTTCTTATATATTGGTATCTGATGTGCTGTTTGATTTGCTTTGTGATTTGGGAAAACTAATGGAAGCAGAAAGGTGCCTCTTGCAGATGGTAGAAAAGGGGCATTAACCTAGGGCATGTTTGGTATGCCTCACTATGCCTCACTGGACTGGACTGTGCTATATAATACTTAAAACCCATGTTTGGTAAAGAAGGGGATTAACTTAAGTGGGATTGTATAGTCCATCAGTGTAAAAAACCCCGGTAATGTTTCATTCAGAATGATCAAGGTTCTTATGGAACTGGCAAACAAACATGAGGCCCTGAAGAACTTGACGGAGAAAATGGCAGTTTTTGGCACATCAATCCATCTTCTGGAGAGTACAAAGAGCTCAACAGAGACATCACACTCAGAATCACTTCTAATATAAAAGTGTGTGGGTTACTGATGGTGTTATGGAATTGCTGATGCAGAAAATGTTTCTGATTGATATGGAATTAGAAACACTTGATGGCCCTATTTTTAGAGTAATGCCATTGCACGCTATGGTGAGGCTCGGTTTTAAGTTCCTTAATTTATATCTAGAAATGTTGTTATGTTTAAATCTAATTCTATGCTTGCATTTGCTGCACTGACTCAGTTATAATCCTCTTTGTGGTCTTCCTTGATTGAATATGTAAGTGATGTGAGGGGGCTGTCTTGCACTTGTAAAACTCTCCGGTTAATTAAATGTATCCTTTAAAGCTTCCATTTATTCAATTTTGACATAACATGCTGTTTGAGTTAATGAGATGTTAAAAATCTACTGTTACTCATAGTAAGGTGACTTTGGATTTATAATTGGGTCTCATTTTTAGGATTGTAGGCTTAATTTTCATGAATTTTAAAGCTTTAGAACATGCATTAGGAATCTTTACTGATATATTCATTAGAATGCGGATATGATTTGCAATCCACATTCCCTTGAAGTGCTTATGATTTTTGCCATTGTATTGTTGGTTTTGATAGGCGCATGCGCAGCAATGGATTGATTTTGCCGGTTATTGACGAAAAGTTTTACCTCTGAATTTCCTCATGTATAGAGAGATGCTTTTCGACCTTTAGTTAATCGGCGTAACTTTCGCAAGCAGAATCTGTATTTAGTGGACGTTTTATGTCAAACCATCTTTTTTTCAGAAGGGAAACTCTCACGTACAGTTTTTTTTATAACCAGAGACTTTTCCTGTTCTTGGATTTCCCTATTTATGTATTTTTAAAAATGAGGGATTACTTCTTACTCATCTCATATGCAGCTAATCGACTCTGGAATGGAACAAAAAATAAACAAATAGATAGATAAAACGTAGCCTCAGAATCATTATAAGTCGCTGAAAACGTAGCCCCAGAATGAGCAACAACACTCAGATGTTTGATGACATTTGTATTTAGTGGGTACTGATTTATTTGTAATTATAACTATTTAGGCTGAGGTGGATTTCTTTCTCTCTCTCTCTCTCTCTCTCTCTCTCTCTCTCTCTCTCTCTCAATGAGATGAGCTATAAAGGTTGAATAGTTAGTAATGGAATTTTAACCACGCAATTGGGAAATGTATAAAGGCCCAGTTCGATCTTCCATTGATTTCCGCATAAAATAAAATAAAACCAAAACTCAAAAGGGCAAAAGCAAAGTGCAAGATCACTGTGACATATCTGCTCAACCTCCCACATAACAAATGTAAGTTATGTAACAATGGCATTTCATATAGGTACTTGGAATTTGTATATGTATAATGTACAAATACTTCGACATCTATTTACATGATTAAGTAATGGAAGGCTTATTTCAACTATAAATGAAAAAGAGAGGAAAAGTGTGACCATAATGGAGAGATTTCAATAAGAGCTAGAACCATCTTCAACACCTTCAGGAACGAGTACATCAAAATCACTTACAGTCCATTCCGCAGTCTCTCCTGGGCTACTGACATATATTTCTGTACCAACATTAATCGAAGACCATACCCTCCGTGCTGGTTTTGTTCCTGGGTCCTGTGCAACAAGATCATGAACACCTAGGTAAGAGGAGAAAATGACTGACTACAAATAGTTTCTGCAGTCAACTAGGAGAATATAGGCTTCTACTTGAGGCAAAGAAAAATTATTTTTCACTAAAACACCCTAATAAATAAAACAAATTTGAAATAATTATATGCGTTGTGGGGAAATTTTGTGTTGTTAGTAGTACTTCCAACTTTTTTTGTAATTTTTTTTTCAATTTATATGTGAATATGGACTTAGGGGCCCCATTTAAGGGGTTGACCTAAATCGATGCAACGACGAGGGCCAGCCCTGCCAGTGGCATCCTTGTCATCCCAATTACAAAGACTTGTAAATAATACCCAGCAAGGCTCTTTAACCATCTGTGCGGTGCATTTTCGTGTTTGCAGCTTTCATGCGTTTAGCTGTTTAATGCAGAGGGTGCTTGTGTGGGATGCATGATGACTCAACTTTTTTCTATGACTGGACACAACTTCGCATGTGGGAATATTCAACATGAACAAGGTAACAAGCTCCAAAAAGCAAATTTCATATTTCGAAGAACAAAAACCAACTGAAATACCAAAAGATTAATGAAATGAACTCTCAATGAAAATTTTGGAGCAAATACTGAATTATACCAGGTAGAAATACAACCGGCTAGAGAGGGCCCCCACATCAAGCTCCCATGTCCTGGGGTCTCCAACCCATCCATCTCCTTGTTTAGCAGGATAGCCATGTACAGCCCATTCAGGATGTGGAAGAATTTGTACCAGTTCTTGTGCTTGTGGATTGCTATATGGGTCACATATGTCATATGGTTTCTCCAGAAATTCAGCATTTCCAGGTGTACAGTAGAGATGATAAGCAGAATATGGAAACCGAGATGTTTCGTTTCGATATATTATATCACCAGTACGAGTAACATGGTAAGGAGGGCAGGAAACAAGGTTATCCGGCCGACACCAGCTTGTAGTTTCTGGATTTATTATCATTTCACTGTATCTAGTCACATCTGTCAGAACATTACCATCACATGGTTTTCCATTGTTCTTCCAACAGCTTCCTATGTCAAGGAGATAAAATTGACTGTTGGAGCCTCCTCCACGTTTAACATCTAGTGTCAATCTTACTTTAAAATGCGGAGAGACTGGCAAAAAAAAAAAAAAAAAAAAAAAAAAAAAAAAAGAAAAGTAAATATTATTAATGCTTTGAGGTGTGACTTCAAACTTCGAAATATTGACGCATGAGGAATAGAAATATCAAAGAAATAGTATTAAATAGATTTCATCAAATGTACAAGATTTAGATTTACATAAGAGAGCATCCAGATTTCATTTTGTATGTTTGTGGCCAGTCAGAATAGTGAACAAAATAAAGAAAAGAAATAGGGGTACTTTGAAGATGTTTTGGGACATGAAATTCTAGTGCCCGTGAGTAAGAATTAAAGCTGCGGAACTGACCTTTCTCATGATGCCACGACCATCATAGTGATAACCACCATTAAGTCCTTTTGTTGCATCTGCACGAAGATACAACATAAGCCAGGGGTACTTTGAAGATGTTGTCAATCTATGCGAGAAAATCCAACTTCCTGTGCCCAAGTTTTTCTGCCATGAGACTGAAAAGTAGGAGTTCTTCCCTATACCTTTGCTCAAATCAGCATCAAGATCATAAGTTCCATAAAATCCTCCAATTAAAGACACTGCTCGGTCACCATAAGAAACCAATCTTGAGTAGTTATGGTAGACAAGTGGCTGATTCATACAACCTTGACCAAAACATGGAAAATTCCTATCCGTAACAATTCTGCTTACCGGCTTGCCATTTTCAGGACAAAGAGTAGTGTTTTTGTCAAAATTTCCGTTCTTAAGCATGACCATCCAAAATTGCCATGGATCTGATGAATTCTGAACCTCACATAGAGAAGCAAGATACAGTTCCTTTTCCTTTGCATATAAGTCAGGGTCTGTGTATGGCTTAAAATCCCTTACAGGAAAATTATCACCAGCCCGTAAGTTGTTGTCTGATTCATTTACTCTGTGATGAATCACACACTTACTTTCCATACCTAGGGAGGTCCTATCCAAATGATCTGATAACAGAAAATATAAAACCAAAAAGGATCAATAAGAAAGCAAAGTCTAAGTGACACAAAAATTACAAACAATGTACTTCAGTATTAGTTTGGATTAGAACTAATCCTAAATATGGTACATTGATAGTGACATGAATTTACAGAAAGAAGTAATCATTTCATAGTACAATCATTCTACAGCTAAGTTCAGGCAGGCTGCATGTGTGTAGTTGGTGCTGAAAGAAGCAAGCCACAGTCACAAATTAAGGAATCAAGTTTTAATTAGCAACAAGACAGTTCCAAGTTCGTGAATTGTACCAGAAACTATTGGAAATAACCAGCAGAAACATAAACATGCTTGAAAAATACAGACCGAAATTCGTACTAATTTCAGAATGTGTGGTGATTTGTGTAAATTTGCATCATCCAGAAACAATTCAGGAAAACTGAGCTGACTAAAAAGTACACTAGAGTCCTATTATTGACCGTGAAAGTTCCTCATAAGTTGCCTGAAATTGGGTTACATATAATAATGGGTCTCATGCATTATCTAATGGGAAAATCCCAATTGAAGAAAGAACAAAAGCAGATTAACCTACTAACTCAAAAGCAAAGACAACCATTCACCTCTTATCAAGAAGCTAAAGCAAGGGTAATTAATGATCATTAACTTCATAAGCCAAATAGGTTTTCCATCAATACATGCATACATAAAAAAGAAATTTGTGAAACTCTAAACATGTCAGTATTTACTCAAACACATTTGGGTACTTCAGTTATATTTTTTGCTCTGAACTTGAGCATACCAGTAAGAGAGCAATCAATATCAGCACAATCGGCCAGCCTGGGGCTGCCCATGTTGGGTGCTTCCATTCCAACTTCATTGCAGAAGTTCCAAGCTTCCAATGCAACTCTCATATTTGGGTTCTTCATTCCTGGGTCTCCTATTGCTGATATGTACTTCTCTGAGACAGTGCTTACAAGATCACCCAAATTCAAGGCAAATAGTTGACAAACAAGAACAGAAACAACAACCGAAGCTGAGTTGAGAAGACCCATTTTTTGTAACTGTAAGGAAGAACTGGATCATCTGGTATGTAAAAACTCACTTTGTTGCATTGGCGAAGAAAAGAGAGAGAGAGAGAGAGAGAGAGAGAGAGAGAGAGAGCTTTTGCTTTGAAGCAAAGTTGCTGACGCTTGCAGTGTTGTTGGTAGTTTTCACAGGGACATGTGGATGGTCTTGCGAGAAACCCAACACATGAATTTAGGCCCACGTGAAAGCTAACAAACAAGAATGGGCTTCTACTGCAAGATGATGGCATACAAAGTGTTCGAACAAATTTCGTGAAGGGATTCAAACGCAAAACCTCGAATTGGATATAAGAATAATTATTATTAGGGGTAATGTTAGGGTTATCATATTGTGTGCCACTTCTTTATAATAGTATTTTCTTTCGAATATGATTATTGATAATTGGTGATTATAATTTGATTTACGTGCATTTGAAAGGTGAATGGTTAAAAGAGAGATTATTTGAGAAATGAGAATCACATGTTAGTGGTGGAAAAATTATGGAATTATTGGGCTGAGAAAGTAATTATGGAAAAGAATGTATTGAGAAAGATCTTTTGTGTAGTTGAGTCTAAATTGGATTATGTTTCCTCATACTGGCGCTCTTTTTCTATTATTTCTTTCTGCCATATCCTTAATAGCGGGTTGGTTACACCTACAACCGAAATCCTTACATGATGCATTTTTTTTACAATTTTTTGATCACCACGTCTGTATTGTAAATATGCAGTTACGAATAAAATTGGCATTGTGATTATTTCATTGTATATAGGTCAAATTAAGTTTGTATATTTATTTGATCATAATTAAGTGATTATTTCATTGCGTAAAATTAAGTTTGTATATTCATTGTATATAGGCCAAATTATTTTTTTGTATAGGTCAAATTAAGTTTGTATATTTTGGTTTGTTGTTATGTGCGGGTGGACAGGGAGACCTTCATGGTTCCTCCACTCTCATGATGGAACTTCTAGCTATTCGTCATGCGCTCAGTGAATGTTCTCACTTTCATCTAACAGAATTAATTGTGGAGTCGGATTCTCAAAAGGGAATCTCAATGCTTAATGGTCGGGTTACAGTGGACTCAGATCTGGAGGGAATTGTCTTTGATATCCAGCAGTTGGTGGCTTCTCTTTCTCGGGTCTCCTTTGTGTTTGCTCCCAGGTCCTGCAATCAGGCTGCCCATTCTGTTGCTGGTTTTGTTTCTAAACAGGGGGTAATCATGTTTGAGATCACCTTGGAACTGACTGGCTCTTAAATTTTCTTGCCTCTGACGTAAACCTTCTCATTCGTTATTAATATCATTTTCCAGCGTTTTGAAAAAAGAAAAAAAAATGATTAACCGATCCTTAAAATGATGAAACAAAGAATGAACGGTTCGAATTATGAGATGACTAGTTAACACCATGTAAACATACTGGACTTTTTTTTTTTTTTTTTTTTTTTTTTTTTTTTTTTTTTTAAGGCAGGCAAAAAAAAAAAAAACTAATTGACGAGAGTTCAAATTGACTCTATTAATGTTGCATCTCTATATAATGAAAATAATCCGCATAAAAAAAAAATTAGTGAAAATAAAAGCTTTGTTTTGTGATCTATCTCTTATCTTCTTATTTTTTTAACGGATCTCTCTCTCTCTCTCTTCTCTTTTAACGGGTCGTTTTTGTGATCTTTTAAACTTTGCGGGTGGAAGGATAATTTTTGTTTGTAAATAGGAGCTTTGTTTTGTGAGGCAATCTGATTAAAAAAGAGGTAATAATTATGTATAAGAAGAATCTCTTATGGGTGTGTTACAACGTTTTCTAAAAGAATCTCTATTTTATAATCTCTTGTAGCTGGATCCGCCCATGGAACAAGATAGAACAGGACTATGATATTTGATTTGACAGATATGGATTATCATTAATATTAAATGAGTTTGTCGATGCAAAGCAAAGTTAAGTGGATGATAATGAATATTTGGTTTCTATGTTATTAACTTTGGATGTGCCTTAACAATTTTCACTTATGGAGAAAATTTATGCATGATAAAATGAATACGATTTTTTTTTCCTACAAACGATATTTTACTTTAATCTCTTATAGAGAAAATATACATTTAAACTATGCATGTATAATATATGTATATATATATATATTATATACATGTATATAATCAGTGGTGAAGCCAGGATTTCATGTGTGTAGAGGTCCCTTACAAATTATAAAGAATCAAAAATTCGAACTCACAATACATACAAAAAATAGTGTGTATATATATATATCACATATGTCAAAAATTATATTGCTTATTGGTTGTAATCATAATTGTTCTCGACAAAGGGATAGACAAATACATTCTAAGCAAGAAAAATTGCAAGAGATAGATAAAGAGTAGCGATTTAGCAAATATCTTTAAAGCTTTTTCCCCCATTAAACCCAATAGAAAGAAAAAAAAATTTAAAATTTCCCAAATTAAAAACAAACTTAGGCCCCTTCATGCATTCATATCATACATGAAAAAATATTGACTAAGTATGAAAAATGATTTTTTGGAATAATCATTTTCTCAAGATAATTTTTGACAGCTTTTATTCCTTACACATCAAATAAGAAAACTTGATTTTATGGTATTTTAGTATGAAGTATATATTGACTTAATGAGCCATCATTTTTAGCCTAAATCGTATTTTACACTAAAACCGATTTTTCATATTTTGATTTGGTGGGAATTTGATTTTCTAGTATTTTTATTTGAATCCAAATAGGGAGTACTTCCTTATTTACATTGTAAACTTAAGTAAATGGAGTAATATAAAAATAAATTAAAGTTAAAGGACAAAGACATTTACTTAAATGTTGAAAATGGAAATAAGGTAATCTGTACACCTGGAGTGCACCACCACCAGCTGAGCAATAGTGCAATTTGAACTACCTCCTTGTGTCTTAATAAGTCCACCACAACACATTTGGGTACATATCAAAACGTAAAGTATTTGAAATAATATACATATACAAATACATAACAGTATATTACTTTTCAAATATAAAAAAACTTGAGTGAGGGCCCGGGACCACACTGGTCCCAGTGTGGCTCCGCCCCTGTATATAATATTTACATATATATATACATATATTATTTTTATAATATGTACATATGTATATTATAATAATAATATACGTCTATATATGTATATTATAAATATTTATTTATTTAAAACGTATAGCCAATCGGCTATACTGCTTTTTTATTTTTATTTTTATAATTTATAGTATAGCCGATTGGCTATACTATTTTATATAATATTATATTTAAACAGTACTTCCTTATTTACATTATAATAATAATATACGTCTAGGCGCTAGGCGGTCCCTTGTTTTTATAATAAACAGTATAGCCGCACGGCTATACTTTTAAAATGTATATCTAAAGACTATAGCCGCGCGGCTATACTCGTTTTCAAAAAACTAATAAATAGTATAGCCGAGCGGCTATACACTATACTATTTAAATATAATATATCTACATAGTATAGCCACGCGGCGATACTGGGCCTTTTAAAAAAAATTAATAAATAGTATAGCTGACCAGCTATAATATTTATTAAATTTTTTAATTTTTCATATCTATTATGAAGTTCCATCCTTTACATTGGCGAACATTGTTTTGTAGATGTCACTCCTCCTGAAAAAGTGCGTTTGAATAATAAATGCAATAGAAATGTGACACTGTACGGTTATTTGCGGGCTGTAACATGAAAAAAGGAACAAATGTACGTGCTTGACTTATAGAGCTCTTGGCTTATTTAAATAAATAAAAATTCCAAATTTTTCGTTTATAGATAAGAATAATTTAAAGTATTATCCATTACTATTTGGTCATTACTAGAGTCTCTATTATCCCTTTTTGATTTTTTATTGTTTTAGAGTTATTACCCGTACAAAAGAATTTAACATTTTCTTGTTTAAATCTCATATTATAAACCTATGTATGTATTTTTTATCATTTTTGAATTCCTCAGTTTTAAATTTCATCATGCAAATATAAGTAAAGGTAGGTACAAATAGTTTTCAATTTCAAGTTTTTATTTTACACGTTCTCCTTCATTTCTCCCTTGCTCCCACACATTTCCCCTATATAACTAACAAAAAAAAAAAAAAAAAAAAAAAAAAGTGTACCAACCTAGTTTTGACATTTACCACCTAGGTCCAATAGGAGCCTATAATACCAATCCAAATCATGCATCGATATTGTACCTTAACCACCTAGGTCCAATACCTTAGGTGCAGGGGTGTAGCTAGGATTCAAATAAATGGGGAGCCAAGGCCACGACAGACCTTGATGTAGCTTTGTACCTACTTGGGTGGGATATGCCCGATGAACCTCTAGGTGTGAGGTTTTAATTTAAAAGGCATCGGGGTAATTAGTAGTGGACCACATGTATTTGAATTTTAGTTTATTGTTGTATTCTCTGATACGAGACTTACATGTCATAACTTTTATCAAGTCACCTACACCAACAAACGGAAGTGTTATGGAGCTTTTCCTCAACTTCATCTTCCTTAGCCTCTTCTCATTTTGGTCTCTAGCTATTTTTGTCTTCAATTTAAAAACAAGCCTAATAATACAAACAGAAAACAAAACACGTCCGTACATATAAGGTCTTTAAGGTTTCACTTGTTATTTGTTTGAATGGGCCGAAATGATGATGGAATCTCGTTGGTTCATATGTATGGCACAAAAGTTAATATTATATACATATTTGGAACTGTGGCATTTTTTTAAATATTTCTTTTTGCCTAGAGTATTAGGCTTTAACTTTTGAATTCTAAGTGGCTAAGTGAGTGTTGGCAAAAGATTTTTGGAATCAAGCTTTTACACTGCAAAAGAACTATAGGCATCCACGTGGCGTCTGTTTAAGCCACTTCATGTAGACTGCGACCGTCGATGTCAAAGAGATCTCTTTAATGAATTGTATTGAACGTGTAGGATTTGACAAGATTCTTGGCTTCAAAGTTAAGATGAAGATTAATAATAATAACCAAATTCTCACAAGATTTAATAAGGGTTTTAGGGAGACAGTGGAGAAGGCTAACCTGACTTTTGGTAGTTTTTATTTTTATTTTTATTTTTAAATAAAAGGTTTTGAAGAGAAAAAGCAAACTTTTTAATAAGCTTGGAAAGCTTAAAGCATGCTAGGGTTTGGTCACAGAAACAAAGGGCAATGCGTGAAGGGAAGGCCAAGGGGAAGGGGGGGACAAATAAAAAGTTAAAAAGCTAAAGCTAAAGCAACCCAACATGGGCAGCTCATTGGTTCATTAAGAAACTGATGGGCTGCACATGAAAAAAAAACAAAAAGCATCCAAATTGCATGCTGACTAGATCTCAACTGTCCCACACACAAGTATACTTTTCCTTCACCTGAGAGTGTTGAATGGTCACTGAGGATTCTTAATCCAGTGGGAGGGCCATGCTCTTTTGTTGACCTACTCATGAGATCAGGTGACTTTAATATACTAAGGCAATACAAGTACTATTTGTAAAGCATTTCTAATAGAGGTCACACTCACTAATGTGTAACTAATACAACAATCCAAATATATTCTCTCTTTACAAAATTCATAAAGACGATACAACAATCCAATATATTCTCTCTTTACAATATTCATAAAGACGAGTGACATTGATAAGGATTAGTTTGGACTTAACTCCAATCTAGTCAAGCTGAGTAATCAAATTAGTAGCTTTACGCTTGGTAGATAAATAGAGAGAAAGAGACTTGGTTTGAGCCTGATTTATAGTTTCTTGTTACAAGAAAAAATGACCAAATTAACCTTGGTAGAGAATGTGCGGGTAATGTGATTAGTGGAATTGAAATTCTGTTGAAGATAGAGAGCAGGATAGAATAAAGAGACCTAATTTTATGTGAGAGGTTAAGCTAATTAATTGTTAAACAAAGCTTAGTGATTTGTAAAGGTAGGTGCCGCTATATTCTTAATTATGGGGTGGAGAGGATAGAAGAGAATCCACGTGAGGTATATAAGGCACTAAGCCCTCCATACGTAGAGGCAAACCGTCAGCTCTAAGTTCCCAATTAGAGGAGGGTCTGCAACAACCTCGAAGCTAGTTCAAACTAGTGGGAGGTTGTCTGCATTAAAGCAGCTTACAAAATTAAACCATTCTCCATACTCATAAATTAGATCGAAAAGATTACGTACTGAGGTCGAGTATTGAATTCAACATGGCTCGTGGAAAGGTTCAGATGAAGAAGATTGAGAATCCGGTGCACAGGCAGGTTACCTTCTGCAAGCGCCGGGCGGGGCTGCTGAAGAAGGCTAAGGAGCTCTCTGTGCTGTGTGATGCTGATATTGGAATTCTCATTTTCTCCTCCCATGGAAAGCTCTTTGAACTCGCCACCAAAGGGTCTCTAGCTCTCTCTGTTTGTGTATAATGTGTATATATACGTATGTATAACATGCCATGTATTGTTAAGAATTAAAAGAAAGAATTTACAATTAATTATACATCAAATAGGTACACTAGCCGTGACTTTGAAACTGCATGTTCAGTGTATAAATACATAATTAGATATAAATAAAGGAAATATTTGTATAGAAATTTTAATTATTCTTGTTGACTTGCTTTGTTATTTATTGTGGTAGAAACATGCAAGGGCTTATTGAGAGGTACATGAAGATGAAGCCACCCCGAGTGTCTCAGGCTGATCAAGCCGTAGAAACGCAAACTCTGGTACGATCATATCTTATCACTTCACACTCTCTTTTTCCGTCATTTATTTCTCTACTGTTATATATATATATATATATATATATATATGTATACTGTCACATTAAATAATTTCTCGTGCTATATACATAGCTGCAAGCACACAAACAAAACACACACATTTATACGTGTTGCATAGTGGTATAAAACGAATATTATTCCACATCCATATTATTATTGGTGAAGATAGTGCAGCATCAGATGCTGGATATAAAATAATTCTTACAAGAATAACAATATTAATTGAATAAAGGAAGAAAATAACACACAGATACAGAATAATGTTTCTCATATCACAACTTTCTGTAAGGCCAAAGAATATTGTGACACCTTATTACAGGAATCTATTGTAGAGCTATTGAAGTCTGTCGGATCATATCTCTGACTGACCCGTCAATAAGACTTATAAGATGGTGCATGCTTCTCTTAGATGGTTGTTGCTTACGATTTAAGTATTATGCTACTTTTGACTTATTTCTTCATAATTTTTTGGGGGAACCATCTAAATTATAAAATTAGTCTTTGGTTTAGTGGTATTTTGTTTCTGTTTAGTTGGTCAACTCATATGAATGACGATGACGATATTATATTTGTGATAAGTTAAATACTTAGTTATGATTAACCTCATGTAATGTGTGTATTGGCCCGTTATAAAATATCTTGTAAATATCATGTTGTTTATCTACGATGAATACATACACAACCCAACAAATATAATGAATCACACACCACACATATAAAACAAATAAAACAAAACCACTTTGCTTACGATCAACCCCCTTGTCTTTGTACAACCCTTAGCTCTCAATCTCTTTCGCACCCTTGTTCAACCTAGGTTACAACTTCACTCGAATTAGGACCCAATATCCTACTTATGTTTCTATGTTATAGTTTTAAAATTTCTAACTTTTTAAGTATAGTTAAATGAAGAAATCACCCTTTTAAATATCTGACAAGTATATCATGCGATTACAGTCTTAAACGTAGATGGTACATTAACACTAAAAGTAAAGTTTAGGAGACAAAATGTATTTTAAAAAAATTCATTCGATGGTAAAAGCACATAGTATTCATCAACTTACATGCATGTGCATCTTACATTATGTTCATATACGACTGTTGTTGATTTTTATGTACGAAAATTTCTTATCTATACGTAGATTAAGAGAAGTGAAACAGCAGATAATTTGTGTGGCTGCCCAAATATGTAAATAATTTGTTTTTTTAATCTAACTTAAATTTCCATGTTTTGTTTTCATTGGTATAGGATGCAAAAAAAGAGATTAACCTGCTGAAACAGGAGATTGAAATACTGCAAAAAGGTCTCAGGTATTACAAAACAACCTCATAATGTCTTATTTGTTCTTATAGGATGCATGACTTGTCTTTACATGTGAGAATTTCCATATTCTAAAAATTGTATAGAAAAATCATTCAAATCAAATGTCCATATTCTAAATATTAATAGCCAACAGGGTCTAATCCAATGGAAAAGAGTCTTGATTTGCAGACCGGTGGTCATGTTCGAATCTCTATGGCACCATGGTAGTTGTGTGTGTGAGAAACCCACTCCCCTTTATAATTGAGACTATCACTTGTATTCAAAACAAATAATAATAATAACATAGGTGATGAGACACTGATTTTATCATGTACCACTTTGATTTGTTGTACGTGAAGCCATGAAAAAACCTCATGTAAAAAATATATATATATATATATATATATATGTGAACCCAATTTGGACTTTTTTTTCTCTTCTAGTAGCTATAGAAATTTGGACATGATTACATAGGATCCATATTAATGATCCCATCTCATGTAAGAGAGTTGAAATACTAATTAGGAACGAAATTCAACAATGTTTGGATCCTTACTTTTCATGGTCCTTTAATCCAATGATTGTATTTACATCATTGCATGTATCGTTTTTTAAGGTCCAAGTATAATTATTTGTTATCAAATAGCTATTAGTTTAGTGATATTTTTCTTATTTATTTGACTATATTATATGTGAGCGGGAGATCAAGAGCTAGCTGTGGCCCTCCACCTTCTCCCTACTTAGCACCCAAGAAAGAAACCCTCCCAATGTAACACAAAAAAATTATTTTAAATTATTGGTAAAGAAAACTTTTACAAATGGAATATTAAATGCAATAGTTATCAATTACATATGACAACATTACAGGTACATGTTTGGAGGGGGTGCTGGGACAATGACCTTGGATGAACTACAAGTGCTTGAAAAACATCTTGAAGTATGGATTTATCACGTACGCTCGGCAAAGGTATAATTTTTATAATTCCATCAATTACATTCATTATAGTTCATCTTATATAAGAGCTCGTTTGGGAAATGATTCTGAATATGCCAAAATCACTTGTGGGGAGAATCACCTCCCATTTGCTTCTCCATATAATCACTTTAAGTGATTATGGGCATAAGCACCTCCTAAAGAAGTAATTTTCCATAAAAGTACTTTTTGACCTATTCAGAATCATTCCCAAAACGAGCCTGAGTTAAATTGATTTCTAAAACTAAGTGGTTAAACAATTACAGATGGACGTTTTGTTCCAAGAGATCCAACTGTTAAGGAATTCGGTAAGTTTGCATTCCAGCATATCTAATTAATTTATTTTAGTATGGAATCAAATAGTATGTATTATTGTCATATTGGAGATATTAGTGCAAATAGTCACACATATATAGGGTAGTATTTTTTTGTTGAGTAATGCTACACTTACCACATTTTTATACCACATGATGTGGCATGTCCATATTATATGTCACATCAATTAAATCAATTAAGTGTATTTTAATTAAGACAATTAGAAAAACAAATATTAGAATAAATCATAAAAGAAAAGAAAATATTAAATAATTTCAATTGATATGGCTGTCCACCTCAGCTGCCACATAAGATGGTATAAAGATGTGGTATACAAATGTGGTAAGAGTAGCATTATTCTTTTTTGTTATTGTTTTTTCGAAACTTGGGTGCAAGTGAGCTTATCTAGTAGTGATTCGGTCTAGTCAACTTGGCTAAAACCATATCTACTATAAGGTAATTTTCTTTGGCCAAAACAGTATTGTAATGTTTGTTTTTTGTTTTGTTTTTTTTTGCAATACAGATTAAATTTAAATTAAACATATAGTATGATTACATAGTTTTTATTTAATTTAATTTATTTTTGAATATATAGACTACATAGTTAAATAATATAGTAGAGTTATTATTTTATATAGTTTTCTGAAAAAAATTAAATTCATGTTTTGAAGGAAGGAATACTGACAGCTGCAAATAAGCATCTACAAGACAAGGTAATCAATTTTTTTTTCTTTTTATGAAGATTATTTTCGGTAAAGATATATTGAATTATAGTTTTCAGCTTACTAATCTTAAATATATTGGATATATTTTCATGTAGATTATTGAAGAGAACATCGGAGTTACTAACATTACACCAATGGCCTCTGACAATCCATATCCACTAACCATACCAGATGATGACATATTTCAAATTTAAGAATTTGTATTAGCAATGATGTAGTACTCGTATTTGCAGGCGTGGTGCAGATAACAAAAACTTTTATAAACTAGATTGTACTGATTAATAATCATCTAGCTAGCTAGGTTGCTTATGATATCAAATGTATGTCGATATTGTAGTATTCTATACTGTAGTGTTGTTATTGCAGTAAACTTGTATTGTAACTTAAATGATAAGAAGGATATTATGGTGTGGTATGTTATTGAATTATCTTGCTCCCTTTATATATTGAATTTTAGAAATTGAAATGCTTTGAATATTCGTTCAAACCTAATCAAGGCACCGTCTGATAAACATTTCGTTTTCACTTTTTTTGAAACTAAAACAATATCTATAAACAATTTTCATTTTTTTGTTCTCAAACAAATATGGGTGATTAAAATTTTGTAACATGCAATTTTAAATTCCATATAAATAGGTGTTACTTTAAAGTTCCATCATAATTGAAAATAAGTCAAAATTGAAATTATGATATATCTTGGGCAAGCGGACTTATTTGTTACCCCTCTACCACCATTCAATGACTATTAGACTCATGCACATGACACTACGACCCGAATGGATGTTGCTGTGGTCCCAACCCTGCACCAATGGACTATGAACTTGACCTATTACCCACGAATCTACCCTTCTAACAATCAAACCCACCCTTAGAGCACTTCCAGCAATTTGCCCTTTGCCATGACAAGGGGGGGTGTTAGGGCAGCTACTATTCACGTGAATAGTGGCTGCCTTTGCAAAAGGTTATGGTGTTTCCACCAATTGTCATGACAACAACTATTCACATGAGATATGAGGTGAGAAATTTGTATAGAGTTTTGGTGTGGGAAGTGAAAACTATGACTAAGTATTTATTTATAAAAAAAATCTGATTTTTTTTGTATTTTTTAAAGATTTTTTATAACAAAATTTTGTTGCTGACGTCAACAAACCCGGGCTTGAACTAAGGCTGATCTTGCCTGAGGGCTGCCCTGGAAATGTTTTTTGGCCCAAACCACCCCCCCAGCCCGAGTCCAGCCTTAGCTGTTGGAAGTGCTCTTAGGGGCGGAATTAGAATTGTAAAGTTGGGAGGCCAAAGTAGAAAATACAAGTATATAAAACACATAAGTATTCAATAATTATATATTTAGAGCTAAATATTTCTAATTGAGGCATATCTAATTGTTTTAGAGGAAATTTTAATTACAAATTCTATATATTATATATATAATAGAGGAGGGATTTAAAAAAAATTGAGGGGGGGCAGGGGCACTCCAGGTTTAGAAGTGGCTCTGCCACTGCTCGCCTCCTTAACTAGGGGCCCAAACGAGTCACTTCTTGGCTCGACATGCTAACCCCATGATTTGACCTAGTGACTTGACAGATCCTTGACTTGGAGACCCCTAAGTCTGACACAGTGACACTCAAACCCAACAAGTAACTTACAATCCAACTCTATGATTACCAAAGCTAACTCAGGACTCAAAATTCTTTTAATATGTTTTTTTTAAAATAAACAAATAACTCACGATTAGCATCGAAGTTCCCCATCGCCTGTTTTGGACTACATCCTCATTTTTCTCCCATAACCCTCTCTCTAACAGTTATCATCTTCTCTAATTTTAGTTCAACCTCGTGTTTGAAGGGGTTTTATGTAATCTACCCAATTATTTTTCGCCATAATTGTTGGATTGATATATTTGTTTGCCTTTGCGCGCAGTTAGATCCCTAGAGACTATGATTTTCCAAGAAATGTTGAAAATATTAATTGCCCATGTTTCTCCCTCCTCAAAAATCGAATAATCCTCTTCGACCAACTCCTCATTAGCCGAAGATTTTTCCAAGTTACCCCAATGCCTAAATATGGGTGGGCTCCTAAAAATATGAAAACTTTATGTCCCTTCCTCTTCCATGTAATTATGATGATATTCTTAACATTTGTCCCCTATTATCTTCACTAGGCAAACAAAGATTGTCCTCCTCCATTGCCTTCATCCCAACTCCATCGGACCCCTCTTCATCTTGCGACCCTCCCTCATTTGAGATCGAAGCTGAATCTCTTAGGATGATGCCTTGATTTCAATGTGTTGACATTTTCGATGCACTCTCATCGTTTTTCATAGCAAAATTCTAAAGACAAAAAGTCACTCTTGGTCCATGTGGTTTATCACTTTTATCACTAAGGTCTATGTGGTTTCAATTTGGTCACTTTGCCCATGTGGTTTACAATTCCAATCAATTTGAGGACATTGCTCAATTTCAGTCAAATTCACTTCACTGCTGTTGGTACTGTAGCATGTGAGGGGCACATAGATGGGCATTATAGTCAAATATTGCTACCTTAGATATAAGTGAAGCTAGGCTCGTCTTCTTCGTTCAAATTAGGCAACTTTTGGGGAATTTGGGGCTTAGGGTTCATAAACCTTTACTTGCTAAAGCCTTCCCTTTCCCAACTAGAAGTGACCAAAAGCCACAATCTGACAAAACCACAAAACACCAGCACGGACACATCTAGACAACCGAATAAACAAAGCATTGAAAACCCAAACGCGTAAACCATTGAAAGCCCTTCAACCATATTGAAACTGATTTACCCAAACCAGACACTTAAACAAAGCATTGAAAACCCAAATACTTAAACAATTGAAGGCCCCGAATCCAAACACTTTCTTATGTGGTTTGTTCAAGCTTGCACTGCTTGCCTTTCAACCACAGGTGCAAAAGTGACCAAATTAAAACCACAAGAACTTTAATGATAAGAGTAATAAACCACAAGGATCAAAAGTGACTTTTTGCCTTCTAAAATCTCTCTCCCCTTCTGTTTACTCCCCAGCCCGAATCTCTTAAAAAACCTTGGGTCAGATTTAGGAAATAGCACCCAAGCCCAACGCATAATCACTATGGCGTGTGGGTTTCTTGTTGGAAGACAAAAGCAGTTTTGGGCCTTCGAATTAAATTCCCCACCACCCCCCTGTCGACTAGGCCCAATAGTTATCACTTTCAAACTTTCTTTCTCCTTCACACTCCCCACTGAAATCTCACGCAGGCGCAGCTGCCCAATCTTCACGCCCCCAAAAACCAAAGAATCCTCTTCTCCATCTCTTTCAATATTATCCTTTCGCGTCCTAGACGTTACAGTAAACCCTAATCGTCCTCTCTGTTTCTTTCTGAGCTAACACTTCGACGTTCTAGTTACAGAGAAGATGTCGACCTTGGAAATTGAAGCTCGAGAGTATGTTTTATTCGTGTTTCTTTTCGTGTTTACTCTGTGTTCTTCTATTGTGGCTTTGTAATTTTTTTTTTTTTTTTTTTTTTTTTTTTTTTTTTTTCCTTTCAAGTGTCATCAAGATCGTGCTTCAATTTTGCAAAGAGAATTCCTTGCACCAAACCTTTCAAACATTACAGAGTGAGTGCCAGGTTTCTTTGAACACTGTCGACAGCGTTGAGACATTTATTGCTGATATAAATAGTGGAAGGTGGGATGCAATTTTGCCTCAAGTGGCCCAACTTAAGCTTCCCAGGAATAAGTTGGAGGATTTGTACGAGCAGGTGTGTGATAATATTAATACTTACCATTTTATATGTCTGTTGCTAGTCGAATATCATTCCTTTCACTTTCTGATATATTTACAATACCATTCAGCTTATAGCTCCTTCCTCTGATGCAATGTTACTTGTTTTGTATACTATTCAACTGATAAGCTATTCTCAAGACATGTGTTACTTGTATTTAGTATGATTCTTGCAGGGTTAGTGGGTTGAAGTTTGATGTGCACTACTAGATGAGGAACTTCCACCACTAACTCTTAATAAGATGCACAATACCGGATTGCAGTGATCAGGGTTCAAAGTTAAGGAAAAAAAGCAAACATGCGCTTTTGATTTAATTGTAGAAAATATAAGTGGATTCTGATATAGGAAAGTGTTTTAAGTTCCCCAGGTATAGTGTAGGTATATTTGAGGTGAGGAAAGTAGTTAAGGTTTGTTTGAGGGGAGAAATTAGTTTGAGGTATTCTGAAGTCTCTGGCAATGCAGGAGAGCACAGAGTTGGGTGTTTGGGTATAGTTATGGTGGGCTTAGGATGATAGAAATTTGAAGAGGTAGAAATTTTTAGAGAACAAAGAAGGTTAGGATTGGAGTAATTATAGAGACAACAGAGAAATAGAGAAGCGTTTAGTAGACGAGAGAAAGGAAGGTAGTAGAGATAACAAGGCACCTAGCCTTAAACAAACGCTCAAACTTTCATTCAATCAAATCTGAGCTGCTTCACAGCGTATAACCTTATTTATAGGCTTCAAATGGAGCACTTAATAACTTCTAGAAATAACAAAAGAAGAGAACTTAAAGAGGTTGTGGTTTCCTAAGACAAATAAGGACTCTTGACATTAACTCCACAATTCTTGAAGTAACTATTAATTATCTCATTTATTTAGTTTTCTGATTCTTGTATCACCCTGGGCGTGTCCCTCTAGACTTGGAAGGCTTTAGCTTTAGGGCTCGTTTGGTTCAAGGCTTTGAAGCTTGGGAATGGGTACGAAATTGCATTAACTTCCCATGTAAGGGTGAATGTCATATCCTTGCTCTCCTTGGACGCACACCCACACACATGCCTAAACACTTAAATAAAATTTTCTAGTCTTAATTCATAGAACCCTTTGCATGTCTGATGCATCAGACGGAAATTGGAAATTATGTAAGAAGAGTCAAACATATTAAAAGATTATGGTCAGTGAGAGACTTAATTGTACATGTCATGGGAGAAAAAATGGACTCTTACCAGTTGTAGTGCGGAAGATTTCTCTCTGTTCAGATTGTGGAAATATAGTGTGAGGAATGTTAACATCTGAATCAATAGGATTTAATCGGATACCTATTCCATGAGAATGAATGGGACTAAGGGAATTTAACTTTTTGTCTATGAGCTGAAGTTGGTGTTTTTGTACTTCCTTCATGGTCCGGTCAGATATCTTTCTTCCTTTTTTTTATCAATGCCATATTTGTATTGTCTGGGTATGGATTATTCGTTTGGTGTCAACTTGGGCTGCAGAGTTGTGTCTTTGTTTGAGCTTTAATGTTAGTATGAGCGCAATGATCCCTCTGCCAGGTACAGTTTGCTCTGCTTCCATGGATATTAATTTAAATGGATTGACACTGAAGTAGTTTTCTTGTAATGTTTCTTCTAGGAATGTTATAATTTTTCCTTTCTTATAAATTTTGCAGATTGTACTGGAGATGATTGAACTTCGAGAATTAGATACTGCTCGTGCTATCTTAAGACAAACTCAGGTAATGGGTGTAATGAAGCAAGAACAACCTGAAAGATACTTGCGACTTGAGCATCTCCTTGTCAGAACTTATTTTGATCCAAATGAGGTATGAAAAAAGTTTTGGTGTAATTATTTGACTCAGTAGTTATTGTATACTTGTCATAGCAAGAAAAAATTTCAACCTCTTTTCTTTATTGCTATTTACCATGAGATTCTGTGGCCTGAAGTCCTGCCAAAAACATGTTAGTCAGCTTTTTACCCTTCCATTTTCTAGAAATATAAAAAGCATTGGAACTCAGAAGCATGCAAAAGAAGCAATACAATAAATTCAAATTATTAAATGCAGATCAATGGGCCAAACAAGAGGAATAAGATAATGGAACACGTGAAAAGAAAGTCATGAGAAAAAACCATTGTAATCCTGTAATAGTAGATGCCCAAAAATTTGACGAATGAGATTAGGTGTCCTGTCTCTTAGATTGTAATCTGCGTAATCATAATTAAAAATAAAGTTTCCCTCTTTGCTGTGTTGTACGATGGAGCTGTGACCATGGTCAAGACAACTCTAGGAGACAATAGTACAGGGTTACGTCATGTGTCAACAATGAAATATCTTTTTACCTTGATTATGAAGGAACTGACAAGTCAGGATGAGGTTGCATGATGTAGGTAATTTGAAGATGTTGTTTTGAATGATGAAATTAGAGCAGTGGTAAATGCTAAATGTTAGAGTTGTGGAGAGATGGTTGACAATTAAAACGTTTTGAGATATGTAGATCCAAAAATGGTTTTGAGGTAAGACTTAGTATATACAAACACACATCTATACAACAGTTATAAGAAACTGAACAATATATTGAAATAAAGTGAGTAAATTTTAGAGCTGCTGGCTCACTCCATTGTCTTGGAGTATGTTCTGCTTTCTATCAATCGGTATGATACTGTATTAGAGAGTTAAAGGTTATGTTGTCTATAACAGGCTTATCAAGAGTCAACAAAAGAGAAGCGGCGTGCACAAATTGCTCAAGGTTTCAGTCAATCTCTCGTCTATCATTAAATTTGGTTTTAAATATTTCCAGTAAGTTATAAAAGCAAAAGGAAAAATCACAGTAGTTGTTTTTGAAGTTTATTCTTTGCAATTTCTGTTTTGGTTGATGAGTTTTCTTTTCCTTTGCATTTAACAGCACTTGCTGCAGAAGTTACTGTGGTGCCACCGTCTAGATTAATGGCTCTAATTGGTCAGGCTCTAAAGTGGCAGCAGCATCAAGGTGAACTTTTTCATCTATGATTTTGTTTTGTTTGTTATTTGGTATAGGTTCTCCATGAATACGTGAGGAAGAGGTTTCAAGCATTTATCCTCTTGTGGATATGTTGGTTAACATTCATTTTTGCATTACTCTCTTCTTTGCTTCCTCCCTTTTCTCTCCTTTCTTTAAAATATGCAGTACTTTTTAATTCTTATAGATGTTCTTCATGGCAATTGCGGCAAAAAAACTGTATGGACCTTTGTGCATCCTGCAGTTAGGGTTTAAGTGCCATTGAAACCAAGTTTTATCTATCCACAACAAGTTTTCCCCTGATATGTTAGACAAGAAAATGGAGATTTTTATCGATCTAGCTTTGCGTATCTTGCCATGCCATGTCTCTCCTTCAATAAAAAAAACCTATTCAAGACTTGTAATTTCGTTAGAGATCACATGGGAGGAGAGAAACTTAGATACATACACTTAGCTAGAGACCTTAGAATTGAGGAGATATTGTTCATAGTTGAGTTGACGAGGATTCATGAGTTTGCACGATTGGAACTCCTACGAGGAACAAGTTTAGAAGTTAGGCCATGGAGGTTGAGAAGTTACACATTGAAACATTGCAGTGAACGTGGTAAAGGCCTTTATTTCTTTAATCCCCCCAAATCAAATGCTCTGAAGATGGGTAAATTTCAGCACATATACAAAGTTCTAGCTAAACTTCTGTCTTTTAGATTAAGAGAGGTTTGGGGAACACGGTATTGCCTTTTCAAGGCATGGAAGGTTTTAGATGCAGTGTTATTGATTAATGAGGTTGCTGAGGAGTACAGAATTTTGAGAAACAAGATGTTGATCGTAAAGGTTGATTTTGAGAAGTCTTTTGATCTCGAATACTGGAATTTCTTAGATTCAGTTTTCGATAAAACATAGTTTGGAGAAAGGTGGAGGTTCTGGTTGAAGGATAAGATGCTAAAGTGAGTAGGTGATGCTATGTTGCGATTCTTTATTTGCAGAGATTTTGTGCCTTTGGAGGTAGTTGCTGTGGAGTCACTCTGTGCTAGGTTTTTTCTGGATGGTTTGGTCCTAAAAAGCAGCTTAATTTTTATTTTTTTTTAAAAAAAAACAGAAGAAAGTAGCAGTTGAAATTTTTAACATAAAGATGGGGAGGCAGTGGATTGCCTGTGAGAGTGAGACTGTTGTTTCTTCCTTTTGAACTTGGATTCAAAAGCTGATGTCTCTTAGGATGTTGTATTATGCTTGGGTGTATTTTGATTTTCTTGTTGCATTGGCTGTACTTTCGTAGTTACACTCTTCCTCTTGTCGAAGTGCTTTTTGTTAAGTGGACTGCTTGTTCAATGTACATGTGTTAGCTCTTATCTATATAAGTTATCAATTTGCTATAAAAAGAAGAGGGCTTCTGGTTCACTTTGCATCGATGCTTTCTCTATCAATATATTCTAATCAGTTTCCTGTTTAAAAATTAGGAAGGGTCACTGACTTAGGTGGTTAATTATTTTTTATGTCAGGATTGCTTCCTCCGGGAACACAGTTTGACTTGTTTCGGGGAACAGCTGCTATGAAACAGGATGTAGACGACTTGTATCCAACAACTCTTTCACACACAATAAAGGCAAGGAACGCATATGTAGCTAATTTAATATTCGTTTGGACACAGTTTCATTTATCTTTTATTGGTTCAGGAATGTATAAAGTGTATATTGCGAATCATGTCGCATTCTTAGTGATGGGTACCGAACTTTGTTTCAAATTAGATCTTAAGAACGGAGACTACACTAAACAAAGTATGTAACATCAGTCTTAGATGTTAGCTCTCTTGGTTCTCCTAAAGCTGGATTGGCATATGAAGAAATTTAAATAAATTGCAAAGACCTTCCTAATGTAAACTAACTCCAGTGCCTGATTATTTGTGACCATTTCTTTTTGATCTTATAATCTGTATTTGTGGTGTTTTGCTGCAGTTTGGGACAAAAAGTCATGCAGAATATGCTCGGTTCTCACCAGATGGCCAGTTTCTTATCTCTTGCTCTATGGATGGGTTTATCGAGGTATATGTGATTGAGATGCTTTTGTTCAGGATGGAAACATTGGATGAAATTTGAATGCATTTTTTCTCAAATATTTGTGTCACTTCCAGGTATGGGATTACATAAGTGGGAAACTCAAAAAGGATCTTCAGTACCAGGCTGATGTGAGTATTTATTTTCTTTCTATAGTCTATTGATCACAATATTCATAGTGCATTCTGGATTATCTGTACATGCATTTACATATTTATTTATATATTCATTGCAATGGTAAGGTTTGTTAACTGTAAGGTTGTTCCATTATGATCTTGATATCATGGGTTCCAATCAAGAAACATGCATAGGAACTGGAGCTAAGGTTGTGTGTATTTGACCATCCCTTAACTTCTGGATGGAGGAAACTTGGGCACTGGGCTTCTTTTTATTCTTGTACATGTGTGCCCATACGCAGACAAGGCGGAGCAGGAGTACATATTCTCAACCCCCTCTTAAGAGGGATCCATTTTGATTAATAGTAAAGAGGGATTGCATTGTTGGGTCTACTTCGCAATGCGGTCGTTCAGTGATCCGAACTGTCTAGTTTTTAGATCCTTATTTATGAATCATCCTTCCCAAAAAATCATGAAAGTAGGAAATTTTTTAACCGTTTGATTATCATCTTGAACATTTGGTTGTTTTATTGGAATTCGTCTATTTGTTATGTTATAGTTGGCTAAATGATTTCTGTTTTGTTGATTTTTTGTAAGGATGATCCTTTAATGAGGTCATTAAAAATGAAGGGTGGATCATCGGATCACATTGATGGTTGGGGCTGCCTGCAATCCGTTTTGGCGAATAGTATAAAGGGATCCCTCAGAAGGGGGTTATATATATAAATATACACATTCGTATATATATGTTGCTTCTTAAACGGATATTCTCTCTGTAAAGTCTATGCTGCCACGTGAAGAGCAGTGTTATTTTATTTTATCACAAAAACGTGTTTGTTTAGGGCTTGAAAGGGTTTTAACTCATCAGCCCAAAAATTGATATTTATATCCTGAAGGCTAAACCGTAAACCCTTAACGACATTTATACCCTAGAGTCATCAACTCGTTGGCAGAATAGAGCGAAAATGGATCTTCCATATGAACAGCAGCTTGTCTTCATGCAGATTAGTTGCACCTGAAGCTCGCTCTCTCTCTCTCTCTCTGTGTATCTATGTGCGTCTGTATACATATATGTGGATATATGCACACAATAGCTTTATATATAGATACACACACGCATAAACTTGTAAAGGGAGCTTCAAGTAAGGGATCTAAAGTGAGGGACAAATTGTGTTGTCCACTGCACAATGAAGCATCATTCCTTTAGTTTGATATAATTTTATGTTCCGAGTTATTTGGCAAGTTTATGATTACCTATAAACTAGCCCAGTTTTTTTCGCAAAGGGTATTGGTAATATAGTGTTGGTTTAAACTACGTGGACGTTTGCCCAACTGATCTTTCTGCAACTTTGATTTGGTTGTTTTACAGCTTGTACAAGGGCATTTTAATGTATCATCCATCCAAGCAGACTGTCGTCTTGTGCATTTTCTGACGTGCTATCATTTTTGCAGGAAACTTTCATGATGCATGAAGAGGCTGTCCTCTGTGTTGATTTTACCCGAGATTCAGAGATGATTGCTTCTGGATCACAAGATGGAAAGATCAAAGTAAGTTCTGTTTGTGTTTTGTTGGAAGTTAATATCCATGATACATTTTTCTTGTGTTTATTGCTTAAGTTGATATCTCGAAAGAAACCATGATACAACCATATTCCAATACTGACCGAGTCCTTCAATTGTGACCCGAAATTTCCTAAACACCTGTCTGCGAATTCTTTTCACAGCCTCAGACCAGTGCTCCTTTGATGTTTGGGCAAATGATGCCATTTGAATATGGGACAGCTGCTCTATTGATTTTAAAACTAATGTAGTTTAAGGTAGTCACTTTTCTAGGTACATAATTTCCCACTTCTTTGTAAGAATTCATTAGCATGTACCCTTAATGTCTTACATGTCATTGGTCAAAGTTGGTGTTCATACGGTGCTATTAGGAGTTCCACAAATTTATAGTGGTGTGAAATGAAGTTTTTAATGTCAGATTCTGGTTTCTATTAATGGTTTTATTAGTTTTTCTCCAAGTTGTGGGTTAAAGCGATTTATGATATGGTTGCTACAAAAGATTGATTGACCCCCAAATTTTGGTTTACTTCATTCACCTCTTGTTATGATCACATGTCAGTAACTGTTGCATATGGGTGTTCTATACACGATATTGCATTGTATAGTTCTGTTTCAGTTTTGTTTTGGTGCGGAGTGTTTATGGAGGGTGTGGCTCATTTCATGTAAATGTTCTGTTTTTTTTTCCTGATTATGTTTTGGTGTAGTTGCCTTTGGTCAAATTTTATTTTATTGGTAATAGCTCATACATATTGTAGTTGAGATTTCTGAATATGCTTATAGAGACAATCTATACAATTCCTATTAAATATGTTTCCTTTTGTTTGTTCAATGTGGAGATGTTATAGTGAAATTTGTGGCTGAGCTTAATTTGTCTTAATTCATCTTTCAGGTTTGGCGTATCAGGACTGGTCAGTGCTTGCGCCGTCTTGAACGTGCACATTCACGGGGTGTCACCAGCGTTTCTTTCTCTCGGGATGGAAGCCAGATACTTAGTACATCATTTGACAACACTGCAAGGTATTATTAAATCTTTTCACATTTCTTGTTGTGTGTCTGTCCTAGAGTGGCACATCAATTGAAGTGTGCATTGTGTACTGGTTATATAATAATTACTTGCATCTCCTTTGTTTTTTTTAAATTCTTTGGTTGCTATGATTTTTACGTTTAATTTGGATTATTGGCCGCCACACACAACTCCTTTTATTTTATTATATATACTCGTTTGGTTGCTATGATTTTAAATTTGTGAGTACTTATGACTGATGTAGAATCCATGGCCTAAAATCTGGGAAGTTGTTGAAAGAATTTCGTGGCCATTCTTATTATGTAAATGATGCAATATTTACGAGTGATGGAACTCGTGTAATTACTGCATCTAGTGATGGCACAGTCAAGGTAAGTTTCTCACAATATGTATTTGTAACTCATAGATGCTGTTGTTACGCAAAACTTTTCCCTTTTTTGGGGCATAACAGAACATTATTGTTTATAGGTCTGGGATTTGAAGACTACTGACTGTCTACAGACATTTAAACCACCTCCTCCTTTAAAGGTATACTGTTTTTATATTTTTTATTCAAGAAAGAAAAGATATATTGTGCATCTTGTTTTATAAGCTAGAGCAACCTAACTATATTTCATTTAAGATTTTGCTTTTACTGTTTAGGTATCTTATTTGTGTTTTTTTGTTTTTGGTGGAACGGTTAGGGAACTGATGCTGCTGTGAATTCAGTTCATCTTTACCCAAAAATACGGATCACATCATTGTATGCAATAGGACATCATCAATATATGTCATGACACTTCAAGGACAGGTAGATATTTACGTCAAAATACAAGAGAAATTACTTTTTACATATTGTTGTTTAACTCATTTCAATCAATTTGGTACCGGAAGTTGGACCACATATTAAAAGCTTGCCCTATGACTTGATGTTTGAACTGTTTTAGACCGTATTGTTGAGATTTTGAATAATTCCTTTTTAAAAGGAAATCTAATTGCTGGAAAAAGCAGAATAATTCTTGAAGACTTAGCGGGTTAGGGACAAATGAATTTTGGGATAAAGCCAGATTTTGGTCGTAACTATAAAATTTAAGGATGGTTCCCTTTCTGCTATTCATCATTACTGGAAGACAGATGTATGTTAGTATCGGGGCTTAAATTGACCATCAACATAAATTGAGGGCTTATTGCTAAAAGCCCCAACAAATTGAGGCAGTAAAACTAAACAACAGAACTTGAGGGCTTAAAACTAAGTAGAACAAAAGAAGGGATTTATTGCTTTAAAGTGTTGCTTTTGGGGATTACTGCTAAAAGACCCAATTTTGTCTAACTAGAACCTCCTGAAGAACATGTTGGAGGACGTAATTACTTTCATATTGTGGCATGGCGATGCTGGAGTGGTACCAGAGCCCAGCATATGCAAACTTGGATCATGTGTGGCACGTCCCAGTTTCTAAATTTAGCAACTTTGATTTTCTCTTCATAAAGGATCTTCCTAATTAATAAACAATAGAGTTTTTCTTGATTAGTTGCTAGCATTTCTTTATCTATAATATTTATTTAAGCTTGGAAAGAATTAAACCTGCCTTGATCACTCATTTCTTCGATCGTCCGATTTAGTTAATCCTCTTATTGCCAACCCCACCCTCCGCACCTAAGTTGCCAGCATTCCATATGCCGATGGTCTTAAAACAAATGAAAAGAGGCGGGGGGAAGTTTATTTATAAGGATGAGAATATCTGTCAATAATCCAGTTTATTGGGATTTTGGACCACTGATATAGATAGAAGGGATGGAGGTAGTTCTTCCCTGATATCCCTGATATTTCGGTGAATTCAGCGACATTTTGGGGATATTTTGCCAAAGTTAAAATGAAGCAGCAACCCAGATAATGTCCAATTCTAATTAGTGATTTGAAACTCTGATCAAGCCAAATCATATTATTGACACAGTAAATTATGAAATTTATTTAGGTCCATTCATATGTTGAACATTTCTTATAGTTTCATTTGAAGTGTGCACATTCAAAAGCCAATATCTGTTGTTTCATTGATGAGTGCAAGTCAATTTATTATAATTGAGACTTCTGATTATTATGGTTTAGGTTGTGAAGAGCTTTTCATCTGGTAAAAAAGAAGGTGGAGATTTTTTGGCAGCTTGTGTGTCACCAAAAGGGGAATGGATTTACTGTGTTGGCGAAGACAGGTAATCCAGATGAACTTTTGTTTTTTGGTCAGAGTATTCCAGATAAACGTAAAATATCAAATTTTATCATGCTCTTATTCTATTTGTTAATTTACAATGGTTTATGTTAATGCACATTCTTGTATAATATACACCTATTTGTGGTGCTTACCCTTGTCTTCAAGAGCGCTATTCGCTTTTTCTTAGTATGTATGGGTGCATTAGTGCTATTAAAATTTTCCTTTCCTAAAATTGTGTCTAAGAAATTGTGATCATCAGCTCTGTGATAAAGTATTCATCTATATGCAGGAATCTGTACTGTTTCAGTAATCAGTCTGGCAAATTAGAGCATCTAATGAAGGTATGATTTTGTTAATGGAGATTGAGATGGTACTGAACTCGGGCTTCCAACTGTTCTACTTGTTGCACATTTTGGAATCGCAATAACCAAGAATTTACAATTTGCTAAATTGACCATATAAGATGAGAGGACAACTGACACTTTGTAGTGATTCTTTTTTTGGGTTGTGTTAAGTTGACATTTTTGACACTTCATTGAGACCAGGATCTTCTAGCATTTCTACCCAGTTTTGGTTGCTTAACTGATCCAAGTGTGATCACCCAAACTGTTGCAAATGTCTTGTTAGATGCTTTCTATTTGGCATGAACCTTATGTTCCAAGGTGTACGTTGACCAAGTTTCACATGTTTTACACATAATGTGGGAATGAGAATTCGAAAGTTTGTTTGCTCATAAATATCGACACTAGTCATGATTGGTTATTGTCTAGTTTGATAGATGAGGCTGATACAGTTGAGGAATAAGAAAGAAAATACAATGGTCCTTTTGGGCTGGCTGATGATATCTTTATATGCCTAGTCTCAGCCAAAAGGCCAACAGAGATATCTGATGACATTTTCATAAGCATATATAGATGACATCTTTCTGAAGCTTGAACTTAGTTTGTCAGGTTTGTTCACCGGTGGTAAGGTATCCGTTCTAAATGTAATAAATTTCTAAGGTTTTAGAGGAGTGCTTGACATGTTCAATTCAAGCTATTTCTGGTCACGAAATCTTGCACCGTTCACATCCATGAGTGTGTGTTTGGGATTGCACTGTTTGTTTGCTTAAATCTGACTGCACCTAGAACACATTCTTTAGATGAGCTTAGAAAAGGCAATTTTGATGGTGTTTGATTAAAACTTAAGAATGCATGCATGATTGCTAGAGTTATAAAGTTCTTTTTCTTGTCATTTGCAGGTCCATGAAAAGACAGTAATTGGCTTAACTCATCATCCACACAGGAATCTTCTAGCCACATATAGTGAAGACTGCACAATGAAGTTATGGAAGCCTTGAATCTGCGTTGCCTTGTGTGCTCGTTTGTAAATTTATTTCTGGGTGAATTTGGAATCTTGACATGCATTTTTTTTTGGGTGGTTTATGAAACACAGAATGTGGGTGGATTTGGAAAGGATCTCTCTCTCTCTCTCTCTCTCTCTCTCTCTCTCTCTCTCTCTCAGGCAATATGACCAAAAAACACTGGTCTAGTTTTTTTCTTTTTTTTGATGGATTGCATGCATATCTTTTTTTTTTAAGCTTTTGGTCAATTGCATCGCATCTTTGTTTAATTACATAAAATTTAAAAGCTGTTTTTTTTTTTGGTTGCCAACGAAGAATGTCATTGATTTTGCTACATAAACTAATTTGCCTTTTGTTTTTTGAGGATTGCTAACCACATTCATTCGCTAAAGGAGCAACTGCCAGCTACAGTCGCTCAAGGATGAAAATATCGGCGATACAGATATTATTGGGCCTTTAATTTATGGTTATTTTGGGGATATATCGATGTCGTTTTAGGTATTTGAGAAAATTGACGCAAAAGACACATTGGCTTAAAAACACGGAATTTTGAAGTGAAACTTTCATAAATATTAAGCAAATTATCAATGAATGTATTGAATAAATAAATTTTAAAATATACCAAGTATAAGATAAGCATATGATGAAATGTACATATATATAATGCGCGAGGAAAATTATGAAAATAAATACAATTAGACTTAACACCACAAAGACAACATTATTCAAACATAACTCAACCCAACTCATTAATACATAACCCAACATTATATTACAAGAATGAGACTTAATGATAAAGGAAATGAGAGATGTACATATATATAATGCGCGAGGAAAATTATGAAAATAAATACAATTAGACTTAACACCACAAAGACAACATTATTCAAACATAACTCAACCCAACTCATTAATACATAACCCAACATTATATTACAAGAATGAGACTTAATGATAAAGGAAATGAGAGATGGAAGATTAGGTGAAAAATAAAATCAAACACACAAGAAATCGAGTAACTAGAGATAGGAGAGAGGAAGAGCTGAAGATAGTCAAAATGACTGAGAAGAGAAAGAGAAGCTACTACATATTAGAGCTTGGTTTTTGACATTGATTCAGTGGATGGGATCTATGATTACTTTCAAAACTTAAGACAAATTTCTGGGTTATTTGTCTAGTATCTAGAAATATCGGGAAATATCAGTAAATATCAAGGATATCGGGGATATATCACCGATAAGGGGGAAGAAATAGGCTTACCCTCTATATCTGTATCAACACATAAAAAAAAGGACTTGCAGTCGCTTTTGGGCCTTCGTAGTTTTTCTCGATGGAGATGGGCCTAATTTAATACATGGAGCTAGTCTTTGAGAGGGAATGCTTGAAATTGGTAGAATGGGTTTCTGGAGTTTTCCTCTACTGTTTTTTGGGTCAATTCCTCCTACCTGCCTTTTCTGGTACTGGTAAAATGGTGTTCCGCCATTTCTTACGGTGGGGATGACTTTCTCTGTCTTGTGCTTTTTATGAGAGAGGAAGAAAAAAAAAGTCTTTTGGTTTCTCACGGGTATGGTGTCTTTTGGTTTCTCTGTGGTGGTGTTATCTAATTTGCTTAGGGGTACAAACGGAAATGAAAATAATAATAACAAGCCTTTAGCTTGCTGAAAACAATAGCCCACAAGCCAGGTAGTCATTCGCTAAAGGAGTAACTGCATCTACAGTCGCTTTTGGGCGACTGTTGTTAGGATTGCTTTTGGGTGACTGTAGCTGGCAGTCGCAACGATGACAAAGCTTATTTCTTCAAGAGAGTCTCTGCTTTTATTTCTATTTGAAGTTCAAAACAAAAAAAAAGGTTTTAGAAACAAAAGTCAACCTACGCAACTGTCCCATACACATTTTCACAATTCCATTAGATAGAGTCTGTTGACGCAGAAAAATAGTTCGGCACTTTCTCGCGAAACTTAGTGATATGGGGCCTTCGGTATTCCCTGGGCCTCGGTAGGGCGTGCAATCTGCAAGATAGCAAACGCTCGGTAAGACCTAGGGCACCGGTGTGATACCGGCCGAAGGCTTTCCGATGCTTAAGTAAGTACGGATTTAGTAAAGTTGAACTACATATCAATAGGCAGTATGCCGTAAGTTCTGATTACCTCCTTTTTGGGATAGTTGTTCTCTTTTATAGACCTTGGGAGGTGTGCAAGTTGTTTAGAATTTTGATGTGAGACTGTGGACTCCAATTGTGGGACTGCCACGTGTCCCGAAGGAAATGTTGCCCTAGCCACGGGTTCGGTAGGGATGGTGCCAAAGGCTACCATAGTGGAGCACGATTTTATTCCACGTGTCTGGCTCTCATAGGCTGCTTATTTTGGGTATAAACAAGAGTCCCCCAAGTTCTCTTACGAGAGTTCTCGGAAGGGGACTTGAAATCATCTTCGGCAAGAAATGTTGTCCTGCCGTTCGGTAATCCAGCTGATGGAGGGGCTCGACCTTGGCCCTTCCGTTCGTGTTCATTCAGAAGCTGACATCGGGGAAGTCAGAAGGTCGCTTCGAGTTGATGTGCGAAGAGATGCTCGGGCGCTTCGTCTTCCGTGCCTAGCGTGTTGTCCGTCTCCTACAAGGTGAGTGACACGTGGCGCGAGCACTCATTAGGCGTGGCGCATTAATGCGCCGTTTGGTTTTTCGAGGTGTACCGTTGCGAACCCTCGCCCTATAAATATGGGTGACTCCGGAGAGGAATTCACTTTGTGTTTATGAGAAGCGAGAGCTCTGTTGAGGCGATTTCCAACGACAGCTTACGGCATTCAAGGCGATTTCTGACACATTCTAACGGTAGATCAAGCGATTTCAGACATAGCAAACAGCAAGCAGGGAGAATTCCAACAAAGGCGATCGGTAATATAGTTCGTGATCTTTATAGAGCTCGATTTAAGGTACCGTTCGGCACCCTTAGTTAACTCTCCCCTCTAATTATTGCTGCCACGTCCTTCCTTGGCATAAACTAAACTGACCATAGGTTTCCGTTCGGTAGTCTAGTCGCCATAGGTAGCGATGTAGGGGTCGGTAGGCTAGTATTCGGCATGAGCCTTAGTTTCCTTTTCTCTTTCGTAGATGTCTGATAGTGAGTCACTTTACGAAGGTGAGCCAAATGCCTTCGAGGGGGAGTAATTGGACGGTCTGTTCGATTCGGAAAGTGAGGCCACCGAAAACATCGGTGCTGAGGACGGAGAAGACACCGATGTGGAGATAATCAGTGAAGTCACAACCTCCGTCCCTACCCACGGGATCGGTAAGGGGCTCATGGTAAGGCAGCCAGAGCCGTTGGCCGCGATCTTTCATGATGGCAGCCACTTTGGCGTAAACATAGACGGTGAGTCCAGCGCCGCTCACCAATCGGAGACCTCCACGTCCGGCCGTGGTGAGGCAGCTGCCGAACCTTCTTCCCGCCCTAGGGTTTCTGTAGTATACCTTAGTAATCCCAAGGTGCATATGGGAGTGCCGAATGAGCATTTGTTCGGCGTCGACTATTTGGTGCTGAACAAAATAACTGAGCGGGAGATCACCAAGTATAGGGTGGAGTACCGTATCCCAGATTCGGTAAAGATGAGGATTCCGGGTGCCACCAAATCGCTTAGCAGACCGAAGGACGGCGAGGTGGTCTTCTTTACCGATGTCCTCATTCAGGGCGTTCGGTTGCCGTTGCAGCCGGCAGTTCAGAGAATCTTAGCCCAGATCGGCTACGCTCCGGGCCAATTTAAACACAAGGTCGAAGGTTCGAGCCTTCCTTCTAGCGCCTGACAGCACGCGAGGCATGGAAGACGAAGCGCCTGCGCATCTCTTCGCACATCAACTCAAAGCGACCTTCTGACTTCCTAGACGTCAGCTTCTGAATGAACACGAACGGAAGGGCCAAGGTTTAGCCCATCCATCAGCTGGATTACCGAATGACAGGACAACATTTCCTGCCGAAGATGATTTCAAGTCCCCTTCCGAGAACTCTCGCAAGAGAACTTGGGAGACTCTTGTTTATACCCAAAATAAGCAGCCTATGAGAGCTAGACACGTGGAATAAAACTGCGCTCCACTATGGTAGCCTTCGGCACCATCCCTACCGAACCCGTGGCTAGGGCAACATTTCCTTCAGGACACGTGGCAGTCCCACAATTGGAGTCCACAGTCCCAAATCGAAATTCTAAATAACTTGCACACCTCCCAAGGTCTATAAAAGAGAACAACTATCCCAAAAAAGAGGTAATCAGAACTTATGACATACTGCCTATTGATCTGTAGTTCAACTTTACTAAATCCGTACTTACTTAAGTATCGGAGAGCCTTCGGCCGGTACCACACCGGTGCCCTAGGTCTTACCGAGCGTTTGCTATCTTGCAGATCGCACGCTCTACCGAGGCCCAGGGAATACCGAAGGCTCCATATCACTAAGTTACGAGGGAAAGTGCCGAACCATTTTTCTGCGTCAACAGAGTCCAATACATATTCAGTATCCACAAAACAAAAGTAGGCAACCTCATAATTTTGGGAGCCTCGATTTTGCAAAGGGAGGTTGAAATGCATCAAATGCAAGTTAATGAGGTGGCTGATCAGCTCAGCCAAAATTTTCATTTCTCCAGCTCCAGCAGCAGCACAAAGTCAAGTTGGTGGTGGTGGGAGGAGGAGCATAAATGGTGCCTGCCATGTTTGTGTTTGGAGATTTTATGGCTGACAATGACAACAACAACATCCCATCATTTTCCAAGCCTAACTATCTTCCCTATGGCATTGATTTTAGGTGCCAACTTTTACTAGCCACAAAGAGTCATTACAATTACGAAGAAATTTAACATTAGCATTAAGACAATTTGGTGTGCGCCTACACTAATGATCACGCATGATAGATTTATGACTATCTGCAAACGAGCCAACAAAACCAAGAAGGAGACGATGCGGGAGGGGCAAGCAAAGAGGATGGGAAGATGAGCAAGTGGAGAGGAAAGGAAAAAGAAAGGAAGATAGGACAAAAAGCATTGTAGTCACCACCCCGAAAGGAGTGGCAGCTAAGGGGTTTTCTCTCTTCTGCTCTTCGCATCTAAAGCAACCATTAGAACTTTTTTCTACTGTATAGAAACACTCTCTAAGAAAACCCTAAGGAAAAAAGTCTTAGTCGCTTCCCCCCTTGGGGGTTGGCAGCTTCCTTCCTTACCTCCTCCCCTTTCCTTTCATCCATTCTTTTCTCCTTCCCTCCATTTTCCCTCAAAATTGTTAATTTATTTTGTGATGTGGAAGCAGTCACTATGAAACGATGTAGTCACCATGATATAGTCACTGTATTTTGGCCCACGTACACAAGGAGTTGGCACCCTTCAACATACTTTGGAGCTCTAAAGAAGGGAAGATGTCTGGTTGCGTTGGCTTTGGTTTTAGCCAGTGCGGGACTATGGGTTTAGCTAGTATAGCGCTATGATTTTCTTTGGGTTGCTCGGAAGATGTGGAGCGGTGGTCCTATTTCTTAGTTTTGTTTTATACTAATAATTTTCAGAAACTTTTTAGGAGTTTGTTGTGATTTGTTTTCTAGTTAGGATTTTTATTTGTTTTTAGCTTTTGGCTTTCGATACAGATTTGTCGTTTCTGCCTTTGCCGTTGTGTGACGGATTGTATTGTGGGTCTGAGTGCATGTGCTTCTGGTTGTGCATGATTCTCTCCAAATCAATTCAACATGTTGTGTTTGGTTATTAGAGAAGATTTACCTATATTCAACACATAGTTGCTTTGTACTTTTGGTTGTTCATCAATAATATACTATCGCTTATTTTCAAAAAGAAAAAGAAAGAAAAGAGTGTTGCTATTTCCACCCCATTGTTCTATTTTCCCACTCACCTTCTTTTCCCACCCACCATGTAAATTTGAAAAAAATACAATCCTATCTTTCCACCCACCATTATTCCTGAAATAGCCTTTAATCCATTTTGAGGAAAACACAAACAAACTAACACAACCTACCAATTAACTTTTGCCAATGGCCCACAAAGTCAAGCGATTTGCATAAGCTTCAAAACAATTTCGCAGAATTTCAGAACAAAGCTCAAATACAACTTTCCAACTCCTCGAATCTCAAATACAACTTCACCAAACGAAATATATGTACTTTTGCTAAATACCCACAAGGTAAACCATTTCAAAGCTTCAAGGGATATCCAAAAACTCCAAAATAATACTAAAACCACAAATATTAAGTATCCCTGTAAAAAAAAAAAAAAAAAAAATAAATTTGAGCCACAAGCAGAAAACCCAACCTACAAACTCCTAGCTAGTTTCTTTTCTTTTTTGGTAAATAAGAAAACCCACCTACAAATTTTTTCGAATGGTTCACAAGACAATGAGTAAACGCAAAGAAACATAGAAACCTAAGATGAGAGGATTTTTTTTTCATCTTGAGCAAGGAGAAGGGTGTAAATTTGTCTTTAGAAGTCATTTTACAAATGGGTAAATTTGTCTGTAAAAGTTTGAAGATAAGGTAGGTGGGAAAATAGGACAGGTGAGTGGAAATAGCGACACTAAAAAAAAAAGAAAAAAAAAAGCAACCATTAGAAATTATTGAACCTTCCATATATTTCTAGCAATTAAATTTGGGTGCTTCCTATCTACTTTACCATTTGGCTCCATCCGTTTTGATTTTACGTATACGTAATTTGTTTGAGTGTGGAAAATATAACACATCAAATTTATGTATTCTCAGTTTGTAAACACTATGCTTCCATATGGTAAACCTGACAAACTAAGTTCAAGCTTCAGAAAGATGTCATCTGTATATGCTTATGAAAATGTCATCAGATATCTCTGTTGGCCTTTTGGCTGAGACTATAGGCACAGAAAGATATCATCAGCCAGCCAGAAGGATCAATGTATTTTCTTTCTTTTTACTGAACTGTGTCAGCCTCATCTATCAAACTAGACAATACCCAATCATGACTAGTGACGATATTAGGAGCAAACATAAACTTTCGAATTCTCAGTCACACATTATGTGTAAAACATGTGAAACTTGGTCAATGTACACCTTGGAACAGTTTGGGTGATCACACTTCTTTTTGTTTTTTACCAGATGAAAAGCTCTTGACAACCAGATGAAAAGATAATAATCAGAAGTCCCAATTATAATAAATTGCCTTGCACTCATCAATGAAACAGGAGATATTGGCTTTTAAACGTGCACACTTGAAATGAAACTATAAGAAATGTTCAATATATGAATGGACCTAAATAAATTTCGTAATTTACTGTGTCAATAATAACATGGAACTTTATAGTAGATGATTTGGCTTGATCAGACATTATCTGGGTTGCTGCTTCATTTTAACTTGATCAGACATTTCAAACTCTTTGATTCACTCTCAACATGATCACATTGACGAATTATAATCTAAGTGAATATTTATTAATATTATATCTTAAAAGTGTGAAATATTAACCATGTCGTCCGCTTATATTAATACATGTGAACGAATTATATAACATAATTATATTCCAATAACATATAATAATTTCTGCTCAAATTCAATATTCTCTTTCTCAATCATTGATCTTTAACGTCGATTGTGTGATTGAAAACTTGCAATTGAAGTAACCAACGTGCCAAAAATGTCAAGCATGAGTCAAAGATTGGACTTTATTTTTCCGGTGAAAAGACAGGGCCATGCCAAAAAAAAAACACAAAGATTGGACTTTCAGTTTTAGGCAATAGAGAAGAAAAAGAGAGAATGTTAAACAAAAATCGTCACCCTAATGTTTATTTTTCAACAAAGAAACACAAGCGGAAATAGTAAAAATTATTGTATATTATTCATGACATATTTACTTATTTAGAATGGATACTGTAATTATTATGATTCTCGAATTTTGAGATAATTATTCTAAACACTCAATTCTATTCTTTATAATTTTCAGATAAATAACCTGTCAAATACCAAATAAACTGGATTGTTGACAGATATTCTCATTACCCCCCGCCTCTTTTCATTTGTTTTAAGACCGTCAGCATATGGAACGTTGGCAACTTAGGTGTGGCAGTTGGGGTTGGCACGAAGAGGATTAACTAGCCCCTAGTTTCAGAAACTCCAAAACCCACCTACAAATTTTAGTTTTCTTTTCTTTTCTTTTGGGTAAATAAGAAAACCCACCTACAAATTTTTTCAAATGGTTCACAAGACAAAGAGTAAACGCAAAGAAATATAGAAAAGTAAGATGAGAGGATTTTTTTTCCTCTTGAGCTTCTATCCGCAGAGAAACAAGACAAGCAAGGAGAAATGTGTAAATTTGTCCTTATAAGTCATTTTACAAATGGGTAAATTTGTCTATAAAAGTTTGAAGATAAGATGGGTGAAAAAATATGACAGGTGGGTGCAAAATAGTAGATGATTTGGCTTGCTCAAACATTATCTGGGTTTGTTGCTTCATTTTTAACTTGATCTATCAGGGATATCGATGGACCAAAATCCCAATAAACTGGATTGTTGATAGATATTCTCATCCCTCCCCCTTCCCGTACCCCCCACCCCCCTTTTAATTTGTTTTAAGACCGTAAGCACTTAGGTGTGGCGGGTGGGGCACGAAGTAGGATTTTTCACAACAATGATCCCTCAACTATACCCGTAGTTGCATTTGGGTCACTAAACTCAATTATTAGTTGCAGAGGTCACTCAACTATGTGTTTCGTTGCACCAGTAGTCCTTCCGTCAAGTCTGTTAGTTTTTTATGTTTAAAATGATGACGTGGCAAGCATATGTGAGAATCTCATAGATTCGTGAGGGGCAAATCTGACTTTTCAGTTAGCCTTCTTCAACACCTGACTTTTGCAATTCGAGAACAACCAATACAGGCTCTACCCTTTTTTGCAATTAAACACTAGGAGGCTTGATAACATGTTTGAGCTTACCTTCCTGGTTCAATATCAAGAGCTGGGTGTACGGAATTCGATTGGAGACGATGGGGAGGCCTTGGGACCAAGACTCGAGCTCTTGATGAGATAAAGCTTCAGATTTTTTGAGCGTGGACTTCTTGGGCACTTGCTTTTTCTCTTTGACGGCGGCTATGCAGGTTTGGATTTGGGGGAGAGTGGTGGAGATTACAGTGAGAGTTACAGAAAGCTTGAGGAAATCGAAATTGGGTTTCTGGGTTTTATCGTTTTCATCATTATCATCCGTGGTTGAGAGGTGGGAGGAAATAGAGGATGGAGCGAGAGGTTTTGGTGGGTTTTTATTAAGGGTTTTGGGTTTGGGGTTTGGGGATAGAGAAGAAGATGAGCAAGAGCCCAGAAGGCATTGGCAGGCCATGGAGTTTTGGTTTGATGTGAAAATATTGGGAGGTTGGACATTGTAGACTTGGAAAGACAAATTTGCCCAAGAAATTGACACCACGTTAGCCAGACTTGACGGAAGTACTACTGGTGCAACGAAACACATAGTTGAATGACCTCTGCAACTAATAATTGAGTTCAGTGACCCAAATGTAACTATGGGTATAGTTGAGGGACCATTGCTGCGAAAAATCCTAAAGAAATAATAGAAATTGAGACATGTGCCGCACATGATCCAAGTTTGCATATACCCAACATTGAGATGCCACAATAT